CTTATTCTCTAGCCAAGGATGTTTTCTTTAGCTGAAATTATTTTTGCAATGAGTTGTTTGTAAATAGGTATAACCCACTCTCGTCTGCCAATTAGATCAGGAAGAAAAGTCAACAAAGGCTATCAATCTGGTTTAATGAAAGAATCAAATTTAGAAAGGTTATGGGAAACTGTTACTACGCTTTTGTGTATTGTCAAGGTAGAGGGGATAGTAATTATTAGTATGAGGATAACAATTTTGTAAACACTAAAGCTGTGGTTTTCAAAGTATAGCCTAGGGGCTGGGAGTGGTGAATTTCCAAATGTGGAAAGTTTTATTCAAAATTGTGACTCTGTCAGTTAATGCTGATGCCAACTATGCCTCTGTGAGTCCTGCAGTACTTAAGAACTTGCAGCAAGGCATAGTAGCTCAACATCTGTAATCTCAGCACTTTGGGAGGCCCAGGCAGGCAGATCACCTGAGGTCGGGAGTTCAAGATCAGCCTGGTCAAGATGGTGAAAACCTGTCTCTACTAAAAAAACAAAAATTAGCTGGGCAAGGTGGCAAGTGCCTGTAGTCATGGCTACTCGGGAGGCTGAGGCAGGATAATCACCTGAACCTGAGAGGCGGAGGATGCAGTGAGCCAAGATTGCTCAGCTGCAGTCCAGCCTTGGTGACAGAGCAAGACTCCATCTCAAAACAAAATTAAAAAAACAGAGCAAGACTCCCACTCAAAACAAAACAAAAAAAGTATACCCTAGAAACCAGGAGCATCAGCAGCTGGAAACTTGGTAGAAATGCAAATGCTCACGGCCCACTGCTGACTCAGAAGCTCTTGGGGTAGAAGCCAGCAATCTGTATTTTCACAGGTCTTCCAGGTGCTTCTGTTGCAGGCTAAAGTTTCTATTGCACTAAGATACAAAAACCTAAGTATATAACATGTACAGCTGGTGCTAAGTAGCAGAAATCTTGATGTTACAAATGTTACACTGGGTATGGGGAAAAGACTTGCCAAGAAATTTTGGCTTTTAAGTGAAGTGGAAACATTTTCTACAAAGCTATAAAATGTGAAGCTTACATTATTTGAACAATATTAAAATGTGTTAAACAATGTTAATAATTTGAAATCTTTTTCCTTTTCTTTTTTTTTTAAGCTAAAGCTACGCTCTTGTTGCCCAGGCTAGAGTACAATGGCACAATCTCAGCTCACTGCAACCTCCACCTCCCGGGTTCAAGTGATTCTCCTGCCTCAGCCTCCTGAATAGCTGGAATTATAGACATGTGCCACCCGCTAATATGTTTGTTTTGAGACAGAGTCTTGCTCTTTTCGCCAGGCTGAAGTGCAGTGGCATGATCTCTGCTCACTGCAACCTCCGTCTCCCAGATTCAAGTGATTCCCCTGCCTCAGCCTCCTGAGTAGCTGGGACTACAGGCACACACTACCACACCCAGCTAATTTTTTGTATTTTAGTAGAGACGGGGTTTCTCCATGTTGGTCAGGCTGGTCTCAAACTCCTGATCTCAGATGATCCGTCCACCTCAGCCTCCCACAGTGGTGGGATTATAGATGTGAGCCACTGCACCTGGACAATTTTTCAGTCTTTGGAAAAATTATGAGCAATATCATTATTAGAGCCTCAGAATAAAATAATATCAAATACACTTACTTGTAACTCATATAACTCATTGCTGTATCTTCCGTATTCAACCATTCCCCCAAATACTAATATTCTGGTACCATCACAGACAAATCCATGGGCAGCACAGCCTGGAGGGATATCTCCTCTAACAGCTGGGAGAAACCACTGATTCGTAGCTAGTTGCCAAAATAAAATCAAAACCGATTATAACAAACAACGGTTATCACATACTATCAGAAAGTACTTTATATATCATCAACATCAGTGGGTCTCAATTAGGGATGATTCTGCCCCCAGAAGACATTTGGTAATGTCTAGCGACATTTTTAGTTGTCATAACTGGAGGGGACTGTTACTGGCATGTAGTAAGTAGAGCAGGGATGCTGTCAAACATCTTACAATGTACAGGGCAATACAGGGCAGCTTCCCCTGACCTTGACAAAGAGTTACCTGGCCCAAAAGGTCAATAATGCTGCTGCTGAAAAAAACCCTGATCTACAAAACCCCTGCTGGATGAGTATAAAAATCTCCATTTTACAACTGAAAATTGTGAGGCTTAAAAAGGTTTAGTAACTTTAGCACTGATACTGGGCAACTGGCAGAGATTCAAATCAAGTCTAATTTGTTCCAAAGCCAGGGTTTTCACACTAAGACCAAACTGTCAATAACTTTTTAACTTTATATGCTGTGGCGCTGGGAGGAGGAAAGGGTGGAAAAAAATTTTTCTCCGATTCCACTATTTTGTTAACCTTCAAATGATCACTGTGATTAAGTTGTTTGGTCAAAGAAAAGTTACCGGTCATGAAGTAGACCCCAAATTCCAGAACTGTCTTTACACCAAAAAGATTTCCCGTGACAGCCTGAGCATTTACCGGGGTGGGGCGGGGGGTATTAAATTTCAGTATCCTTTCTATTTCACAGAGGTCCTCAAAGAGAGGGGCTTCCTGCCCAGGGACACCTGTGATCTGCAGTGGTGCTCAAATTATGACAGTCCTCTTTCCGAGAGCCGGTCCAGAAAGGTGCCCACACCCACTATGCAGACACAAGGCCGCTTCACCACGTCCCCGCCGGTTTAGAGCGCGACCCGTAGAGGGGATCTTGACCGTTACCTGCCAAACACCTGGCTGTATTTGAGGCGAGAGTGCCAGAAGGCCTCTCGTTTTCCCTCCTCATCCACTAGATGGTCTTCCTTCTAAGGAAGGAAGGCAGGCAAAGATAGAAAAGGCCCGAAGGAACTTTGGTTTGGAGTGGTTTTGTTTTTTGACAGGGGCGAGATTTCGGGGAATGGTCCAGGCGGTTGGACACGGTCTTCTGTCGCCTGCGTCCGCCAGTCGGGCTGAGACGGGGAAGTCCAGGACCGCCTGCCTTTAGACCGGTGTGCCCCGCTTGGGGTCCGTTGCGCCCCGCGGGCCCCGGAAATCCAGCGCTGCTGTCCGGGACGGAGCTGCGGGATCGGAGACGCCCGGCCGAGCCGTGCTCCCCGCCGCCCGCCCGTGGAAGCAGTGACCGGACAGTGACAGCTGTCAGGGCCGCGGCCGCCGCCTCGCTTCCCCTCCCCCTCCGCGGCTGCCGCAGGCGGGGCCGACCAGCCGCCGCCGCGCCTACCCGTGTTGTAGACGTGCAGCTCATCCGCGATGCCCTCATTTCCCCCTCCAAAGATGATCATCAGCTCCCGGATGGCCACCGCTCGGTGTCCGTGCCGGGCGCGGGGGACCGGCCCCGTGAAGGAAGAAACCCGCCTCCAGTTAAGGAGGCTGGGAGCCGCCATCTTCCCAACCCCCGCCCCTCTGCCCACAATGCACCGCGCCCGCCTAAACCCGCTGCTCCCTGGGGAGGTTGGGGATCCGCCTCCAGCTGTGCTGGGGTCACGTGACCGCGGGCTCCGGCTGCCAGGCTGGAGGCCCGCGGGGAGGGTAAAGACGTTGGGGAAGGGGAGTCCGGAGAGAGGAGCCCCGCCCCTACCCCGGGCGACGTGGCCAGCGGCCACCCGTGGCAACACACCTTAGGGTGGAAGGACGCTTCCCACTGACCACGTCTCCGGTCCCCACCCAGAGCCTCCCGTTCGGTATTTTGAGGAGAAGCCACAGCATCTTCCTTTACGTCCACTTTAATTGAGCATCTAGGATGTGTGGGCGAGGCAGTCTCACAAGCAACGTGAGAGAAGCTCGGGTAGAGGTGCGAAGAGCTGGGAGCGCAGGGCAGGACCTCGCAGAAGAGGGTGCGGGCAGGAGCCTGTCTCGCAAGCCCGGGCCACTGGCACCGCTCCCGACCGTGACTGGGACCCGGGCAGGGAAGATCGCTGCAAAGCCTGCCAGGGCGAACCGAGGGCAGCTTTGCGGAGAGCCATGCCAGGAAGCTTGGAAACCGTGAGCCACGAGAGCTGTTTTTGGTTTGTTTGCCTTAAACAGAGGAGTGATGATTTGTAGGTTTCTGTTTCATTGCTAGCTAACAAGTGAGGTGGCTACTGTTACCTCCCTTTCATGAATGGGGAAATGAGGCATAGGGAGGTAAAGTAATTTTCTGATGGACACAAAGGAAAGGGGTTGAAGAAAAAGATTGGGGCCAGGATTCAAACACAGGGCTTCTGATTCCAGAACCCCCAAGCCTTTATACCACATACCATACTGCCCTGATAGAAGTCATATCCAACCATTATACCACACTGCCTCTGAGAGTAGTCATATGCAACTCTTTATTTTTATTTATTTTAGGCTCTGTCACAGGAATACAGTGGCACGATCATAGCTCACTGCAAGCTCGAGCTCCTGGGCTCAAGTGATCCTCCTGCCTTGACCTCCCAAAGTGCTGGGACTACAGGCATAAGCCACCGCACCCAGCCAATGCAATGCTTAATAAGAGCTGCCCTGTGATTTGATCCTACACATAATCACACAAGTCCATTAGGAATAACATTGTACTGCATATAGGATTTATGCCAAATGAGTAAATTTTAGCTGCTCTTGCCCCAGAAACAAAAAAATGGGTTGGTGGTAACTATGTGAGATGATAGATATGTTAATGTGCTTTACTATAGTAACCTTGTGACTGTCTATATAAGTTGTCCCCAACCTTTTTGGTACTAGGGTCCGGTTTCCTGGAAGGCAATTTTTCCACGGACTTGGCAGGGGGGTGGAGGGTATGGTTTCGGGATGAAACTGTTTCACTTCAGATTAGCAGGCATCAGATTCTCATACGGAGTACACAATTTAGATTCCTCCTATGGGCAGTTCACTGTAGGGTTCGAGCTTCTATGAGAATCTAATACGCTGCTGATCTGACAGGAGGCGGAGCTCAGGAGGTCTTGCGCGCTAGCCGGTGACTCATCTGCTGTGCTGCAAGTTTCGAACAGGTGATTGGGGACCCCTAGTCTATATATCATAACATCAGGTTGCATACCTTGAATATGCACAATACAAGTTATTTTTTTAATTAATTAAAAAAGGACTGGGCATGGTGACTCACACCTGTAATCCCAGTACTTTGGGAGGTCAAGACAGGGGGATCCACTGATCCCAGGAGTTCCAGACCAACCTGGTCAAGATGGTAAGATCCCATCTCTATTTTTATTAAAGAAAGGTAAATAAATAGAGACAAATAAATCTCCACTGGAGATTTTTTCTCCAGCGGAAGAAAAAATTGAAAGCAATTTAAATCCCTAACTCAGATTCTCAAGAGGTACTGAAAGGAGAACATATATACTGTATAGCAAATTTTCTAAAACCCCTTTTTCTTCATCTTTTACCATTTTTAATTTATCTTTTCACCCAACTCCCTTAAATCTCAACATGTCTCTCCACCTTCTCATCCGTATAAACTTCTTTTTGAAAGATAACTCTCTACCTTTTAAAAAGGAATTCTCAGGCGAGGCATGGTGGCTCATGCTTGTAATCCCAGCACTTTAGGATGCAGAGGAGGGTGGATCACCTGAGGTCAGGAGTTCGAGACCAGCCTGGCCAACATAGTAAAACCCTGTCTCTACTAAAAGTACCAAAATTAGCTGGGCATGGTGGCACATGCCTGTAATCCCAGCTACTTGAGAGGCTGAGGTAGGAGAATCACTTGAACCTGGGAGGCAGAGGTTGCAGTGAGCTGAGATCATGCCATTGCATTACAGCCTGGGCAACAAGAGCTGTAGGAGAGGGATCCTTCCATGCCTCTTTCTAGCTTCTGGTGGCCCCTGTCAATCCATGGCAGCCCTTGGCTTGTCAATGAGTCAAGCTTCAGTCTCTGGCTCCATCATCATGTGGTATCCTCTCTGTATGTCTGTCTCTTCTTCTTCTTCTATTTTTTTTTTTATTTTTGAGACTGTGTCTAGCTGTGTCACCCAGGCTGGAGTGCGATGCACAATCTCAGCTCGCTGCAGCCTCCGCCTCCCTAGCTTAAGCAATTCTCCCACCTCAACTTCTGGAGTAGCTTGGATTGCAAGTATGCACAACCATGCCTGGCTAATTTTTACATTTTTTCTAGAGATGAGGTTTCACGATGTTTCCCAGGCTAGTCTCAAGCAATCCTCCTGCCTCAGCCTCCCAAAGTGCTGGGATTACAGGCATGAGCCACTGTACCCAGCCTCTTCTCTTCTTGTAAATTCACTAGTTATATTGGATTAGGGCCCATCCTGATTTGATTATATCTGCAAATAGCCCATATCCAAATAAGGTCATATTCACAAGTACAGTGGGTTAAGACTTCAGCATATCTTTTGGGGGAGATACAATTCAATCTATGACAAAGTACATAATCCAATGGGAAAGATATTTTAGTAGAGCAGTTTGGAGTAATCTCTCCTTGAGTGAGGCATCTAAAAATAGGTCCCGATTTCACAATAAAATACCTTCAATCTTTGAAACTATCAGAATAGAAACAACAACCTAGGAGAGTTTAGAGAAGAGGGATTGGAAAATAGCACCCTGAAGAAGCCAGCATTGGTGGAGTAAAGACAGGAGGAGGCACTCATGAAGGAAATAGAGAATAGGGAGCCAGAGATGTTAAAAGGGAACTGGATGAGGGTGATGTCAAAGAAGCCACAGGCGAAGAGAGTTTCATAGAGGCGGAAGTGGCAATCAAAGCCAAAAGCCATAGAGAGGTCAGGAAGAAGAGGTAACCGTTGGATTTGCAATTTAGGAGGTTAGTCGTGGCCTAGAATGAAAATGTTTTCAATGGAGTGGGAGGGAAATAAGCCAGAGAGAATTGAAGAATGAACAAGTTAGAAAGTGAGGATAACATGTATAGTCTACCCTTTACAGAGACTTGGCCATGTAAAGAAAGAACAATGGCTGCAGAGGAGAGATAGGTACTGTGTAAATTGTTATTATTTTAGATGGTGAGACTTGAGCATTACTGTGGGCCCAGAAGAAGGATCCAGTTGGAAACAAAAAGGTTGGAATAGCATAACCAGCAATCATTTCCAACCTTCTTCTCCTTGCCTGCCTCTCATTATTGAGGCTGTGAAGGAAAAACAAACAAACAAAAACCAACAGATAAGCACTTTCCCAGACTACTGTACCCACTCTCCTTCGAGATGACCCCCCAGTGTCTGCTCTCCTCTTCTTTTCAGTAACAAAATCTGGACTATTAGTTGGACACATGACCATTCTAAATAAAAACTCATTCTCCAAACTTCTCTCAATTAGTTGTGGCCTAAGGCTAAATGTTGACCTATGGGTTATAAGCAAAAGTAATGTGTATAATTCCAGAATGTGTTCTGGAGGAGGGAACCTTCCTTTCCCTTAGTCTTTTCTGCTGGGTGGAATGTAGATGTAATGGCTAGAGCTAGAGCAGCCATCTTGGACCATGAGCTGGAAGGAGCCTAATTTCCTGAGAACTTAGTGAAGTAGTGCAGGTCTACTAGAAATTACATCCCATAGGGCAAGTAGGTCTGTTCAGAAAGAGCTGGGGTTTGGTGGGTCAAGGTCCTGGAGGATCAAGAAAAGATGGACCCTGAAGTACATGTATATTTATGTGTATACCAGGGTTAAAAATATATATATTAATTCTCTCTTATAGATTATATAAATATTATATATTCTTTACATATACAGGAATTCCTCTTTAGCCATGGTTTCAGTTACCCATAGTCAATGCAGTCTGAGAATATTAAATGGAAAATTCCAGAAATAAGCAATTTGTAAGTTTTAAATTGTGTACCATCCTGAGTCACATGATGAAGTCTTTCACTATCCTGCTCTTACCTGCCTGGGATGCAAATCATCCCTTTGTTCAGTGTTTCTATACTGTATGTGCCACCTGCCCATTAGTCACTTAGTAGCTGTCTTAGAGGTATATAGGATTTGGTATTATCCTTGGTTTTGGGCATCTCTGGGGCTCTTGGAATATATCCCCCTGGGGTAAGGGAGCATCTGTTATATTATAGAAAGCTCTATTGGATAGTGCTCCTCTAGACTTTTTAGGCATATGTTAGAGAAGGTACTTTCATCTCTCACTACTTCCTCTCCTGTCTGCCCACTCTTCCATATCAAACACCCACCAGAGTCATATACCTGGACTGTTTCATGTAGGGGTTAAAATCATGGGCTTTAAGACCCAATAGGTTGTAGCTACTTAACTAATTGTGTGGCCTTGGTCAAATTATTTATATCCTCTTTGAACCTCAGATTCTTTGTCTATAAAATGAGCATCATAACAGCATCTGCTTCTTAGGGTTAGTCAAAGGATTAAATGAGATAATATGGTTCCAAAGTGGCTGCATGGAAGCAAGCTGGCTTCACTCTCCTATAATGGAAAACTAAAAACTAACATTCAGCACTGAAATTATCACCAGGAATATCCCAGAACTCAAATATGAGAATGAGACAATTCCTAGGGCCACAGAGGTGTTTAAAAAACTCAGCAGATGGTAAGAAAATCAGACTTCCATATCTATAAGCCCCTCCCCACAATCCTCCAGGCACCAAGTGCATGAAAATTTCCCCCAACTCAGTCTGTACACTTTACAAAGCAAGATCAAGGTGGACAACTAGCTTCTCCACAATCTTGGGTTCCCTGGCAGAAGACTTGTTCCTGTCTCAACCACTAGACACATCAGCAGTCCCTAAAGGAGAAACATCCCTGAGAACAGCCAGAGACAAAGGGGAGAGGTGGGACTACCATCCCAGCCCTGGAAACTCTGCTGTGTAATTTGACAAAAAGAGATGGAGATGCCAAATCAGAGTGGCTGTTCAGTAGCACCACACTGTAGGAGGTTGGGTCCATGGGTTACCTGGACACTGAATCCCTAGCCAGCCTTCCCATACTACTGGGATAACCCCCATAAAGGACCAGGGGCACTGATTATTAGAATGGAGGCAAACCTGGATTTCATCACCATCTAGTGCTCAAAATGGGGCAGCGACCTAGCAAGGAGGAAAAGAAAGAAAGAAATCAATAGGTCAATGAAATAATACATGTAAAGTACAGCCAGTCTTCACTTTGCATGATAGCACTGTTCTGTAAAAATGACTGTGCAAGCCAACACCCTTCAAAGTGATCTTAATTATCATGGGAAAAATTACCATTGTTTTGTGATCTTTAAATTCTTTTTTGTCAAAATATTAAGAACTCTTACTGTTGGTTATAAATATATAGAGAAATGAAAAAATTAGTAAACCTAATATTTCTTTATTATGTCATAATTTAAAACAGAAATGTTGGGAATAAAGTGTTTTATTTCTTTGCATAAAACTTATGACTAGTAGTTTAAACCATGCTTACCACCTTCTTCTTGTCATATAGCTTACTATACGGAGTGAGCATTTTTCTATGCTGTGGCAAATTGTCATACTTCTTTCTAAAGTTTTTAAAAAATTTTTTTGAGACAGGGTCTCTGTCGTCTGGGCTGGAGTATAGTGGCATGATCACAGATTACCACAACCTTGACCTCCCAGGCTCAAGTGATCCTTCAGTAGTTGGGACCATAGGTACGTCACCTGGCTACCTCAGCCTCCTGAGTAGTTGGGACCATAGGTGCATACACCTGGCTAATTTTTTTAGTTTTTGTAGGGTCTCCCTATGTTGCTCAGGCTGGTCTTGAACTCCTGAGCTCAAGCAGTCCTCCTGCCTCAGCTCCAAAAGTGCTGGGATTACAGGTGTGAGCCACCATGCCCAGCCTCCTTTCTAAGTTTTCCTTTGTGCTTTCAATGTTGTGAGATATACTTGAGAGTTTCTTTAATGTGAATTTTTTGCTCATTTCACCTTCTGGAACATCTTCATCCTTTTCCTTACTACTTCCTTTTTTATTTGTATTCATAAGTTTACCTTTGCTAAGTCTCTCTGGATGCTCATCTGGAGTTGAACAGTGGCAATGTCAACATTCCCATTGCCACCCATTTCTTCTGTAACTCCACTGATCTTTAATTTGAACTTCACTCCTACAATTATCACTTTTTGTTCTTTGCTTCATTTTATCTTTATTGGCAAATTCTATTGTTGATTTTTAAGAATGTCACATGGAGATAAGGAGGCAGCATACTTTGCTGTCTGTGCATAACTGAATAACTGATGTCCAGTGACCAGACACCAGCAGACTACAAATGAAATGATATGCTTGGTCACTGATCATGGTGTGCATCTATTATTTGCATAGTGATTTTGTGGACTGAAAACCTGGCAGCAAAGCTTGTATTTATGCAATTACACAGTTAATATACTGTGTATATTATTATTCAAAGCTTGTATTTATGCAATGACCACAGTTAATATACTGTGGTAACTGAAATTTAGACTGTGCTGTTGGGGGGACTTGTGTTATGTAACTAATTGGTGCTAATTGAAATCTGTGCTGTGCTGTTGCCATGCCAAGGCAAGGACTGTGCTATACTTATACATTGCCTGTCCTGTAGTTAGCATTTAATAAGTAATAGCTTGTTTTATTTCTATCATTATCATGATTTTATTGTATTTTTATAGTTTCTGTTCCTCCTTCTGAGCTGCATGTCAAAAAGTCAACCCTAGAGTGCTGGAGGTGGCAGACAGTCCTGTGTTTTCAGCCAAAAGTATAAATTGCAATGTCTTTAATCTCAATTGAGGACTCAGGCCAAGGGCCAAAGGCTTATTGCCAGAGGTCTGAGAAGAGGTTCTGGGGAGTGCTAGCAAGTGGGCAGAACTCAATAGCAGAGATCCTGGGCAGGGACTGTTGCTGAGGTGAGGGAAACAGATGGTGTCTGAGAGGTCTGTTTACAGATTGCAGGGCTCCAGCTATGGGTCTTGGCTGAAGCTATCACCAAAGCATAGAGAGGGCAGCTGGCAAGAGCAAGGCAGGGCTCCAGGCTAGATAGAACCTAACCTGCTTGCCAGAACAGGGAACTGGGCCAAGGAAGAAAATCAATTACAGCATACAAGAGAGAGGGAACTCAAGTGCAAGACTCAGGTGCTGGAGCAATTGCTGCAGCTCAGGGAGCAGCAGGGGAGAGCAAGAGCACTGAAGCTCAGGGCAACAAGAAGATGACCTGCACCTGAACCACACCAGGCAAATGAGACGGAATTGCTCCTGCTATGGTAATCCCTGCCCCATATGTGTGATCTTGGAGCCCAGCCATGGGGAGACAAATGTGGCAAACAGACTTGTCAGCCTGACCCAATGTAGTAATTCATCTACTACTATTGAAGATTTCTTCCTTTCCTACCAGGCAACCTTATCAGCTTTAATAGATTATATGTAAGGTCTTATCTAAAACTAATATACTCAGTCAAGACAGACCCAGTTATCAAGAAGAAATAAACATCTGACCTTCAACGAGTAAGAAATAAACATGGAATAATAATGACTCAGATACATGTTTTGTTGACAAATGATAACACAAATATAAAATGCGTGTGAAGTGCATACATATTGCTGGGGCTGCCCTCAGGCATGTAACTAAATCTAACCAAAGTTACTTGACCACATAAGGGTTTATTTTCCTCACATGGCAAGATTTTCCAAAAGTAGTTAGTTCAGGGCTGCTGTGGTGATTCTCTGTGCCATCTTTAGCATAAGCCAGGCTGCAGAATGACGCAGTGCCAGGGACCCTATTCACATCGTGCAAGGATATTTTCAATTTACTTCTATAGATCTACTCTCCACCCTTCAACCTGTTCAGTGTCCTGAGAGACCCACCTAAATAGATTATAGAACTTGAACTCCTTGCCCTCTGACTTCTAGTTGGACTTGGCCAATGGAAGGCCTGCTGCACCTGATGGCGCATAATTCTGGAAGGGCAGTGGGAAACCCTGTGAGCCAGGAGTGGTTATCTTATTTTCACTCATGTGTGTGCAGTGAGTACTTAGAGCGTAGTATGCTATGCTGCCCCTGAACCTTCTGACTTCCCAGAGGTGACCAATGTTTCAGCTAAAAAAGCTTAGCTAAATGTTTGAATACTGTTGTGCTTTAAAATAAGGCACAACTTTCTGAGCATGGTGATGCATGACTAAAGTCCCAGCTACTCAGGAGACTGAGGAGAAAGGCCCAGGAGTGTAAGTCCTCTAAAAAATAATCATAATTAATAAATAAATAAAATAAAGTACAAGACGCTAGGAGTAGAGAGAAGAGGAGTGGCATAATGTCAAGCCTCTCCAGGAGAATAGATGCACTTGCTGGCTTCTGTGAGGACTTCAGAATAAGGGTAGATAAGGGATCACAAATGCAGTAAATAATTCTGCACACGCAGCAATATGGTGCTGAAGGATGACCAGTGTGGATGCCACTTAACCCTACTGTTGCAGCCTCAGATCCTAGTATTTGAAACATGTCTCAAGAAGGAAACACTTAAGAAGTGCTGAATAAGAATTTCAACCCTGGCTTCATCAGTAACTTGCTTTGGGAACTTGGGCTTTAATTTGCTCAAAGCCTCAGTTTGCTCATCTGTAAATTGGGGCAAATAACATCTGCTCAACTTACCTGCCAGAAATGTGTATGACTAAAAAGAAATAGAAGATATGAAAATGCCTTGGCTATATTCAAAGTTCTGTATACATGGAGGATATTCAGGATCCTCCCATCTTCAAAGTTTATGTCTGAGAAACCCCTATTAAATTCTTTAGAATGGCTCAATATAGTAGCCACTAGCCGCATTGACTATTTAGTACTTAAATGTGACTAGTGCAACTGAGGAACTGAATTTTTAATTTTATTTAACTGTAACTAATTTTAATTGAAAAACTGATACTCTATTCAGTTACTAGAAAACTTTTAAGTACACTTCTAGCAATGTGGATTTGTAAATTGACTTTTTTTCCAGTGTTTTTTTCTAATTTTTAAAATTTTAATAGACATACAAATTTTGGGTGTGCATTCAACATTTAATATTAATACATTCATATAATTTGTAAAGATCAAATCAGTGTAATTGGGATCTTCATTACCTTAAATGAATCTACTTTTTAAATGGTACATTGTATAAAATCTAAATATATGTGAAGTGTTTCTGTTTAAATTTAGTGTGTGAACTGAGATGTGCTGCAAGTGTAAAATACACACCAAATTTCAAAGACTTAGTTAAAACAAACACTGGGAAGGGCAGGAGAACGGGAGCGATAGGGAGAGATTTGTTAAAGTTTATTAAAGTATAGCTAGATAGGAGGAATAGTGTTCTATGTGGTTGTAGTATGGCCATAGTTAAAAATAATACGTAGTTTCAAAGAGCTAGAAGAAAGATATTGAATGTTTCCAACATAAGCATCAATATTTGAGATGATAGATATGCTAATTGCAGTGTTCTGATCACTAAACATGATATATATTGAAACATCACTACGTACCCCACAAATATGTACAATTATTATATGAATATGTATCAATTAAAACAAATTAGATTTAAAAACAAAACAAAGAGAATATAAAACATCTTTTTAATAATGTTTTATAGTATGTGTTGAAAGAATAACATCTTGTATATAATTAGGCAAAGTGAAATATATCCTTAAGATACATTTTACCTCTTTGTGCTTTTTTCTTAATGTGACTACTAGAAAATTTAAAATTATAGCCAGGTGCAGTGGTGTGCACCTGTAGTCCCAGCTACTCAGGAGGTTCAGACGGGAGGATCACCTGAGCCTTGGAGCTCACAGCTGCAGTGAGCTGTGATCATGCCACTGCACTCCAACCTGAATGACGAAACAAGGCCCGGTCTTTTTATTTAAAAAAAAAAAGTAAAATTGGCCAGGCGTGGTGGTCGACACCTGCAATCCCAGCACTTTGGAAGGCTGAGGCAGGCAGATCACCTGAGGTCAGGAGTTCGAGACCAGCCTGGCCAACATGGTGAAACCCCATCTCTACTAAAAAAAATACAAAAATTAGCCGGGCGTGATGGCTGGTGCCTGTAATCCCAGCTACTTAGAAGGCTAACACAAGGAGAATTGCTTGAACTGGGGAGGCGGAGGTTGCAGTGAGCTGAGATTGCACTACTCTACTCCAGCCTGGGTAATAGAGTGAGACTCCATCTAAAAAAAAGTAAAATTACAGTGTGGCTTGCATTTTATTTCTGTTTGAGAGCACTACTTTAGAAAGACACAGCGAACAAGGAGATCCTTATATCCTTATAGGAATTAGGAATAGGGGCCTTTGCAGAAATAAATTCTGTGATCCCAGACAAAGTGCTGGTACCGTCTCCGGAGTTTGAGAACCCATGGCAGAAATATAGAACAGTGTGGATTGCTGTCGAGGTCAGCTCCCAGCTTCCTGCCTGATTCCTCTCTGATTCCTCTTTTGTTCAGGCACAAAAACACTCCATTTTGAAACTTTTGTCATTGTTGCCTTGGTAGAAGGAGACCACAGTTGTTACCTGGGTTTTGATTTGGGGATAACAGCATTTCAATGACTAGATTTCATGAAGATTCTCAAATCAGCATGAATTTTATTTTTCATTTGAGTTCTTTCAAAGTTTGCCTTAGACCCAACGTGTGGTAGAAAGTCACTCTGCAAGCATTTGCTCTTCTCTGGTTTTGTGTCTTTTCCTCCAGAACAGGGTTGTTTTGTTTTAATGTTTTGCACGTAGCCAGAGGAAGTCTGGCGCATCCGAGCTGGCCAGCTGAGCGCATCTGGAACTGGTTTCTGGGACCGCCCCTCTCTGCCAGCGCAACTCCTGGGTTCCCAGCGGCTTCGCGCAGAGGTGGAAGAAACCCAAGCCGCTCCAAAGTCAACGCAAGCAAAGGGGGGTGGGAGTCGGGGAGGAATATACTTTTGGAAACGTAATATTGGCCTTGGGGCTCTCCAGCCCTTTGGGACTTCCAATGGGATCTTAGAAGCAGCCGATGCAGCGTGAGGGCAGCAGCCCAAGGCCAGCCACGATTTGAATGCTCTGCCTTGCAGCTCTTCTGGATCGAGGAGCCCAAAGCCCTACCCTCACCATTCACCAGGTAAATAGAGAAATTTACAAGCAGCGTGCATTTGTTACCCTGGCCGGTCTGCTGCAGTTCTTTATTCTGCTCCAGACCCAAGAAAGTAAATCAGAGGTGTCAGCTTGCCCCACACGAACTTCGTTTTCAGAAACTTCCTAGTCGGCATTTGTAGCATTCCAGTGGAGCCCTTTTCGGCCATTTCCATGTGCAATATTTTTCACAGACTGGGCTGCTTTTCCAGACCTGGATTTCTCCTCCTTCTCCCCCCAAATACTGTAATTTACTATTTGTATCAAATTTTGAACATAGAAATCAGCAGTTAGGGCGTGGATGAATGCTAGCCATTAGTGAAGGTATGTTCTGAGCCACAATTAATTTAACTGAGCTGTGATTCATGTTTTCAGAATCGGTCTTAGGAAGCTGTTCTGAGGATCTCCATCCCCTCCGACAGAACTGACCATTGTGTAAATCTAAGTGAGACTTATTGTAAATACAGTAGTCATGGTGTTTGGGTTGAAATGCTTTTTAAATTTTCAAAAAAATCTTACATTTACTTTATGAGCAAGTGTCACACATTGGATAAGCCTGATATAGCCTAATATATAATTTATGAAATAAGAAGGATAGTTAAGATGAGAATTAAAAAAAAAAAGTGTGTGTGTGAGAGAGAGAGAGAAAGAAAGAAAGAAAGAAAGAAAGAAAGAAAACATGGTGTTATCTGAACATCTGGATGTGCTTTGGAAAAAAATCAGTCCTCTCATTGTTTGGCCCTGTGCAGCCAAATATCCAAAGTGATATTGGTTGGTTTTTGTCTTTTCCTTTTCTTCCAAATGTTCTGATGTTGCACTTCTGTGTAATATCCTTTTTATGTTACATAATGGCATTCCATTTCTGCCTTTAATGCACTTAGAAGTAGAGCTATGCAATGCAGTGGTAAGAACATGGACTCTGGGTCAGGCTTTCAGGACTGAATCTATGTGCTGCCTCTTATACACCTTCTAAGCTTGCCTCCGGGTGATTTGTTTAACTTGCATGCACCCTAGTTCCTCATCTGTAAAATGGAAATTAAATGACATGATGTCTATAAAGGACATAATATAGGATATGCAAAGTAGTGAGGCCCCAGGAATGGTTAGCTTCTCTGATGGTGCTGATGATGGCAGTGGTGATGACAAAAGTGACCATGTACCCTGTGTTTGGCAACACCTCTGCTCTTGACACATGGTTCCCTCTGACGGTTCAGTCCTCCAAGTTTTCCTCATGTCCTCAAATGCCATCTTTCCAGGGCTTTGCTTTGTTCCTTCAAACACCTCTCTTTCTCTTTTTCTCATTCTGTCTTTCAGTATTTCTTCTTTGTGCTTCCTCTTTCCTTGCTGAGAGAAAGTGAGGCTTCATTAAGCCACAGACCTCATAGTTTTCATTTCCAGTTCCTGAGAAACATGATTCTAAATCCTTTTTAATTTCAGTATTTTCCAAAAACTGTTCTGAAAAACATAGTCCCATGGGAAACTCTGTGAACTATTACACTCTTAGAGACCTCAGGGCATAATAGCATTTTAAAGATCTCTAGAAGTCCAGTAGTAGAGAAATCCTCTTAAGGTTGTTTAACACAATGATTTCCAAACAGTTGATCCCTCAACCACTTTACCGCATAACATAAATTAACGTTTCTAGGAGCACACTCTGAGATGTGCTATTCTGGCCACACTACTGTTTTCATTTTGGTTCTTCTTATGGACATCCTATTTCATACCTTCCCTGGAGCTTATCCAAGGGGATATTTTGTTTTTCCTTCCCAAGTTAAGGACATCAGATTATCATGTGTGTTGTACTGGTATATAGAAAATCTGGCCTAAAGTGGAGATCAGAGGTCAGCAAACTGACCTGCAACAGGCCTGATGATAAGCCATAGGGTTTCTGTGTCAACTATTCGACTCTGCTGTTATAGTATTAAAACAGCCATAGAGAAAACAAAAAATAAGCATGGCTATGTTCTAATAAAACTTCATTTACAAAAACTAGTGTCAGCCAGGATTTGACCCGAGGTCATCGTTTGCTGATCCCTGATTTAAAGGCCTTTAGTGAAAGGATTTCTCATGCCAGCCCAGGAGAAAGCAAGACAAATTCTTTATAAACTGAAGACTTTCTTGTCCTGCTCCCCTAGTGCTATGGTCTGAATGTTTGTGTCCCCCTCAAAATTAGTATGTCTAACCCCAAGGTGATGATATTAGGAAGTGGGGCCTTTTGGGAGGTGGTTAGGTCATGAGGCGCATCATCAATGGGAATAGTGCCCTTATAAAATAGGCCTAATGGCCGGTCACAGTGGCTCAAGCCTGTAATTCCAGCATTTTGGGAGGCTGAGGTGGGCGGATAACAGGGTCAAGAGATCGAGACCATCCTGGCCAACATGGTGAAATCCCATCTCTACTAAAAATACAAAAATTAGCTGGGCATTGTGGCATGTACCTGTAGTCCCAACTACTTGAGAGGCTGAGGTAGGAGTGAACTGAGATCATGCCATTGCACTCTAATCTGGTGACAGAGTAAGACTCTGTCTCAAAAAAAGAAAAAAAAATAGGCCTAAGAGAGCTGGTTCACCCCTCCCACCATGCAGGACACAGCTAGAACATGCTATCTGTAAACCAGAAAGTAGGCCCTTAGCAGTCACTGAATCTGCTAGCACCTTGATCTTGGGCTTCCCAGCTTCCAGAACTATAAGAAATAAAGTTTTGTTGTTTAGAAACCAGTCAGTTTGGGCAGGCATGATGGCTCATGGCTGTAATCACAGCACTTTGGGAGGCTAAGGTGGGAGGATCTCTTGAGGCCAGGAGCTCAAAACCAGACTAGCCAACATAGCAAGACTGTCTCTACAAAGAAATTTTGTAATTAGCTGGACTTGACGGTGGTGTGTGCCTGTAGTCCCAGCTACTTGGGAGAACGAGGTGAGAGGATTGCTTGAGCCCAGGAATTTGAGGCTGTCTGGATGATAGTAAGACCTTGTGGGCGGTGGGGGGGAGCCACCCAGTTAATGGTATTTTGTTGCAGCTGAGTGAATGGAGTAAGACACCTGTTCTATGTATCTTGGTGGATCTTGAGTAAACCTTTCATGTACAGCAAAAAGTTAAAAGGCAAGAGATACTTTGTTAGAGGCTAGACTCCTGGGTCCTGATTTTGTCCTTTCTCTTTGCTTCAGTGAACCCTTACTCTTGTCCTCTGTTAAATATGTTCTATGCATTTGAGAACTTCAAGGTGAAAGTCTTGCGAGTAAACTCACAGAGATATGTCAGTTGCTTGACATTGTGAGCAGCTTTAGCAATGGAAGTGGTTGGCTGTAGTAACTATCAAGGTGGTTAAGAATGAACTCTTGGGAGGCTGAGGCGGGCGAATCACGAGGTCAAGAGATAGAGACCATCCTGGCCAACATGGTGAAACCCCGTCTCTACTAAAAAAATACAAAAATTAGCTGGGCATGGTGGCTCATGCCTGTAGTTCCAGCTACTCTGGAGGCTGAGGCAGGAGAATTGCTTGAACCCGGGAGGCAGAGGTTGCAGTGAGCCAAGATCGTGCCACTGCACTCCAGCCTGGAGCCTGGTGACAGAGCAAGACTCTGTCTCAAAAAAAAAAAGAATGTGAACTCAGAGCCAGACTGCCTGCATGTGAATCTTAGCTCTGACACTCATTACTTGTGTGACCCTTGGCAGCTCTCTTAATTCTCTGAGCCTCAGTTTTCTCACCTGTGTATTGGAATAATACCCTTAAGGAGTTGTGATAATCAGTGAATTAATATTTATAAAAGTCTGAGAACAATGCCTGGCACATAGAATTGCTACATAAGTGTTAAAATAATACTAAGTAATACTTATGTAGCAATTTGCTTTGTAATATGCAGAACGATCCCATTTTACAGATAGGATTTTGTAAGTCACCCACAATTACATAGCTAATAAATGTGGCAGCACTAGGATTCACAGTCAGCTCTGTCTGAGGATAAAGCCCATATTTCCACTAACATACACAGCTCTCATATTTAAGTCATTCAACAGTACTTTTAGGAACCCCCCTTTTTATCTTCCCTTTTGATTCGCAGATCATTTCCTATTACTCCTACCTGTACTTATGGCAGACATGACTAATCAATCACAGCACTCTTTTTTCTTTCTTTCTTTTTGTTTTGTTTTTTTTTTTTACTGGCTTTAGATTTCTTTTCAATCTAGCAATCCCAATAGGCCATACCTGCTAATTAGAGCTACCATGTAAAATGAAACATAGAGGCTCTGATTTTTGGAGTATTTTTCTGAAGAGCCTTTCCCACTTTGCCTTTTGTTCCAAGGCAGAGCTAATCCCCTTAGCCACTGAGAGGTCTCAAAACATTCTTTCCAGGTTTGGCCACATGCCTAAACTCTTTGGCATTTGGTAAAACAGCTCCCCTTGCAAAGTCTTCAGGGACTTATTTTTAAACTTACAGGCCTCTTCTCATGCCCAGAACAACTCTCTGAGCTCTCCTTTTCTTCCTACTCACAGGTCCTAGAGCCTCAACCTTTCTTTCCTCCTCTCTTTGAAGATGCCACTGCCTGCTCTGTGGTGGCTCCCAGCTCCACCTCTCTGTCTGTCCTGAAGACAGGCTTGCAGGCAATTTCATGTTAAAGGTTTAGCTATTGATTACCACAGAGAAACCACACACGGAAGTCACTCAGGCTAGGAAAGCTCACAGAGGTGCAGGAGGCACAGTTCTGGGCCTCCTTTTTGTGATGGTAGCAGGTAGGCTGAGAAGACAACCAGAGCCCTCTGCTTTTATTCCTGGAATGGGACTGTGAACATTTCCCCTCCTTCTGGCTGACCCCTTTATTCCTGGGACTGAAGAGCAGAGCAATAAGAGCCTCTTCCCTTTTCTTTCTCTCTCCTGATTCTCATTGGTTCAACAAACATTTATTGAGTTCCTCCCTTGGGGCAGGATAGGCAGATGGAGGTGAGGAAGCCACAGTCCCTGTCCTTGATGGTCTGTCTGGTGGTTTAGTGGAGGAGACAGGCACACCACAGTATTAGACTACAGTATTAGACTACAGTCTGGTTAGGCTGGGTGTGGTGGCTCATGCTCCCAGTATTTGGGAGGACGAGGAAGCGGATCACTTGAGGTCAGGAGTTTGAGATCAGCCAGGCCAACATGGTGAAACTCCTGTCTCTACCAAAAATACAAAAAAATAGCCAGGCGTGGTGACCCATGCCTATAGTCCCAGCTACTTGGGAGGCTAAGGCACAAGAATTGCTTGAACCTGGGAGGTAGAAGTTGCCAGTGAGCCAAGACCATGCCACCGCACTCCAGCTCGGGTGACAGAGCAAGACTCCATTTCAGAAAAAACGAACAAACAAAAACTCTGGTGAGTGCAGGGATAGGAATGGAGACCACGGGAGCACCCAGGCAGGGCAATCAGATGAGGCCTCCTGGAGGAGGCAGAAGGAACTTAACCTTCTGTAGCAGTTTCCAGTGAAAGGCTTTAGTCAAGAAAGGAACACTCAGAGTTGAATTTTAATCATTCAATACAATTCTACATGACAACTGGCTTGTATTATTTAAAAAAAAATTAATATCATCAAAAAAAGGCAGTGGGCATGGAGTGGGGCTGATCAGGAGTAAAAAAAAAAAACTAAAAAATCTATAAAAGACAATATTTGAATAATGGAGTAAACTTGAATATGGACTGCTTACTGGATGTTATTGTGATTTTTCTTAGGTGTAATAGTGGCATTGAGGATATATAGGAGAACGTCGTTCTTTTAAAGATAGATATGCTAGGCCAGGCGCTGTGGCTCAATGCCTGTAATCCCAACACTTTGGGAACCCAAGGCAGGCGAATCACGAGGTCAGGAGATCGCAACCATCCTGACCAACATGGTGAAACCCCATCTCTACTAAAATACAAAAACTTAGCTGGGTGTGGCATGCACCAATAGTCCCAGCTACTTGGGAGGTTGAGGCAGGGGAATTGCTTGAACCCAGGAGGTGGAGGTTGCAGTGAGCCAAGATTACATCACTGCACTCCAGCCTGGCAACAGAGAGAGACTCTGTCTCAAAAAATAATAATAATAAAAGAAAATAAAGATAAGAATGCTGAAATATTTAGGGGAGAAGTGTCATGATATCTACAACTTCCAAAAATATATATGTACATATGAAGTTCAATTAAGCAAATATGTCAACGTGTTAGCAACTGGTGGATCTGGTGAAAGGTATATGGTTATTCATTCTTCCAACTTTTCAGCTAACTTGAAATGTTTCAAGCAAAAAAAAAAAAAAAAAAGGTAAAAGGAAATCAAACCAAAAATGAAGGCTACTTAAGCTGCGTATGTGTTTAAAATGAACTTGATATGATTATCAAACAACAGAATAGTCACTATGGCCATTAGGCCAGTGATGGATTGAGGAAGGGGAGAGTACAGAAATTCTAAAGGCAGGAAGGAAGGCCAGGTGGGAGGTTGTTGCAGAGGTGTAATTAGTAGGACTCAGCGATTGAAGGAGGAATTAGGAGGGAGAAGTTGAAGAGGAATCTGAGAACCCCGGAGAAGGAGTTTCTGTAGAGGAGTTGCTGACTTCAGTTGTGAATGTGGGGGGTTTGAGATACTTGTGCACCATCCTGAGGACAGGGTTGTATATTCATCTCTTCAGTCCATAAATGTTTTCTGAGGGCTTATATTGCCAGGCACTTGTCTGGATGCTTGCTATATGGCAATGAATGAAACAGAATTCCTTGCCTTCGTGGGGCATATAATCTATCATTTAGAGGGCAGACAGTAAACTGGTGATGAGGAAGCAGTCTGTTGGAAGATGGTAATTGCTGAGGGGGTGGAATTTGTGCATTGTTGGGGTTAGGGGCTTTTGACTAAGAGACTGAGGGATGTGAGCCATGTAGATATCTGGGAAGAGCATTCCAGGTAGCAGGAATATCACGTGGCAAGGCTCTGAGGCAGGAGGCTGTCTGGCAAGAAGGCCAGCATGATCTGTGAGACCTTATGGAAGGGGATGCTATAATGACTTTGGTTTTTCCTCTGAGAGAGACAGGAAGGCCTTGGAAGGTTTTGAACAGAGCACAGCACAATGTGACTCATATTTTCACAGGCTCACTCTGGCTGCTTTGTTGAAAATCAACTGAAGGGAGACAAAGGCAGAATAATATAGTCAAAGGCTAATGTGCCAGGGTAGAGCCACAGAAGGTGGTAAAAATTCTGGATCTATTTTGAAAGAAGAACTGACAAGATTTGCTATCAGTCCACATGGGAATGAGAAACACAGAGGGGTCAAGGAAACACCAAGCTGATTTTTTGTGGAGCAGTTTAAAAAATGGAGTCATGGCCAGATGCAGTGGCTCACACCTGTAATCCTAGAACTGTGGAAGGCCAAGGCAGGCAGATCACCTGAGGTCAGGAGTTCAAAATCAGCCTGGCCAATATGGCAAAATCTGTCTCTATTAAAAATACAAAAATTGGCCAGGCGCAGTGTCTCACACCTGTAATCCCAGCAGTTTGGGAGGCCAAGGCAGGAGGATCATGAGGTCAGGAGTTCAAGACCATCCTGGCCAACATGATGAAACCCTGTCTCTACTAAAAATAAAAAAAAATAGTTGGGTATGGTGGCACACGCCTGTAGTCCCAGCTACTTGGGAGGCTGAGGCAGGAGAATCGCTTGAATCCGGGAGGCATTCAGTGAGCTGAGATCATGCTATTGCACTCCAACTTGGTGACAGAGCAAGACTCAGTTTCAAAAAAAAAAAAAAGAAAGAAAGAAATACAAAAATTAGCTAATTAGGCAGGTGTGGTGTGAGCGCCTGTAATCCCAGCTACTCAGGAGGCTGAGGCAGGAGACTTGCTTGAATTCAGGAGGTGGAGGTTGCAGTGAGCCAAGATTGTACCACTGCACTCCAGCTTGAGTGACAGAGCAAAAGTCTGTCTCAAAAATAAAAATAAAAACAAAATGGAGTCAGCATGAACTAATTTGGGGGAAGATTATGGGAAGGGCATGTTTGGGGGGAAATATCTGAGGTTCAGTTTTGGACATGTGGCTGCCTTTAAGTGGAGATGCCAAGTGGCATCTGGAGTCTGGAATCCATGTGAGAGGTCTGGCCTGGAGACAGAAATTTGGGAGTTGTCAGCATATAAATGATATTTAAAGCCAGGAGACAGGATGAAGTCTCCTAAGGAGGGAGTTCAGAGAAAGAAGAGAAGAAATAGAGGACTGGGTGCTAAGGTGTTCCAACATTTAGATGTTCAGGAGGAAAGAACAATCAGTGATAGAGACTGAGAATGAGCAGTCAGAAAGGTGGAGGAAAAGCAGGTGAGCAGAGTCCCTGGGGCCACGAACAGGAAGCGTGTAAAGGAGGAGAAAGCGGGCAGGTAGTCTGCACCTCCCATGCACCCTGCCTCGGTCCTAGTGAGGAGCGAGTCCCGTGGTGCAGTTCTCTGCATGCTGGAATCTTGTTAGCCAGAATATGTTTTCCCAGACTCTGCCACACACATTCCGGTTTCTCTTGGCTCCAGATCTCTATCTTTTACTCTAACCCAAGCTTGTCCAACCTGTGGCCCACAGGCCGCATGTGGTCCTAGACAGCTGTGGATATAGTCCAATATAAATTTGTCAACTTTCTTAAAACATTAAGAGATTTGTGTGTGTGTGATTTTTTTTTGTTGTTGTTTAGCTCATCAGTTATGGTTCGTGTTAGTGTATTTTATGTGTGGCTCAAGATAATTCTTCTTCTAATATGGTCCAGGGAAGCCAGAAGATCGGACACCCTGCTCTGCATGTTCTTAAGCTGTCCGGCATCACTTCCTTGGTTCTCCAGTTCTCCATCACTGACTTCCTGTCAGTTTTCTACCTCTTTACAACTCTGATCCCTCTCTCAATTCCCCACAATCAGCTTATCCCCAGGACTTCAGTTCTGCAAACATTTCTTGAGCACCTATTTAATCTACTGGAATGTCTTTGACTTCAAATACCAGAAACATCAATTTACAGCAGCTTAAACACTGGGTTGATTTTTCTCACATAAGAAGTTTGGAGGAGGTATGTCAATATTCAGCAGTTCAGTGACGTAAGAGCTGACCATTCTGTCTAGCTCTTGACTTCTCCTTCATGGTCTCAAGCGGCTGCCCAGCTCCAGCCTTTATGGCCCCATCCAAGGCAGGAGGAAGGGGGAGTTGACACTTCATCCAGAAAGAAAAAGCTTTCTCAGATGTTCCCATAGACTTCTTCTTAAGTCTCTGAGCATCAGATCTATATTATGTGGCTACTACTGGCAAAGAAGGCTGGTGAAATCTTTATTTGGATGTTCCTGTCTCTCTTATGGAAAATAGGCAAAGGAAAAAAGGATGGGAAGAGCTGTTGGATCAGCCAGCTATCAAGTCTGCCACACTACCAAGTGCCAAATGCTTGCCAAGAATTGGAAATACAGAAATGATTAATGTAGTACCCATCCTGTCCCTGGAGCTTGCATTCTAGTAAGGAAGCATAAGAATGAATGGAGCCGGGCGCGGTGGCTCACGCCTGTAATCCCAGCACTTTGGGAGGCTGAGGTGGGTGGATCATGAGGTCAAGAGATTGAGACCATCCTGGTCAACATGGTGAAACCCCGTCTCTACTAAAAATACAAAAAAATTAGCTGGGCATGGTGGCACGTGCCTGTAATCCCAGCTACTCAGGAGGCTGAGGCAGGAGAATTGCCTGAATCCAGGAGGCTGAGGTTGCGGCCGAGATTGCGCCATTGCACTCCAGCCTGGGTAACAAGAGCGAAACTCCATCTCAAAAAAAAAGAATGGAGTAGCTTGGCTTGGTTTGGTGGAGACCAGGAGCCTTTCCTGACCCCCATGATCTAGGTCAGGTGCCCCTCCTTGGTGCTAAAACAATATCCTATGCTTACATTTACCAAGGCTTCTAAGCATACTGCATTGCCATTGTATATTTACTGGTGTCTCCCTCTCCCTTCCCCCAATGTGGACTAACTGGGGACTTATCTTTGAATCTCTAGTGCCTGGGTGTCTGGTATATTTGTAAAGGTTGAGTAAATGTTTGTTGAATGAATAAATGAAATGCCAAGGGAGTTACCCTAATTACCTTCTTGTCCTCGTTTGGGCCCTTATTCCCTTTTAGCTTTTTTTTTTTTTTTGAGAAAGGCTCTCACTCTGTGACCCAGGCTGGAGGGCAGTGGTGCAATCTCAGTTCACTGCAACCTTCACGTCCCAGGTTCAAGCGATTCTCCTGTCTCAACCTCCCGAGAGCAAGGATTACAGGTGTGTGCTACCACACCCAGCTAGTTTTTGTATTTTTAGTAGAAATGGTGTTTCACTATTTTGGCTAGGCTGGTCTCGAATTCCTGACCTCAAGTGATCTGCCCACCAAGGCTTCCCAAAGTGCTGGGATTATAGGTATGAGCCACTGCGTCCGGCCCCTTCTTACCTTTTTTAGCTAGTTAACTCATATTTACATTCTAATAGCAAAATCTCTAACACCTTGCCAGAAAACAATGCCGATTCCCCAATCAATTTTTTAATGTTAAAAAATATATTTATTCTCATATTCAGTAGAACACTGAACTTACAAATTTATGGCCAGTAAAGTTGTATATTTCAGCATCTGAAAAGCTAAAAGTAACTTATACACTCCAGTCTCATAGTACTTAGAAAATGGGATGCTTAATTTTTCGATTTTTTTTTTTTTGAGACGGAGTTTCGCTCTTGTTACCCAGGCTGGAGTGCAATGGCACGATCTCGGCTCACCGCAACCTCCGCCTCCTGGGTTCAGGCAATTCTCCTGCCTCAGCCTCCTGAGTAGCTGGGATTACAGGCACACGCCACCATGCCCAGCTAATTTTTTGTATTTTTAGTAGAGACGGGGTTTCACCATGTTGACCAGGATGGTCTCGATCTCTTGACCTCATGATCCACCCGCCTTGGCCTCCCAAAGTGTTGGGATTACAGGTGTGAGCCCCCGCGCCCAGCCCAATTTGTTGTTTTTTATTTCAAAGAGATGTATAGTTAATCTGACTCATTTGAATAACAGTGAGTGAACTGCAGATACTGTTATCAAAGATAGCAATTCTACAGGAATAAATAATTTTTAAGGAAGTAACCATGTTCTTATAATATTGTCTAAATAATTAAAATGACATAAAATGACAAGAACATTTTATGAAATATTAGTTCTTAAAATAAGTGGGGGTCTTTTTGGTTTGTTTTCTTTGGCTTTATTGAGGTATAATTGACAAATAAAAAAATGTTATATTCAGCCAACCTTGGTGGCTTATGCCTATAATCTCAGTGCTTGGGAGACCGAGGTGGGAGGCTACATAGAGCCCAGGAGTTCAAGGTTACAAAGAGCTGTGATTGCACTTGCACTCCAGCCTGGGTGACAATCCTGTCTCTGAAAAAAAAATGCATATATATATATATATATATGTATGTATATATACACATACACACTCACATACACACACATATACATATTCAAAGAGTACAATGTTTTAATATACACATTGTGAAATGATTGCACAATCAAGCTGATTAACAAATCCATCACCCTCATAGTTAGCTTTTGTGTATGTGTGGTGAGAACCCTGAAGATCTACTCTCATAGCAGATTACAAGTATACAATACATTATTAGTAATAATAGTCAATGCTGTGCATCAGGTCTCCAGAACTTGCTCATCTTATAACTACAAGCTTATACCCTTTGATCAATGCTTCCCTATTTCCCCACCTCCCTGTCCCTGGTAACCATCCTCTCCTCTCTGTTTATGTAAGTTCAACTTGGTAGATTTCTCATGTAAGTGAAATCATGCAGTATTTATTTTTCTTTGCCTGGTTTATTTCACTTGGCATGATGTCTTCCAGGTTCACCCATATTGTCACAAATGGCATGAATTTCTTCTTTTCCAAGGTGAAATAATATTTTATTTTGTGTGTATATATGTCTACACACACACATACTCATATATATATACCACGTTTCTTTATCCACTTATCCACTGATGGACACAGACTAATTCCATATCTTCACTATTCTGAATAGTGCTGCAGGCTGGGTGTGGTGGCTCATGCCTGTAATTCCAGCACCTTGGGAGGCCAAGGCAGGCCGATCACCTGAGATCAGGAGTTCAAGACCAGCCTGGCCAACATGGTGAAACCCCGTCTCTACTAAAAATATACAAAAATTAGCTGGGCGTGGTGGCATGCCTCTGTAATTCCAGCTACTCAGGAGGCTGAGGCTGGAGAATCACTTGAACCCAAGAGGCAAAGGTTGCAGTGAATGGAGATCACACCACTGCATTCCAGCATGGGCGATGACAGAGCAAGACTCCATCTCAAAAATAATAATAAAATAAAATAAAAATAAATAGTGCTGCAATTAACATGGGAGTGCAGCTATACCTTTGATACTGATTTTCTTTCCTTTGGATATACACCCCAAAGTAGGATAGCTGCATCGTATGGTAGTTCTACTTTTAATTTTTTGACAGACCTCCATATTGTTTTCCATAATGGCTATACTAATTTACATTCCCACTAGCAATGTACAAGGGTTCCCTTTTCTCTACATCCTCACCAATACTTGTTATTTTTTGACTTTTTGTTGTGAAGTGATATCCCATTGTGGTTTTGATTGAATTTCCTTGATTATTAGTGATATTAAGTATCTGTTTTTTGTTTTTTTTTTGAGACAGAGTTTTGCCCTTGTTACCCAGGCTGGAGTGCAATGACATGGTCTCTACTCACCGCAACCTCTGCCTTCTGGGTTCAGGCAATTCTCCTGCCTCAGCCTCTTGAGTAGCTGGGATTACAGGCACGCGCCACCATGCCCAGCTAATTTTTGTATTTTTAGTAGAGACAGGGTTTCACCATGTTGACCAGGATGGTCTCGATCTCTTGACCTTATGAACCACCCGCCTCGGCCTCCCGAAGTGCTGGGATTACAGGCATGAGCCACCGCGCCCGACCAAGTATCTTTTCATATACCTGTTGGCCATTCCTATGCCTTCCTTTGAGAAATGTCTGTTCTAATTCTTTGCCCATTTTTAAGTCAGGTTTTTTTTTGCTATTGAGTTGTATGAGTTCTTTATATATTTTGGATATTAACTTCTTATCAGATATATGGTTAGTAAACAATAGCTCCCATTCCACAGGTTGTGTTTTCTTTTTATTGATTGCTCCTTTGCAGTGCAGAAACCTTTTAGTTTGATGTAGTCCCACTTGTTTTTTTACTTTTGTCAACTGTGCTTTTGGTGTCATATTCAAAAAATCATTGCCAAGACCAATGCCATGGAGCTTTCCCTGTTTTCTTCTAGTTTTACAGTTTCACATCTTAAATACTTAATTATTATCCAATTAATAGTTAATAAAATTAATATTTACATATGTAATTCATTTTGAGTTTGTTTTGTGTATGATGTAAGATATAGATCCAATTGTGGATCATGCCTGTAATCCCAGCACTTTGGGAGGCCGAGGTGGACAGATCACGAGGTCAAGAGATCAAAACCATCCTGGCCAACATGATGAAACCCCATCTCTACTAAAAATACAAAAAATAGCTGGGTTTTGTGGCACATGCCTATAGTCCCAGCTATTCGGGAGGCTGAGGCAGGGGAATCGCTTTAACCTGGGAGGCAGAGGTTGCAGTGAGCCGAGATCACACCACTGCACTCCAGCCTAGCAACAGAGCGAGACTCCATCTAAAAAAAAATCCAATTTCATTTTTTTGTTAATATCCAGTTTTCCTGACACCACTTTTTGAAGAGACTATCCTCTCCCCATGTCTATTCTTGATTCCATCGGTCTATGTGTCTATTTTTATGTCAGTACCATACTTTTTGGATTACTATAGATTTGTAAATATTATTTAAAATTAGGAAATGTGATGCCTTCAGTTTGTTCTTGGTCAAAATTGCTTTATTTATTTGGGAGCTTTTGTGATTCTATATGCATTTTAAGATTTTTTTTCTATTATTATGAAAAATGCCATTGGAATTTTGATAGGGACTACACTGAATCTGTAGATTGCTTTGGGTGTTATGGATATTTTGACAACGTTGATTCTTTCAACTCCCATCACCTTTTTGAGGGCATAATTATATAAAGTTCTAGAATGTTACATCTAATAGAATTGTCTGCTTCAGTCGTAATGATGAGGAAACTGAGACAGAGAGAGATGGAGTGATTTCTCTAGGATCACACAATCTTCATGGCTTGTATAAGTGGCGTTCCAACTGTTTGCCAAGTACTACTATAAGTACTTAATGCATGTAAATGCATTACTGCATTTAAACCTCATAAAGCCTTATAATATTACTTCATTTCTTCAAATTTTTATTTAGAAAGAATTTTAATTTATAGAAAAGTTGCAAGAAAAGTATGATGCTCAACCAATTTTGCCACATTAGTGCATCTCAGTACCTCTCACTCTCTTTCTACACACAGACACCCCTGAACCTCTTGACCTTTCACACCTAAATTAATGTATGTGTCTCCTACCATCAATGATGTACTCCTACGTAACCATACCACATTCATTCACTCAGGAAATTTAATATTAATGCCATAATATTTCCCCAATATCCCAAAAGTAAACTTTGTAGCTGTTTTTAAACAGTTGGTCCAGGATGCAGTCAAGGTTCACACTTTTCATTTCATTTTTAAGCCTCTAAAGAGTTCCAAATGTGTGTTTTTCTGTTGTTGTTGTTGTTGTTGTTCATGACGTTGACATGTTTGAAGAGACTAGGGCAGTTTGTCTCCAGAATGATCCATGATTTGGATTTGACTGTGACCTTATCCATGATAGAATCAGGTTAAATATCACTGGCAGGAGCACATTGCTGTTTATCACATTTCAAGGCGCAGGATTTCAATTTGTTTCATTTTGTTGATCTTAAGTGTGATTTCTTCGAGATTGTGAAATTTCTATACCCCAACAACCTTTTACCCTATCCTTTTAGCATGCACTGAGGATTTTCCCCTGAATTACTTATTAACATGTTGGTTGTAAAATGGTGTTACAGGCATTTTATAAGTGAGGAATCTTAAGTTTCCAAGGGAAGGGGTTCTTATACATTGTGGAGCCAGGATTTGATCCCAGGCACATCTGATTCCAAGGCCCACAGTCTAATATACTAATTTATATTAGAAAAGCATTTCCACTTGATTCCAGTGCCCTCGGTCAGAAACTGTGTCTTCTCCATTTGTGATTTTTTGTTTTTGAAACCCAAGAACTCCCACCATCAGAGATGAGATGAAATTGTAAGGAGGAAGAAGAGGATGCAATCCAGCTGTGCCAAATCTTTATGCAATTACACACACACACACACACACACACACACACATTTTTACAGCAAACTTTCTGTTGAAACAACATGCTTCTCAAGGACTCCACTCTTTCCATATGGCTTAAGGTTTCCTACCACAGTCTGTTTCAGGTACTTAACCTTCTTGGCTCGCTACTGTGCCTTGCAATTGACGTGCCTTTGTCAGCATCCTAAAGCCACCTGTTTCATCTTAAAGAAATTTCAGAGTTGGCAACATGCTGGACAGGGAAAGATGAGCCCCCTGTTCAGATGAGTCAGCACTTACCATTTCTTGGCCTCTGGAGTGGTCTCATAGTTATAGTAGCCAAGCACTCAGGAAAAATCCCACCAGCCTTGCCTAGGAGCTGTATAAGCTTCATCAACACATGGTGAAATCTGTTATCTCGAGCCCAATTCACCTGACCCCTGGTGTGGCCACAAAGGCCCTTTGAGAGCTCAGCACCTTGTGGTTAAAGGCCTTTGAAGTTAGCTCTAAGTTTTAATGCCAGCCTCCTCATTTACTAGCTGTATGATTTTGAGCAAGTTACTGAACCTCTCTGAGCTACAACGTCCTCATTTGGAAAATGGAGATAGTAATACATCCTCTTGAATGGTGTTAGAATTAAAGGAGATAATGTACCTAAATAGCCTGGAGTTGCATGCAAATTATATTTGCAACAAATGGTAGTTATGATTATTATCTGACCACTTGCAAACAGCTCCCCATATTCACATATCATTCTGGCCACAACAAATACATTTGTAAAGATTTTGCTTGCAAGAAACTGAACCTCATTTCAAAAGTTTAAGAAAAATGTGTGAATTTATTGGCTTTCATAAATGGAATGCTCAGGAAATGGATGGCCTTAGAGACTTAGAGCTTAGCTCCCCTCTGGTCTTCGCCCCATTCTCTCCTGTGATACCAGATGGCATCTTTCATAGAGTGGGAGGAGGGGCCATGTAGCCAAAGACCATTCTAGGCTTCTATCATCCCCAAAAGTTAGATGCATGCATATCACCTAAAGTCCTAAATGGGTAAAAAGTACTGGAAATCCTATCTCAGAAAAATCCAAAGAAATGTGCTGTTTTGACCCAATTATTTTCCAGGTGAAAAAGGGGCAGAGAAAAGTGTCACTGCCAATGCATTCAGAGCTCTTGGGTGTTCTGTCTATAGCCCAGGAAAATAAAGGAACATTGTGGCTGGTTGTTTACAGTGAATTAAAGACTTGAGTCAAATCTCTGTTGAAGAGTTTCCTAGATGACCAGCAGCAAATTCTCATAACACTTTGGTTCATGAAACCATGAGGCCCTATGATATCCTTCCTTTCTCAATGACCTCCTCGGGCTGTCTCTGCCATGTCGTTGGTTTCTAAAGGTTATTATTCCTAGTTTGCTGTCTGCAGTTTCCCATCAGATGTCAAGTTCAGAAGTTCCTTTGAAGGACCATAATTAAGAAGGATCAACTTAATTTTAAAATAAACTTTGAGGTTTCAAGACAAATTGTTATTTATGGCGAATTAACTTTTTTTGTGTGAGATAAAGGAAGTCAGTTTCCAGCTTCTGGGTTGATTGGCAAAATGTCACAAACAAGTGAATGAACATAAAAAATGTGACAAAATTTAACTTTACATTTTAGATTAAAATGACTGTTGTCATCTAAAATCCTTATCTAATAGTTAAATTTTATTTTTTCATCAAACCTGCCCTATCCTATGCTTTGCTTAATGCGTACCACTTCTCCTAATGAATGTCCAAGGTATTGTATTAAGCATATAGATAGGTAATTGTAAATTGGGAAAAACAGGAAGTAAAGTCTTAACTGGTAAATTTCAAGGCTAGAGGGAGGGTGTCTTAGCTTTCCTGATTTCAGAGCAAAAATAAAATACTCCAGAATATAATGCAAAGATAAAATTTGAGTTTGGGGAAATGTTTGGTTGAAACTTTTTCATTGTAAATCAACCCTTTTCTTGCCTGCTTGGTACCTGATTCTACTCTAAGAACATTATAGATTTTTTTGTTTTTGAGACAAAAAAACAGTTTGTTCTGTTGCCCAAGCTGGAGTGCAGTGGCATGATCTCAGCTCACTGCAACCTCCTTCTCACAAGTTCAAGTGATTCTCGTGCCTCATTCTCCCAAGTAGCTGAGATGACAGGCATGCCCCACCACATCTGGCTAATTTTTAAATTTTTATCAGAGATGAGGTTTCGCAGTGTTAGCCAGGCTGGTCTCAAATTCCTGGCCTCAGCCTCTCAAAGTGCTGGGATTACAAGTGTGAGCCATCACACCAGGACACATTATTGAATCTTTATTTGATGATGTAGCTCACTTTTTAGTCACTGATGACTATTCATATCTATAATTCTTCCTGTAGAAAGTATAGGAGAGAATTAAAAACCTGTGCTGATAACTTGCTTCCTTCTTTGGGATACATATTATCCTCTAGGTTCAAACTTTTTGCCAGATTTCAAGTCCCCTTTGAATACCCTGAAATTCAAACAAAATAATAAAGAAAAAAAATCAATTCTGCAGAAGGAAAAACAAATGGTCTCAATAAATGACCTCCTCAACAAATGGTCTTGGAACAACTGGAAAACTGTATGCTAAAAGATGAAGTTTAATCTACACTTCATGATATATACAAAAATTAACTCTAAATGTAAAAATTAAGTCTAAAACTTTAAAATTCTCAGAAGAAGGATTGAGGATCCAAGATGGCCAAATAGGAACAGCTCTGGAATGCCACTCCCAGTGAGAACAATGCAGAAGGTAAGTGATCACTGCATTTCCAAATGAGTTATTACTGCCCACAGGCCAGGAGATTCCCAGGCTGAAGAGCACCACGAGTTTCCAGCACAGCTGTTTCAGCCAGTGTAGTGGGTCTCTGCACAAAAACTCACACAAATCTGGGTGGCCATTTCAACTGGCACCTGGAATGGCTGGGAGACAGAGCTGCCCATTCAACTGAAAAAGGGGACTGAAACAGGAAGCCAGGTGATCTGGCTCAGTGGGTCCCACCCCGAAAAAGACCAGCAATATGAAATGCTCTGGATTGAGAGTTTCACAGCAAGCACAGCTAGATCCTGGACGGTCCAGCTCTGTTGGGGGAAGGGTGTCTGATATTACTGAGGCAGTCTGCCATTACTGAGGCAGTCTGTCATTACTGAGGCAGTCCGCCATTACCGAGGCAGTCCGCCATTACTGAGGCAATCTGCCATTGTTGAGACAGACCACCATTACTGAGGCAGTTCTAATGATACCTCTGTAAACAAAACCACAAGGAAGTTCACACAGCAGCTGGGCAGAGCCCATGGCAGGTCAGCAATGCCTCTGCTGGAAGACCGTGACTAGGCTACCTACTTGCTGGGCAGGGCATCTCTGAAAAAAGGCAACAGCATGTCAGGAACTTATAATTAAAGCCCCACATTCCCAGGACAGAGCACATGGGAAAAAAGGTGGTTATGAGTTTTGCTGCAGCAGACTTAAACATACCTGCCCAGCAGCTCTGAACAGAACAACGGAGCTCACTGTTCAGCAGTTGAGCTCCTATAAGGGACAGACTGTCTCCTCAAGCAGCTCCCTGACTCCTGTATATCCAGAGAGACACCTCATAAAGGAGAGTTCAGGCTGACATCTGGCAGGTATCCTTTTGGGATGAAGATAACAGAAGAAGAAACTGGCAGCAACCCTTATTGTTCTGCAGCTGCTGCAGGTGATCCCCAGGCAAGCAGGGTCTGAAGTGGACCTCCAGCAGTCCTACAGCAGAAGGGCCTGACAGTTAGAAGGAAAACTAAAAAACAGAAAGAAATAACTTCAACATCAACAAAAAGGATGTCCAATCAGAGACCCCCCCATCTGAAAGTCACCAACTACAAAGACCACAGGTGGACAAATCCTCAAAGATGGGAAGAAATCAGCATGAAAAGGATGAAAACACCCAAAACCAGAACTCCTCTCTTCCTCCAATGGATCACAACTCCTCACCAACAAGGGAAGAAAGATGGATGGAGAATGAGTGTGATGAATTGACAGAAACAGGCTGCAGAAGGTGGGTAATAAAAAACTTCTCTGAGCTAAAAGAACATGTTCTAACCCAATGCAAAGAAACTAAGAACCTTGAAAAAAAGTTTGACAAAATGCTAATGAGAATAAACAGCTTAGAGAAAAATATAAATGACTTGATGGAGCTGAAAAACAAAACACAAGAACTTCACAAAGCATACACAAGTATCAATATCAAATTGACCAAGCAGAAAAAAGGATCGACCAAGCAGATGAAAGGATATCAGAGACTGAAGATGAACTCAATGAAATAAAATGAGAAGGTGCTCTCTCCCTAAGCAGCCTGAGGTAATCTGTGAAAATGGTTCACTATTCACTTGATCCAGAGAACCCCACAAAGTCATGCAAATCAAGCGGTTCCAATCTTTGTGTTCACTTTAACAACACACGTGAAACTGCCCAGGCCATCAAGGGTATGCATATACGAAAAGCCACGAAGTATCTGAAAGATGTCACTTTACAGAAACAGTGCATACCATTCCAATGTTACAATGATGGAGTTGGCAGGTGTGCCCAGGCCAAGCAGCGGGTCTGGACACAAGGTCGGTGGCCCAAAAAGAGTGCTGAATTTTTGCTGCACACGCTTAAAAATGCAGAGAGTAATGCTGAACTTAAGGGTTTAGATGTAGATTCTCTGGTCATTAAGCATATCCAAGTGAACAAAGCACCCAAGATGCACCACAGGACCTACAGAGCTCGTGGTCGAATTAACCCATACATGAGTTCTCCCTGCCACACTGAGATGATCCTTACTGAAAAGGAACAGATTGTTCCTAAACCAGAAGAGGAGGTTGCTCACAAGAAGAAGATATCCCAGAAGAAACTGAAGAAACAAAAGCTTATGGCATGGGAGTAAATTCAGCCTTAAAATAAATGCAACTAAAAGGAAAAGAAAAAAAAAATAAATAAAATGAGAAGGCAAGATTAGACAAAAAACAATGAAAAGAAATGAACAAAGCCTCCAGAAATATGGGATTATGTGAAAAGACTTAATCTACATTTGATAGGTGTACCTGAATGTGATGGAGAGAATGAATCCAAGGTGGAAAACACTCTTAAGGATATTATCCAGGAGAACTTCCCCAATGCAGCAAGGCAGGCCACCATTCAAGTCCAGGAAATACAGAGAACACCACAGAGATATTCCTCAAGAAGAGCAACCCCAAGCACATAATCATCAGATTCACTAGGGTTGAAATGAAGGAAAAATATGCTAAGGGAAGCCAGAGAGAAAGGTCAGGTTACCCACAAAGGGGAGCCCATCAGACTCACAACAGATCTCTTGGCAGAAACCCTACAAGCCAGAAGAGAGTGGGGGCCAGTATTCAGCATCCTTAAAGAAAAGAACTTTCAACCTAGAATTTCATATCCAGCCAAACAAAGCTTCATAAGCAAATGAGAAATAAAATTCTTTATGAACAAGCAATTGCTGAGAGATTTCGTCACCACCAGGCCTGCCTTACAAGAGCTCCTGAAAGAAGCACTAACCATAGAAAGTAACAACCAGTACCATCCACTCCAAAAATGTACCAAATGGTAAAGACCACTGACACAATGAAGAAATTGTGTCAACTAATGGGCAAAACAACCAGCAAGCATCAAAATGGCAGGATGAAATTCACACATAACAACATTAACCTTAAATGTAAATGGGCTAAATGCCCCAATCAAAAGACACAGACTGGCAAATTGGATAAAAAGTCAAAACTCATCAGTATGCTATATCCAGGAAACCCATCTCACATACAAGGACATACATAGGCTCAAAAAAAAAAAAAAAAAGGAATGGGAAAAGATTTACCAAGCAAATGGAGAGTAAAAAAAAAGCAGGAGTTGCAATCCTAGTCTCTGATAAAGTAGACTTTAAACCAACAAAGATCGAAAGAGACAAAGAAGGGCATTACATAATGGTAAAAGGATCAATGCAACAAGAAGAGCTAACAATCCTAAATATATATGTACCCAATACAGGGGCACCCAATTACATAAAGCAAGTTCTTAATGACCTGCAAAGAGACTTAGACTCCCATACAATAATAGTGGGAGACTTTAACACTCCACTGTCAATTTTAGACAGATCAACAAGACAGAAAATGAATAAGGATATCCAGAACTTGAGCTCAGATCTGGACCAAGCAAACCTAATAGACCTCTACAGAACTCTTCACCCCAAATCCACAGAATATACATTCTTCTCAGCACCACGTCACACCTACTGTAAAATTAACCACATAATTGGAAGTAAATCACTCCTCAGCAAATGCAAAAAAACAAAAAACAAACAAAAAAACCCACCAGAAATCATAACAAGCAGTCTCTCTGCAGGGAAATCAAATTAGGACTTAGGATTAAGAAACTAACTCAGAACCACACAACTTCATGGAAACTAAACAACTGGCTTTTGAATGTTGACTGGATAAACAACGAAATGAAGGCAGAAATAAAGATGTTCTTCAAAACCAACAAGTAAGAAGACACAATGTACCAGAATCTCTGGGACACATTTAAAGCAGTTTCTAGAGGGAAATTTATAGCAATAAATGCCCACATGAGAAGCAAGGAAAGAACTAAAATCAACATCTTATCATCAAAATTGAAAGAGCTAGAGGAGCAAGATCCAAAAAGCTCAAAAGCTAGCAGAAGACTGGAAATAATTAAGATCAGAGCATAAGTGAAGGAGATAGAGACACAAAAAAAACCTTTTTTTTTTGTCTGGAGCTGGTTTTTTGAAAAGATCAACAAAATAGACCATTAGCCAGATTAATAAAAAAGAAAAGAGAGAACAATCGAATAGATGCAATAAAAATGATAAAGGGGATATCATCATGATTCCACAGAAATACAAACTACCATCAGAGATTACTACAAACAACACTATGCACCTAAACCAGTAAACCTGGAAGAAATTGATAAATTCCTGGACACTTGCACCATCCAAGCCTAAACCCTAAATAGACCAATAACAAGGGCTGAAGTTGAGGCAGCAATTAATAGCCTGCTAACCAAGAAAAGCCCAGGTCCAGATGGGTTCACAGCCGAATTCTATGAGACATACAAAGAGGAGTTGGTACCACTCCTGAAATTATTTCAAACAATCCAAAAAGAGGGAATCCTTCCCAAATCAATTTATGAGACCAGCGTCATCCTGATACCAAAACCCGGGAGAGACTTAACTGAAAAAGAAAACTTCAGGCTAATATCCATGATGAACATAGATGCAAAAATCTTCAATAAAATACTAGCAAATTGATTGCAATAGCACATCAAAAAGCTTATCCGTCATGATCAAGTAGGCTTCATCCTTGGGATGCAAGGCTGGTGCAACATAGGCAAGTCTATAAATGTAATCCACCACATAAACAGAACCAAGGACAAAAACCACATGATTATCTCAATAGATGCAGAGAAGGCCTTCGACAAAATTCAACAGCCCTTTATGCTAAAAACTTTCAAGAAACTAGGTATTGACAGAATGTATCCCAAAATAAAAGCTATTTATGGCAAACCTACAGCCAATATCATACTGAATGGGCAAAAACTGGAAGCATTCCCTTTGAAATCTGGCACTAGACAAGGATGCCCTCTCTCACCACTCCTTATTCAATATAGTTTTGGAAGTTCTAGCCAGAGCAATCAGGCAAGACAAAGAAATAAAAGGTATTCAGTTAGGAAAGGAGTAAGTCAAATTGTCTCTATTTGCAGATGACAATTGTATATTTAGAAGACTCCATTGTCTCAGCCCCAAATCTCCTTAAACTGATAAGCAACTTCAGCAAAGTCTCAGGATACAAAATCAACGTGCAGAAATCACAAGCATTCCTATACACCAATAACAGACTTAAAGAAAGCCAAATCAAGAATGAACTCTCATTAACAATTGCTACAAAGAGAATATAATACCTAGAAATACAACTAACAAAGGGTATAAAGGACCTCTTCAAGGAGAACTACAAACCACTGCTCAAGGAAATAAGAGAGGACACAAACAGATGGAAAAACGTTCCATGCTCATGGTTAGGAATAATAAATATCGTGAAAATGGCCATACTGCCCAGAGTAATTTATAGATTCAACACTATTCCCATCAAGCTACTTATGACCCTCTTCACAGAACTGGAAAAAAAAAAAACCATCTTAAACTTCATATGTAACCAAAAGAGAGCCTGCATAGCCAAGACAATTCTAAGCAAAAAGAACAAAGCTGGAGGTATCACACTACCTGACTTCAAACTATACTACAAGGCTACAGTAATCAAAACAGCATGGTACTGGTACCAAAACAGAGATAGACCAATGGAACAGAACAGAGGCCTCGGAGGCAACACCACACATCTACAACCATCTGATCTTTGACAAGCCTGACAAAAACAAGCAATGGGGAAAGGATTCCTGTTTAATAAATGGTGTGGGGAAAACTGGCTAGCCATGTGCAGAAAACAGAAACTGGATCCCTTCCTGACACCTTACACTAAAATTAACTCCAGATGGATTAAAGACTTAAACATAAGACCTAACACCATAAAAACTCTAGAAGAAAACTTAGGCAAAACGATTCAGGATATAGGCATAGGCAAGGAGTTCATGACTAAAACACCAAAAGCATTGGCAACCAAAGCCAAAATAGACAAATGGAATCTAATTAAACTCCAGAGCTTCTGTACAGCAAAAGAAACAATCATTAGAGTGAACTGGCAACCAAGAGAATGGCAACCAACAGAAAAAATTTTTGCAATCTACCCATCTGACAAAGGACTTATATCCAGAATCTACAAATAACTAAAACAGATTTACAAGAAAAAAACAAATGAACCCATTCAAAAGTGGGCAAAGGACATGAACAGACACTTTTCAAAAGAGGACATATATGATGCCAGCAAACATATAAAAAAAATGCTAATTATCACTGGTTATTAGAGAAATGCAAATGAAAACCACATTGAGATACCATCTCATGCCAGTTAGAATGGCGATTATTAAAAAATTTGGAGACAACAGATGCTGGAAAGGATGTGGAGAAATAGGAACACTTTTACACTGTTGGTGGGAGTGTAAATTAGTTCAACCATTGTGGAAGACAGTGTGGCGATTCCTCAAGGACCTAGAAATAGAAATTCCATTAGACTCAGCAATCCCATTACTGGGTATATAGCCAAATGATTACAAATCGTTCTGTTATAAAGACACATGTACATGTATGTTCATTGCAACACTGTTTACAATAGCAAAGACCTGGAACCAACCCAAATGCCCATCGATGATAGACTGGACAGGGAAAATGTGGCACATATACACCATGGAATACTATGCAGCCATAAAAAACGATGAGTTTGTGTCCTTTATAGGGACATGGATGAATCTGGAAACCATCATTCTCAGCAAACTGACACAAGAACAGAAAATCAAACATTGCATGTTCTCACTCATAGATGGGTGTTGAACAATGAGAACACTTGGACACAGGGAGGGAAGCATCACACACTGAGGTCTGTTGGGCAGGGAATAGGGGAGGGCAGGGAGGTTGGGGAGGGATAACATGGGGAGAAATGACAGATATAGGTGACAGGGGATGGAAGCAGCAAACCACATTGCCATATACATACCTATGCAACAATTCTGCATGTTCTGCACATGTACCCCAGAACCTAAAGTGCAATAATATATATATACACACATATACATACACACACATATATATATACATATGTATACACACACATATATACATATATATATATATATTTACATCATGACCTTACGTTAGGCCAAAAATTATTAGATATGATACTAAAAGAATCATCTGTAGAAGAAAAAAAGGCCAGGTGTGGTGGCTGATGCCTGTAATCCCAGCACTTTGGAAAGTTGAGGCAGGCAGATCACTTGAGCTCAGGAGTTTGAGACCAGCCTGGGCAACGTGGAAAAACCCCCATCTCTACAAAAAATACAAAAACTAGCCAGGTGTGGTGGTGAGCACCTGTCGTCCCAGCTACTTGGGAGGCTGAGGTAGGAGAATTACTTGAGCCTCAGAGGTGGATGTTGCAGTGAGCTGAGATTGTACTACTGCACTTAAGCCTGGGTGATGGAATAAAACTCTGTTTCAAAAAAAAAGAAAGAAAGAAAATTAATTTGACATCAAACTTAAATACTTCTGCTCTGCAAAATTCATTGTTAAGAGACTGAAATGACAAGCCCACATATCCAACATGGGATTTTTTTTTTTCTTGAGACAGGGTCTTGCTCTGTTGCCCAGGCTGGAGTGCAGTGGTGCAATCTTGGCTCACTACAACTTTTGCCTCCCAGGTTCAAGTGATTCTCCTGCCTCGGCCTCCCATGTAGCTGGAATTACAGATGTGCACCACCATACCTGCCTAATTTTTGTATTTTAGTAGAGAAAGGGTTTCACCATGTTGGCCAGGCTGGTCTCGAACTCCTGACCTGAAGTCATCTGCCAACCTCGACCTCCCGAAGTGCTGGGATTACAGGTGTGAGCCACAGCACCCGGCCCTAACACAGGACTTGTATCCAGAATATATAAACAACTCCCAAAACTCAAAAATAAGAAAATATTCCTATAAAATGTGCAAAAGATTTAAACAGACATTTCATCATATGTGTTTGATAAGAAAACAAACAAAAAGATGCTCAACATGAGTAATCATCAAGGAAATGCAAATTAAGATCACAATGCAATTCACCCATTAGAACAGCTAAAATAAAAAAATACTGACAATACCAAGTATTGACAAGAACACAGAGCAACTGGAACTTTCTTATAATGCTAGTGGAAATACAAAATGAAAATCTGTTTCCACTCAGGAAAAAAGATTGTCAATTCCTTTCTTTCTTTCTATCTTTCTTTCTTTCTCTCTCTCTCTCTCTCTCTCTCTCTCTCTCTCTCTTTCTTTCTTTCTTTCTTTCTTTCTTTCTTTCTTTTTCTTTCTTTTTCTTTCTTTTTTTTTTCAGTCAGGGTTTCACTCTGTCACCTGGGAGTGCAGTGGTGCCACTATGGCTTACTGCAGCCTTAACCTCCCAGGCTCAGGCCATCCTCCCACCTCAGCTTCCTGAATAGCTGGGGCCACAGGTTCCCACCACCAGGTCTGGCTAATTTTTTTTCTCTAACTCTCCACATTTTTTTTCTTTTTTCATAGAGATAGGAGTCTCACTATATTGCCAGGGCTGGTCTTGAACTTCTGAGCTCAAGTGATCCTCCCACCTTGGCTTCCCAAAATGCTGGGATTAAAGGTATAAGCCACTGCCCCAGCCTAGATTGGCAGTTTCTTATAGAGTTAAATATATATCTACCAAAAGACTCAGCAATACCACTTCTAGGTAGTTACCCTCTATTCACACAAAAACTTGTAAACAAGTGTTTACAGAAGCATTATGTATAATCACAAAACAATGGAAACAACCCAGATGTCCTTCAATGGGTGAATAGAAAAACTGTGGTATATCCATTCAATGGAATACTATTCAGCAATAAAAAGGAACAAACTATTGATAAAGGCAATAACAAGTATGAATCTCAAAAGCATTGTGCTAAGTGAGAGAAGAGAGCCTCTCAAAATATTACATCCTGTAGGATTCCATTTATATGACATTCTGGAAATGGCAAAACTATAGAGACAGAGAACAGATCAGCAGTTGCCTAGGGCTAGGTGTTGGACAGGGCCTGACTACAAAAGGGCAGCACAAGGAAATTCTTCAGGAGTGTTGGTTTTGTTCTCTATCCCATTTGTGGTGGTTGTTACAAGAATCTATGCATGTGTAAAAATTCTTAGAACTATTCAAACAAAAAAGTAAATTCTAATGTACGTAAATTTTTTAAAACTTAAAAATCACCCTGTCAAATTTTGAGGCCGACATGGTAATATTCCTTTAGTAAATGTGTCGTGGAAAGGAAGCCTGTTTAAAACCAAAGCAGACATACTGAACCATTTGTGTTTCCCTGGGCGAAGCACTCTTCCTGATTCTTCAATGCAGTCTAAAGAATTCAGAAAAGACTACCTAATAAAAAAGAAATAGTATGCGTAGCAATTTTTTAAATTTTTATTTTATTCTAAGTTTTGGGATATATGTGCAGAATGTGCAGGTTTCTTACATAGGTAAATGTGTGCCATGGTGGTTTGCTGCACCTATGAACCCATTACCTAGGTATTAAGCCCTATATGCATTAGCGATTGATTCTGATGCTCTCCCTCCCCTCGACGCATAGCAAACTCACATTAGGAAATGTGTGTAAATCCATAAGACCAGAAATAAATTTGCTTGCCAACATGTATCAAATACCTTGGCAGAAAAATCGTTCTCATAGGCCAATTCTTTAGGCTCTGAAGCAGCAGCTGGTCTCTTTTGTTAAAAGAAGTTGTTCTTGGAATACATCTAGTTGAGAGGCCTCTTAGAATTTGCCCTGCATTTTTCTTATGCAAAGGACTTTATGTAAAAAGTTGGCCTGATAGAACAGGAGAATGATTGATGATGTGACACTTACAGTTCTTGCTGCTTATCAAAATATAGAGGATCATGTGTGTGTGTGTGTGTAGAATCTACTGTGTCTATATGTTTGAATAGATAACACATTAATATGATTTGACATTCTGTAGGTGCCAAACTGTTATTTATTAGTCAGAAACTCCTGTGGGACTGCTTCAGCCATTTGTAGCTGGTACCCATTTTGATTGATCAATGCCAAGGGCTATATGGGTTATTAAATATGTTCAATATCAGTCCTGTAAGAATATCAACCCAAAAATCTCCCTTTTTCTACTACTATATTTTCTGTAATTTTCAATACAGAGGCAGAAAGGCCTTTCAATATTGGGTTACATGAAGTTGGATGGAGGTGGGTATTTTAATTTAATCGTGTATAGCAACGTGAAACAGGCACATTTCATTCCAAAGCTATTTCTGAGAATCCTCCAATCTTTCTTCCAGGGCTCTCTTTCTTCCCATTTGTGTTCCCTTCTCCTTGCAGTCACCCCAAAAGCCTGCTCCTCTCCTGATGTTTATCTGGGACCAGATAAACATCCCACTGTGGGATGAGATAAACTTTCTCATCCCACAGTGCCCATCCCCTGGAATATTACTGCTGTGAGCTTGGGGCCACAAAAAGACACACAACAAACCTGCTAGCTCTTCTGAGAGCAGCAGTTTTTCTTTTTTGCTTTGCTTTTCTCTCTCTCTTTCTCTTTCTTCCTTTCTCATTCTCTGTCTCTTTCTCTCTTTCATTCTTTCTTTTCTTTTCTTTCTCTTTCTCCCTTTCTCTCTCTTTCTGTCTTTTTTCTTTCTTTCTCTTCTTTCTCTCTCTCTCTTCTTTTTTTCCTTTTTTAAACAGGGTTTTGCCCTGTCTCCCAGCTGGAGTGCAGCAGCCACAGCTCATTGCAGCTTCAGCCTCCTGGGCACAAGTGATCCTCCAGCCTCAACTTCCCAAGTAGCTGGGACTACAGGCACGCACCACTATACCTGCTAATTTTTGTATTTTTTGTAGAAATTGTGGGGGTGAGGGGTCTTATTATGTTGCCCAGGCTTGTCTCAAACTCCTGGGCTCAAGCATCTGCCCACCCCGGCCTCCCAAAGTGAGCCACTACACCTGGTAAAACACTTAAAATGTCACTTTAGGTCCTGTGAAGAGCAGCGTGGAGGTGGGCTGAGGTTAGCAGGTGGAGAGCGTGGAAGAAGATTGTGGTTTGAGTATTGGACTTCTGTTCTTGAACAGTCCCTGGGCCTGCCATAGGAAAGGAAGTTCTCCTGGGTAAGTGACTTGGACTTTCCTTTTCCCTCTAATAACATTTTTTCTTGGGCTGTGGCCAAACCTTAGGATTTTGATTCATCCCTTATTCAAACCGGTTTAGTTTCTCCCTGCTCTCACCTGGCCATCTTACCTAGGCACAGAAGACCTTGCTCTCATAACAGATAGTTTTCTCCCTGAGGGGGGACCTCTCCCAGCAGTTAAAGGAGTGATTCCTTTCCACCACTACATCTTGCACAGCTCCCATGAATTTGAAGGTAAAACAAAAACCTTGAAAGATACTTTGAGCTCACTGTGAGCAACGTTGAGTATTCACTCTCCTTTACCATCACAGTTCCCTTGGGAATGTTTGAGAAACAGTCCTTTAGGGCTTTAACAATGTTAAACACTGATGGAAGGGGTTTCATGCACGTAAAAATCCAAACTTCCCTTCAGGCACAGTAGTATCCAGCCCCTTGGTACCTCTCCGTCCTCTTCCAGTCAGTCTCTCCCTTGGTTCACTGTGATCCAGCTACAGTGAGCTTCTTGCAGTTCCTAGAATACTTGGAGCTCATTCCAGCCCCAGGGCCTTTTCACTTGCTGTTCCCTCTGCTTGGGATGCTCCTCTGCATGTTCTACCCTTGACTGGCCCCTGCTCTTCCTTCCCTCCAATGCCATCTCCTCAATGAAGCTTTTCCTGATTTCTCTTCCTGATGCACTCCCCACCCATGTTCATCTTTATCCCATCACCTCCATTGCTTCCTTCATAGCACTTACCATACTTTTACGTGTCTCATTTTAATGTCTGTTTCCCCCACTGGACCAAAAGCTCCAGGAGGATAGGGACCAGGACTGCTTTGTTCATCGGTACATCACTGGGAAGTGGCAAAGTGCTGGGCTTTTAGTAGGATCCCAATATGTAAATACTGAATGAATGATTGAGTTGAGTATAATGCATGCCCCTTCCAAGGGATTCCTGAAGATGTAAAGGCTTTCTTATCAAGGAATGAAGTTATGAGAGTAGAAAGATAGCATGCGGTTGCTATTTTAGATCAAGGAGATGTTCTAGTGTGATACTTCCAGTTACTGCCATGTGCTCTGCTAACCCAGAAGGTTGATAGAGCTCTTTTTTTTTCCCCCCGAGATGGAGTCTTGCTCATTGCCCAGGCTAGAGTGCAGTGGTGTGATCTCGGCTCACGGCAACTTCCACCTCCCAGGTTCAAACGATTCTTCTGCCTCAGCCTCCTGAGTAGCTGGGGTTACAGCTGCGTGCCACCACACCCAGCTAATTTTTTGTTGTTGTTGTATTCTTAGTAGAGATGGTGTTTCACCATGTTAGCCAGGATGGTCTTGATTTTCTGACCTTGTCATCCACCAACCTTGTCTTCCCAAAGTGCTGGGATTACAGGCTGAGCCACCGTGTACAGCCAGCTGACAGAGCTCTTTTTGCAGGTTTAAAAAGATTCTGGGCTGGGTACGGTGGCTCATGCCGTAATCCCAGCACTTTAGGAGACCAAGGTGGATGGATTGCTTGAGGGTAGAAGTTCAAGATCAGCCTGGGAAACATGGCAAAACCCCGCCTCTACTAAAAATACAAAAATTATCCGTGGCACATGCCTAGTCCCAGCTACTCGGGAGGCTGAGGAAGGAGAATTGCTTGAACCTCGGAGGCGGAGGTTGCAGTGAGCCGCTATCGCACCACTGCGTTCTAGCCTGGGTGACAGAGTGAGACTCTGTCACCAATAAGAAAAAAATAAATTCTGAAGACAAAAGATTAGCTCTCTTGAAGACCCTTAGTAAGGTTTGTTCAACCAGAGGCATCACTTTTGAAGAGATGGGCCTATATTTATTTTGCTTCCAAAATTTTAGATTCAGAGCAGTAAAAGATAATCATACACTTCATGATAGGTCAGTCCTCCAGAGAAGGCATAGTCCTTAACACTTGTTGATGACTTTTAACTGATTCTCTTTTAAATGGATTTTTCCTTCTTAATCCACAGATCACTGTTCTTATCTGCGTGAACACACATGGCTCTGTTACGAAAAAGTAAGACTACAACTTTGAAAATAATGATTAAAAAGTCAGATATTTGGGAGGGTTGTTTTGATGCTGGGGCTTTTTCTTCTTCCTTGAATTGTCTTTGCTTTTCATGGATAGTTTTGGCATCATCATTTCCGGATGATTCCCATGGAGAGTGTTCAGTATTTTAGTCAGAAGTGGACTTATCAGCTGGGTGCACCGGCTCACACCTGTAATCCTAGTACTTTGGGAGGCTTAGGTGGGCGGATCAGTTGAGCTCAGGAGTTCGAGACCAGCCTGGGCAACATGGCGAGACCCTATCTCTACAAAAAATACAAAAATTAGCCAGTTATGGTGGCAGGTGCCTGTAGTCTCAGCTACTCAGGAGGCTGAGGCAGGAGGATCGCTTGAGCCTGAGAGGCAGTCTGCAGTGAACCGAGATTGCACCACTGCATACCAGCCTGGGAGACAGAGCAAGAACCCCTCTCAACAAACAAAACAAACAAAAAAGAAGTGGAAGTGGACTTTTAAGAAGGATCATATATTTCTATAAAACTTGCAGATATAATGCGTTTTCTCATTCTGAATAAATATTTGTGTTCATAAGTAATTTAGCATTTGTAATTTGTAATTTTGTATTCATATTCTTAAAGAGTCACCTCAACTCTTCAGACCCATCAGAACCTGGATTTGCCTCTGATGGTAGATTCAGTCATTTGTGAATTTGGGGAGAGACATAGTAACCTAATTGTGTTACCCTCAGGGTAGAGTTCCCAGATTCAGCAAACAAAGACACAGGACAGGACAACCAGTTAAATTTGAACTTCAGATAAACAACAAATAAATTTTTAGTATAATATGTCCCAAATATTGCATAAGACATATTTGCACTAAAAAAGTAATTTTATTAGGCAACTCTATGTCAGTGCTAACAGCCACAGTTGAAAGTGTCAGATGATAGTAGACACTGGGCCACCTCCCCAAATTGGTTGTGGCAGGTGAATTTTTTTTTTTTTTTTTTAAGCAGAATTCTCTGCTCTGTCACTGAGGCTGGAGTGCAGTGATGTGATCTCTGCTCACTGCAACCTCTGCCTCCCGGGTTCAAATGATTCTCCTGACTCAACCTTCCAAGTAGCTGGGATTACAGGCACCCGCCACCATGCCTAGCTAATTTTTGTGTTTTTAATAGAGATGGGATTTTGCTATGTTGGCCAGGCTGGTCTGAAACTCCTGACCTCAAGTGATCCACCTGCCTCGGACTCCCAAAGTGTTGGGTGTGAGCCACCACGCTCAGCCGTGGCAGGTGTGTATTAATCGGACCTGTTGATAAATTGTAGAATTTTGTCCATTTTCTGCTTCTCAATAATTTTGTTTTAAACTGAGTCTAGTATCTGATTGATCCTGGCTGATCTGTAATTTATAAGGCAGTGAGGAACTGGGTGTCAGCAAAATAGAATCACAGCCTCAGGATGTAGCTTTGAAAGGCATCCATGGAGACTCTTTTCTTTTACAAAAGGGAAAACAAAGGCATAGAGGCCAAAAAACTAGATCCATAGGCAGTCAATAGATTAAGTCTCTTGATACATACAAATAATAAAAAATAATATGGGCTGGGCGTGGTGGCTCATGCCTGTATTCTTAGCACTTTGGGAGGCGAAGGAGGGTGGATTACATGAGGTCAGAAGTTTGAGATCAGCCTGACCAACATAGTGAAACTCTGTCTCTACTAAAAATACAAAAATTAGCTGGGCATGATGGTGGATGCCTGTAATCTCAGGTACTTGGGAGGCTGAGGCAGGAGAATCACTTGAACCCAGGAGGCAGAGGTTGCAGTGAGCTGAGACTGTGCCATTGCTCTCCAGCCTGGGCAACAAGAGTGAAACTCTGTCTAAAAAACTACATTTTTCTTTAAGTTGACTGATTTTTGTAAGTGTAATTCATAATAGAAAGTTCTTATCCTTCCTGTAAATGAAAACAGAATGATTGCCTATCATAAAAAAAAGTAGCTTTCAACATGTATACAATTAGAAAAATGTGATTCAATTCTGGGTAGCTTTTATTGTGCTCCTGCACATAAAATTAGAAAGACTGACTTTCTCATATGGTGATGTAATATCACTTAATGCTATGAACATGAACCTCCCCAATCATTTCATGCACCACCAGTGCTATGTGTTCTATACTCAAGAAAACACTGTTTTACGCCACTCTACTTCTCTCCACATCCTAAGAGGAAACATCACTGGAACAGACAGACCTGGAGGCTTAGAGGCACTGGGGTCTTCTAACTGCTTACCTAGGGCAGGCAAGAATTTTCTGCCTTTCCTTCTCTCTCTCTCTTTCCGTCCTTCCTTCCTTCCTTTCTCTCTCTTTCTTTCTTTTTCTTTCCTTCCTTCCTTCTTTCTTTCTCTTTCTCTCTCTCTCTTTCTTCTTTCTTTCTTTCTCTCTTTCTTTCTTTTTCTTTCCCTCCCTCCCTCCCTCCCTCCCTTTCTTCCTTTCTTCCTTCCTTCCTTCCTTCTTCCTCTGTCTCCCAGACTAGAGTTCAGTGGCACAATCTCAATTCACTGCAACCTCCGCCTCCCAGGCTCAAGCAATTCTCATGCCTCAACCTCCTGAGTATCTGAGACTACAGTCATGTGCAACACCCAGCTAATTTTCGTATTTTAGTAGGGACAGGTTTTCGCTATGTTGGCCAGGCTAGTCTCAAACTCCTGGCCTCTGGTGATCCACCTGCCTCAGGCTTCCTAAGTGCTCAGATTGCAGGTGTGACCACCACACCTGGCCTGCACATCATCCTTGACCAGGGGTTGAGTTAACTGAGAAGCAACTGTGTCATAATGGCTAAGAACATGTACTTATAATTACTACTGGCTCATAGAAGAATCATTTAAACTCAACACAATAAAAGCCACGTGTGAAAGACCGACAGCTAGTATCACACTAAATGGGGAAAAACTGAAAGCCTTTCCTTTTACATCTGGAACACGACAAGGATGGCTGCTTTCACTATTGTTATTCAACACAGTACAGCAAAAGAAATAAAGAGCATCCAAATTGGAAAGGAAGAAGTCAAATTATCCTTGTTTGAAGATGATATATTTTTGTTTTGTTTTGGAGAGAGGGTCTCGCTCTATCATCCAGCCTGGAGTGCAGTGTTTCGATCTTGGCTCACTGCAACCTCCACCTCCCAGGTTCAAGCAATTCTCATGCCTCAGCCTCCCAAATAGCTGGGATTACAGGCATGCATCATCACGCCCAGCTAATTTTTGTACTTTTAGTAGAGATGTGGTTTGCCATGTTGCCCAGGCTGGTCTTGAACTCCTGGCCTCACGTGATCTGCTCATCTCAGCCTCCCAAAGTGCTGGGATTACAGGTGTGAGCCGCTACTCCTGGCTGATATAATCTTATATTTGGAAAATTCTAAAGACTCCACCAAAAACAATTAGGACTGATATACGAATTCAGTAAAGATGTAAGACCTCTGAGCAACAATAGTGTTCCAGGTTAATTCTTTCTGTTTGTTTTTGTATTTGAGACAGGGTCTGGCTCTGTCACCCAGGCTGGAGTAATCTTGGCTCACGGCATCCTCTACCTCCCAGGCTCAAGCCATCCTCCTATCTCAGCCCCACAAGTAGCTGGGATTACGGGTGCATACCACCACACCCAACTAATTTTTGTAGGGTTTTCTTGTTCGTTTAAATTTTTTTTGTAGAGGCAGGGTTCCACTATGTTGCCCAAGCTGGTCTTGAACTCCTGAGCTCAAGTGATCTGCCTGCCTCAGCCTCTCAAAATACTGGGATTACAGGCATGAGCCACCACACCTGGCCAGGTTAATTCTGTATATGCTATCTGCTTATAGAAAGGTCTCAGACCACCATTTCTCCATGTGACATGGAAGGTATCTACTCACATTACCATGCTAAACTTTGTCACGTGATTTCGGGTTCACAGGTTCAACATTAACGTGTTTCCATTTCTATGTCAGTTAATCAGGTGCTGCTGTTCCTTCTGATCGTGACCCTCTGTGTGATTCTGTATAAGAAAGTACATAAGGGGACTGTGCCCAAGAATGACACAGGTGAGCAGACATGGAATTCGTTGAGATGGGATATACAGGAATGTGGTTTGAATGTGTCCTTTCTAGGTCCTTTCACTATCTGGGTTCAGGGACAAGTGACAGTTTGGTCAACTCTCAAGGACCTGCTAGTAGAATATCTGCCCTAGACCACCTTTTCAGTTGTTCTCTAGGGTGGTCGGTGCTATTAAACTTTAGCATGTGTGAGATTCACATAGAGAGCTTGCTAAAATGCAGCACTGGGCCACCTGCCAGTTAGCTCCTGATTGAGGCTGATGCTGTGGGTTCTTGGATCACACAGTGGGTGTACCACTTTACACCCCATTTCTTTGGAGCTTCTCAATGACTTTGCTTATGGAAACCACCCTCTCTCTCCTCTCCCTGCTGGTAAATTCCCATCAGTGCAAGACAGCCTCATAACTCTCAACTTGAAAATGGCCCTCCATTGGCCCTGTGTTCTCTCCCAGCTGCACTGAGAACTGTGTTTCCCTCATGGGGGTGAATTGCTTGAGATGACACCTTCATAACTCCAATGCACACACAAAATCAATCTCCATAAAAATAAAGAAGCACTGCTTATTACAGTTTAATAAAAAAGTGAACTTTTTTTTTTTTGAGACAGAGTCTCACTCTGTTGCCCTGGCTGGAGTACAGTGGCACAATAGCAGCTCACTGCAGCCTCAACCTCCAGGGCTCAAGCAATCCTCCTGCCTCAGCACCCTCAGATAGTTGGGACTACAGGTGTGTGCCACTACACCCAGCAAACTTTCTGTCTTTTTTGGAGAGATGGGTTTTGCCATGCTGCCCAGGCTGGTCTTTAACTCCTGGGCTCAAGCTATTGTCCTGACTTGGCCTCCCAAAATGCTGGGATTACAGGCATAAGCTACCATGCCCAGCTAATTTACTTTTTATATCAATCAAGCAAATATACACTTATGGGCTGGCGGTGGTGGCTCATACTTGTAATCGTAGAACTTTGGGGGGCCTAAGGTGGGAGAATCACTTGAGTCTAGGTGTTTGAGACCAGCTAAACCTAGGCAACAAAGCGAGACCCTGTCTACACTCACAAAAAAAATTACCTGGGCATGGTGGGGCTTGCCTATAGTCCCAGCTTCTCAAGAGACTTGGATGAAAGGATCACTTGAGCCTAGGAGATCTAAGCAGCAGTGAGCCCTGATAGTGCCACTGCACGTCAGCTTGGATGACAGAGTGAGATTCTGAATACAGTTACTATTTTGATGTGTTACATACATTTATTCGTCACTTTTTTTTTTTCAGCCAGATGCTTAGGGACTGGAAACACAACAGTGAACAAAAACAAATCCCTATTTCGATGAAGCTGGCATTTCTTTTTTATTCTATTTTGTAATTTAAAAATTAATTTGGGCTGGGCATCATGGCTAGCACCTGTAATCCCAGCACTTTGGGAGGCCGAGGTGGGTGGATCATGAGGTCAGTAGTTCAAGATCAGGCTGGCCAAAATGGTGAAACCTCATCTCTACTAAAAATACAAAAATTAGCCAGGTTCCTGTAATCCCAGCTACTCAGGAGGTCGAGGAGGAAAATTGCTTGATTCTCTACCTGGGAGGCGGAGGTTGCAGTGAGCTGAGATTGTGCCACTGCACTCCAACTGGGCGACAGAGTGAGATGCTGTCTCAAAAAAAAAAATCATTTAAAAATAATTAAAAATGTATAATCTGATCTAAATGAACATAGAGAGCATCTGCAAAGAGAATGATTTTCACACAAAGACATATATACAGATGTTCATAGGGTATAATTCATAGTAGCCTCAAACTGGAAACAATTCACATGTACATCAACTAGTGAATGGATACAAAACACGTAATTTATCCCACACAATGAAATACTTTTTGACAGTAAAAAGGACCAAATGACTGATACAAGCTACAATATGGATGAGCCTTCCTATTTACAATAGGAAAGAAAACTGTGCTAAATATAGACCATATATTGTATGATTCCATCTATATGAAATTTCTAGGAAAGGAAAATCTATGGAGACACAAAGCAGATTGGTGGTTCTAGAGCTGGGAGTGGGAATAGATTGACTGCAGACCCGCCGGCTCGGTGGAACTTTCTAAAACTGGATAGTGGTGACGGTTGCGCAGCTCTCAAAATGTACAAAACATCATTGAACTATGCACTTACAATGGGTAAATCTTTTCTTAAAATCTGTATTTGTTTGCTAGGGCTGCCATAACAAACTAGCACAGACTAGAAGGCTAGACCATAGAAATGTGTTTTCTCTAGTTCTGGAGGCCGGAAGTCCAGGATCAAGGTGTAAGCAGGTTTGGTTTCTCCTGAGGCCTCTCTCCTTGGCATGCAGACAGCCGCCTTCTTGCTGTGTCCTCACGTGGCATTTTCTCTGTGCTGCAGTTTTGGTTGTGACCCTCTATATGATTCTCCTCTTTTCCTCCTCTTATTAGGATACCAGTCTTATTGGGTTAAGGCCGCACTAAATGACTTCACTTTAACTCAATTTCCCCTTTAAAGGCTCTGTCTCCAAGAACGCACATCCTGAGATGCTGGGAGCTAAGATGTTAACAGGTGGACTCTGGAGGACACAATTCAGTCCATAGTAGTATCTACATCTCAATAAACTGTTTTAAAAGAGAGAAAAGGAAATCATGTAAAGACATATGTTATCTGAACTTCTGACTCCATTCCTCACACTTCCCTCCCTGCTCATAAACCAACACATTCGCTCAACTAATCCCACCACAGACTCCCTTCTTCAGAGAAAGAAGTGGACCAGTTTCAAAACAGCTGTTAAAACAGCTCTAAAGAAATGCACATCCTGACCGACTAATCATCTATATAAATAAACAAAGCATTTGGACTACATGAATGGATCCATTATCATGTGTTTATTCATTCAGTGTTAAAATTTTTTAAAATCAGTGTTATAAAATACCACTCAGACGAACGTAGTGTTGGCATGGAAGGATGCTTGTGATATGTTAAGTGGGAAAAGCAAGTTCCAGAAGAGACTGAAAAGTATGATTCCATTTTGGTTTTTAAATAATAAGTGTTTAAGGTATATATTCTTTTAGAATATGTACACATGAAGAAGGGTTTAGGGGTCACACACCATACTGGTTATGTTATATATTGTTATATAGGTCTACTTTTGGAGTAGGAGTGAGAGGTCTGCAGAAAACAGTCACAATTTACCAAATACTCTTTGGTTTGGGCTGAAATTTTCTCAATAATTAAATATTAATTTTTATAAGGTAAAAAACATTAATTCAAAAAACAAGTGTTCTAAGTTAATGTCCAGCAGCCCTATGAAGTCCTATACTGAAGTAAGACATGGCATCATTCTCTGTAATCTCCCCATCGTGACATTCCATGTAATCTCCTGATACTTTTTTTGTAGTTAGTGTGCTGGTCACTCACAGCTGTCTCACTTGGGGAGAGGCAAGCTGATTCACTTGGCTAAAACAATTCTTATTTGAAATGGGATTCTGAGTCATGGTACTAGGAGAGCAGAACATTTCCTCTCTTCTACGAATAGGCATGGCTTGATCAGAGCTGCTTATGGAAGGGATGAAGGCAGTAATCATTTCTAGTCCATTCTGCTGTCATTGTGATGTTTTCTATTTTTGTTAGGCACCAAATGGTTTCCCATAGCCAACAGTTTAATGCATTGGCTTAGGCACCAGTTGGTACAGTGAATCCAAATAACGGAGCAGATAATTCTTAAAGAAACTGCAAGGATGGAGCATTGATGAAGAAGGTACAGTTGATAAGCCTTTCTGCCTCATTTCTCCAGTGTGCCTTTGTCCTTCATTCTGTCCAGGGGAAATTTTTTGGCAGAGAGCAGTATTTTTGGCTTAGGTTAGTGCTCAGTTTCTCTGCCTGGCAGAGGCCCCTAAGGAGTGTGGCAGTGTCATGTGTTGGCAGCAGAGCTGGACATTCAATGTTTGACCTTCTTCTGGAGTGTCCCCTCTTTCATGAGAATGCCCTCCTTTTTCTACCTCGTGCTTCCCATTGTCTGCTGAAGGCCTCCACCTGGGCCTGGGAGCCAGGCACTAGCCCAGCGTTTTCACCCTTCCCTCTTATTCCTCAAGAGTCCTGTTTTCTGAGGCTCATTCATCAATTCCATTTAGTTGATTTCAGCAAACTTTCATTAAGCACTCCCAAGTGCCAGACTCGGTGGGGATAATATAATGAGCTTACGGTGTAGTGAAGGAGTCAGACACATAAAGATTCTTCCAGTGCATTGTGGCAAGTGCTCAAATAGTGGTATCTAATACTCACCCATCTATTCAGATTTTATTGAAAATCTACCATGTACCAGGCACTGGGACAGCTGCTGAGAATACAGAGATGAACAAGATACCATCCCGGGCCTCACAGGGATCCTAGTGTAGGAGAAAGAGGGAAGACATGCAACCAAGTAAATTGCAGTGCACTTAATAAATCCAACCATAGGCAGGCCACAGTACAGAGAAGGAACATGATGTTTGTGCAGGGAGCTGTTAAAGGCTTCCCAGAGGATCTGATGTTGGCACCGCATTTGGAATTTGGAATAAATATGTAAAGGTTAGCCATGCAGAAAAGGATATTGCAAGCATTCCAGGCATTGGAAGCATCATATGTAAAGGCACTGAGATAAGAGTAGTGTTCTGGGAACCATGAAGAGTTTGGTGTTACTGAAATAGAATGAGGTGAGGCTGGAGAAGTGAGCAGGGGCTGGATCATGAGGGAGCTTTTGTGCCAGGCAAAGATGTGGCTTTAACTTTTAGGAACCACTGAAGAACTTTCAGCAAAAAAGAAATATAGTCAAATTAGCATTTCTGGCAGATCACTTCACAGCCTCAGGTACCACATCACACAATACCTCCATAAGACGACAATTTAGTCCAAAAGGAATAATCCTTAAGAAACTTTTTTTTGGTTTGTTTATGCTGCTGATAAAGACATACCCAAGGCTAGGAAGACAATGAAGTTTAATTGAACTTACAGTTCCACATGACTGGGGAGGGCTCAGAACCATATGGGAGGCAAAAGGCACTTCTTACATGGCAGCAGCAAGAGAAAATGAGATATGCAAAAGTGGAAACCGTGATGAAATCATCAGATTTCATGAAACTTATTCACTACCATGAGAATAGTATGGGGGAAACCATTCCCATGATTCACATTATCTTCCAATGGGTCCCTCCTACAACATGTGGGAATTATGAAAGTACAATTTGAAATGAGATTTCCATGGGGACACAGAGCCAGACCATATCATTCTTCCCTGGTCTCTCCAAATCTCATGTCCTCGCATTTTAAAACCAATCATGCCTTCCCAACAGTCCCTCAAAGTCTTAGCTCATTAGGGCATTAACTAAAAAATTTACAGTCCAAAGTCTCATCTGAGACAAGACAAGTTCCTTCTGTCCATGAGCCTGTAAAATCAAAAGCAAGCTTGTTACTTCCTAGATACAATGCAGGTACAGGTATTTGGTAAATACAGCCATTCTAAATGGGAGAAATTGGCCAAAACAGGGGTTGCAGGCCCCCTACATGTCCAAAATCCAGTGGGGCAGTCAAATATTAAAGTTCCAAAATGATCTCCTTTGACTCCAGGTCTCCCATCCAGGTGATGCTGATGCAAGAAGTAGGTTCCCATGGTCTTGGGCAGCTCTACCCTGTGGCTTTGCAGGATGCAGCCTCCCTCCCAGCTGCTTTTATGGGCTGGCATTGAGTGTCTGTCTGTGGCTTTTCCAGCAATAGGTACAAGCTGTTAGTGGATCTACCATTCTGGGGTCTGGAGGACAGTGGCCCTCTTCTCAGAACTCCACTAGGGAGTGCCCTGGTAGGGACTCTGTGTGGTAGCTCTGATCACACATTTCCATTCTGCACTGCCCTAGCAGAAGTTCTCCATGAGGGCCTCACCCCTGCAGCAAACTTTTGCCTGGGCATCTAGACATTTCCATGTATCTTCTGAAATCTAGGTGGAGGTTCCCAAACCCCAATTTTTCACTTCTGTGCACTCACAGGCTTAACACCACACAGAAGCTGCCAAGGCTCTGAAGCCACGGCCTGAGCTCTATGTTGGCCCCTTTCTGCCATGGCTGGAGTGACTGGGACACAGGGCACCAAGTCCTTAGGCTGCATATAGCACCAGACCCTGGGCCCAGCATATGAAACCACTTTCTTCTAGGCCTCTGGGCCTGTGATGGGAGGGGCTGCCTTGAAGACCACTGATATGCCCTGGAGACATTTTTCCCATTGTCTTGGGGATTAACATTTGGTTCCTTATTACTTATGCAAATTTCTGCAGCTGGCTTTAATTTCTCCTTAGAAAATTGTTGTTTTTTTTTTTCTATCACATTGTCAGTCTGCAAATTTTCCAATCTTTTATACTCTCCTTCCCTTATAAAACCAAATGCCTTTAGCAGCACCCGAGCCACCTCTTGAATGCTTTGCTGCTTAGAAATTTCTTCCACCAGATATCTTAAATTATCTCCCTCAAGTTCAAAGTTCCACAAATCCCTAGGGCAGGGGCAAAATGCCTCAGCTCTCTTTGCTAAAACATAACAAAAGTCACCTTTGCTCCAGTTCCCAACAAATTCCTCTTCTCCATTTGAGACCACCTCAGCCTGGACCTTATTGTCCATGTCTCTAACTGGCTTTTGGTCAAAGCCATTCAACATATCTCTAGGAAGTTCCAAACTTTCCTACGTTTTCCTGTCTTCATCTGACCTCTCTAAACTTTTCCAACTTCTGCTTGTTACCCAGTTCCAATGTTGCTTCCACATTTTTGGGTATCTTTTCAGCAATGTCCCACTCTACTGGTACCAATTTACTGTATTAGTCAGTTTTCATGCTGTTGATAAAGCCATACCTTAGACTGGGAAGAAAAAGAGTATTAATTGGACTTATAGTTCCACATGGCTGGAGAGGCCTCAGAATCATGGCAGGAGGTGAAAGGCACTTCTTGCATGGCGGCAGCAAGAGAAGTTGAGAGATGTAAAAGCAGAACCCCCTGATAAAACCACCAGATCTCATGAGACTTATTCACTACCACAAGAACAGTATGGCAAAAACCATTCCCATGATTCAATTATCTTCCACTGGGTCCCTCCCACAACACATAGGAATTATGGGAGTATAATTCCAGATGAGATTTGGGTGGGGACACAGAGCCATACTGTATCATGGTTACTTTAGACAATTTGGAAAGTATAAGAAATACAAATAAAATCAAAGTCATGCATAATTCCATAAATAGACATAGGTCCATTTGCAAATATGTATGTATCAAATTGGGATCAAATACCAGAGAGAATTTTGTATTCTTTTCTCCTTAACAGTGTCTTATGAGCATTCTCTCATGTCAGTAAATATATTGTGAAAACAAAATTATGCTAGTCATAGAAATTTCAGACACAGTAGAAGGAGAAAGAGGAGGCCATTTTCAGTGTGTCTTAAATTACACAAAACACAGTACCTGGTAGTTAGTATCCAGAAATGCTTGTTGAATTAAATATCAGCTAGAACTACCCTGGACCTCAGGGACAGAGGTTTTTCAAAAAGGATCTGGAAAGAGAGGGAGTGGAAAGTGGAGGGTGGAGCGGGGGGAGAGAGAGAGCGAGAGCGAGAGCTCTTTAAGTAAAAATCAGTTGGGCATTTTATAGTAGATAGTGGATACTCTACTTACAGATCATTATTCTCCAAGGCTGAAAGTTGTATTGTGGTACTAAAGTATGATGTTATATGGCTTTGATGTTTTATATCACAGCCAAGGCTCAAAAGAATGATTAATTCTTCATCTTGTGCATTAGTCATGCTCTTTCATTTACCTCCTTCCTCTTGCTGTCAGCATTGAGAAACTTGACAAGAGTGGGGATAGAAGAAGGAAAATCACAGGTAGTATCTTACAGCAGTGCAGACAAAGTGAATATTCTGATTCAGGAAAGAGTTGGAGACTGGTGGACAAATGAAGCTTTCAGTTCTTTGTTTTTTTAACTGTGTGTGTGTTTTAGGTCAGCCAATTGGCTCCTGTAAAATAGCTCCAAAATAGATTTTGTGTTATGAGCAAAAGGGCTCGCTGCCTGATGTGCTAGAATCCAACACTATGACCCTGAGTTTTGAGAGAAGCAAAATGTTTTCCTGTAAATCATCTAACAAGGAGACAGGAGCCCAGCTCAAATTTGTGTCCTGTTATGGCTTTAAGGCAGTAATTTTATTAATAAGGCTCAAGGATGGATTCTGGGATTAGTAGGTGAAGGATGGAAAGGAAGAGGAGGTCTGGAGAGTCCTGGGGCATGCAGTTATTTCTTCATGCTACCTCATGGGTCTCATGTGCAAATCTGGGAGGAGTTAGTATGCAAAACGGGGCGGAAATCCAAGCTGTGACATCAGCAAGTTTGTTCTGTGCAAACTTCAGTTGACCATATTGGTTCCAACTGATTTCAGCCAGTTTCTTAATCTCAGAAGCAGAGAGAGTTTCATCATTTCAGCAAAAATGGTTTTTCCTAATCTATCATCCTGCAAACTCAAGAATTTCTATCAGTCATTGATTTCTTTAACTCTTTGGGAGTGTGGTTTCAATAGTGACATAAACAAAATAGGAGTTTATTTCCTCTCTCAAGTAGAAGTCTAATGTATCTGTTCCACAATTAGCCAGATCAAGATTCCTTCTATATTATGGTTTTGGTGAGGTCAACAGGTAGCTTCCATCTTGTGATCTAAGCTGACTACTCTAACTACCACTGTCATATCAACAGTCCAGCCAATGGGAAAGGGGAAAGGCAAGGGGGTGGATGAGCATTTCTTTGAAGGGTAGACCCAGCAGTGGCACACATTACTTGAACTAACATCCCATTGGTCTGAACTTGATCACATGGAGCTGCACATAAGTCTGGTAAAATAGTCTTCGTGGCTGGCTATGTACCAGCTAAAATTCCAAAGTTCTTCTCTAAGGGAAGACGGAATGACTAGATATTGGAGAACGATCAGCAGTCTCTTCGACACTATGCTATCTTCACCCAGGAGTGTGGAAGATGCATTAAACTGGCTCTACTGCGAAATTCTTTCATGTTCCAAGACACTGATTTTGATGTTTCCAGATGATGAATCAGAGACTCCTGAAGAACTGGAAGAAGAGATTCCTGTGGTGATTTGTGCTGCTGCAGGGAGGATGGGTGCCACTATGGCTGCCATCAATAGCATCTACAGCAACACTGATGCCAACATCTTGTTTTATGTAGTGGGACTCCGGAATACTCTGACTCGAATCCGGTAAGTTGTGTCTTACAGACTTTGGCACTTTCTGCTTCCCTTCCTCCTTCCTTCCTTCCTTCCTTCCTTCCTTCCTTCCTTCCTTCCTTCCTTCCTTCCTTCCTTCCTTCCTCCCTCCCTCCCTCCCTCCCTTCCTTCTTCCCTTCCTCCTTCCCTTTTTCCCTCTCTCTTCTTTCTTTTCTCTTTCTCCTTTATTTTTCCTTCCTTCCCTCCTTTCTTCCTCCCCCTCCTCCTTCTTTTTCTTCTCCCCTTCCCTCCCCTCCCCTCCCCTCCCCTCCGTCTTTCTGATAGATCTTGCTGTGTTACTCAGGCTGGAGTGTGCAGTGGTGCAATCACAGCTCACTGCAGCCTTGACCTCCCAGGCTTAAGCAATCCTTCTGCTTCAGCCTCCCAAGTAGCTGGGGCTACAGGCACATGCTGTCACACCCAGCTCATTTTATAATTTTTTTTGGAGATTGAGTCTCTCTTTGTTGCTTAGGTTGGTATCAAAATCCTGGGTTCAAGCAATCATCCCTCCTTAGCCTCCCAAAATGCTGGGATTACAGGTGTAAGCCACCACACCTGGCCTCTACTTTCTTACATTTCCTTAATAAGATTTCCTTTCTTTTTGGATTAAGAAATAAACAAAAATTAAAATTTGAACATATTATAAAAATGAAAGATAACTGTAAAATCTTGGTATGGAGAGTGTCTCTCTGAGCCCAGAAATCATCAAGAAAAATGGACAGATTTGACTGTAACATTTAAAAACTTTACAATGATGAAAAATACAAATGAAGCTACTCATACAATAGATTGAAAGAAAGTATTTTTAACATGTATTATAGACATAGAATTACTATCCAAAATACATAATTGTTACAAAAAATTTAAAAACATAGTCAAAAATGGGCATAGAATATAACCAGACAATTTACAGATGTAAAATACAAATGGCCAATAAACATGAAAAGGTGTTGTAGGCTGGGTGAGGTGTCTCACTTCTATAATTCCAACACTTTGGGAGGCTGAAGAAAAAAAAGGATGGCTTGGGGTCAGGCCAGCCTGGGCAACATAGCAAGACCTCTGTCTCTGCAAAAACATTTTTAAAAATTAGCAGAGTATGGTGATACATAGCTTCACGGGAAGTAGGAGGATCCCTTGAGCCCAGGAGCTTGAGGGTGCTGTGAGCTATGAGCACACCACTTAACTCCAGTCTGGGCAAAAGAGTGAGACCTTGTTTCAGCTAAAAACAAATAAATAAGGCTGGGGGTGGTAGCTCACTCCTGTAATTATAGTACTTTGGGAGGCCAAGGCAGTGGATCACCTGAGGTCAGGAATTCAAGACCAGCCTGGCCAACATGACAAAACCCTGTCTCTACTAAAAATATGAAAATTAGCTGGGCATGGTAGCCCATGCCTATAATCTCAGCTACTGGGGAGGCTGAGGCAGAAGAGTGGCTTAAACCAAGGAGGTGGAGGCTGCAGTGAGCTGAGATCATGCCACTGCACTCCAGTCTGGGTGACAGAGCGAGACTGCATCTCCAAAAATAAAATAATAAATAAATAAATAAATAAATAAGCAAAGTTTTTCTATTAATAGGAAAATGTGAGTTAAAACATTTTTGCATTGTTTAAACCATATATGTCACTTCAGTGACATCATTTTTCACTTATCAGGTTGGCAAAAATTAAACAGAACATTATTACTCAGTGCAGGAAAATGGACATGCGTATTCCTTATTTACACAATGTGCATCTTCTAAGTTGGCAAGCGTTTGGCGAGGTCAACATGGCAACATTTATCAAAATGTTGTATGCATGTATAATTTGATTCACATGTCATTTCCTCTTCCAGGAATCTATACTACAAAAATTCTAGTACATATTACCAAAATATGTGTAAACAATGCTAGTTTCAGCACTATGTGAACTAGTAAAAGCATTTCAAAGTGCTTAAATGTCCACCAATGGAAGAATATTTAAATGAACTGTGAAATGTGATCCAGCTGTTAAAAAAAGAAGGCACTCTGTATAAACAGACACAGGAGATCCTCAAGGCATATTGTCAAGTGGAAAAAGCTGGTTACAGTTTAACTTGTATAGCATGATTCTACTTTATGAAAATTCAAAACCCCTAACTATAAGTGTGTACATGTACATGTATGTGTTTCAGTAAAGAAAAAGAACTGGAGGCCAGGCACGGTGACTCACGCCTGTAATCCCAGAACTTTGGGAGGCTGAGGCAGGCGTATCACCTGAGGTCGGGAGTGTGAGACCAGCCTGATCAATATGGAGAAACCCCGTCTCTACTAAAAATACAAAAATTAGACAGGTGTGGTGGTACATGCCTGTAATCCCAGCTACTTGGGAGGCTGAGGCAAGAGAATTGCTTGAACCCAGGAGGTGGAGGTTATGGTGAGCTGAGATCACACCATTGCACTCCAGCCTGGGCAGCAAGAGCAAAACTCCATTTCAAAAAAAAAAAAAGAGAGAACTGGAAAGCTATTAAATTGTTAACACTATCTCTTGGGAGAACAGAGGAATTGGGGAGGATGCTGGTGAAGGAAAGTTCAAGGTGTTTCAGTATTATTTGATCATTCAAAAGGAGAATATATTTACATGCTGCTTTTATAATTAAATAATATGTAGTGGTACCATCAGGAGGTACAGAGATCTGTAAGGTGTTTGCCACTATCTAAATGGCCCTTGGCTGCCCCTGGATTTTGAGGGCTTGTGTATGCTTTCTGGGGTTTTCTGTCTCATTCCTCACTCTCCTCATCATACTATTGCTCATCATTCATTTAACCTGTTGTTAACAGCCCATTAACTATCCATGGGTATGAAAACCAAAAAACCAAGTCCAAAAGGATGGCACATTTAAGGGTTCTGAGTAAGGGTTTGTCCTTAACAAAAGGCATGAGCCACATGACTTTCTGTCTTTGCAGGGGCTGTTTCCTGGCTCTTACTGTCCAAGAACTCCCTGCCTCCTTTTATATATTAAAAACAATTTTTTTCATTGAAGTAGAATCCCAAATCAGAAAATTCTATAAATCCAGTGTGCATTTTACTGGATTATCACAAAGTAAACACATTCATGTAACGTCCAGCATGTCCTAACCAATACTTAGTATAATCAGTCTTTTGAAGTTTGCCATTTTGATGAGCGTCCAGTGGTATCTAGAAATTTGAGGTTTCCTTGTTTCTAATGTTATTGAACACTTTTCCCACACACTTTGTAACCATTTGGAAGTAAGTGTTCAAGTCTCTTGCCTATTTTTCTGTTAGAGAGACTAACTTTTTAAAATTGATATGACCAATTTTTTTTCAGATTTTGCTGACCTAAATTTTGTTCACATTTAATTCTTTTGTTGATTTTTAGTCAGCAACAAATTCTACCCTAGGTGGCTTTAGTCATTGGACATTTTATTTTGGGATTATTTCTCCCAAGAATCTCATTATGAATTGGATACAAGATAAAAATTCTGCAAGACCAAGAAAACAGAAGGGGAGAGGGAGGGGGAAGGTGAAGAAGAGGCATGAAGACAGATGGGGAAAATTGAGGGAGTGAATCAAAGAGACAAAGGTAAATTCAAATCAGCCTTGGAGTCCAAACTACAGAGTAAAAATGACTTCAATCAAAGTTGAAGGTTCAGAATGTCCTGCTTCATAACATTTCAGAGCTGTTACCACATGGCGAAGACAGTACCAACAACCACAGATGCTGCTTTGTAAGAAAGAACACTTTTCATTCTTCCTGTTTCCTGGGGAAATTATTTGGATCTGGGGAGAGATTTGGTTACTATTTTGCTTCATTTCCTTTGCAGAAAGGGTTATGTGATTGAGGGGAAAAAAGATTTAAAGTCAGACCAGATGGGGAGAAAAGTCAGGAGGATTTATTGGACTAAACTCTACTAAGTTTACACACATTTTAATTTTAACTTTCTAGGGAGGCAACAGATTGACCCTGGGGAAACAGGCAAATGGAGGAAAGATCTGAAGTGTATACTAGAGGTTTGTTTGTCATCTTTTTAGAAAATGGATCGAACATTCCAAACTGAGAGAAATAAACTTTAAAATCGTGGAATTCAATCCAATGGTCCTCAAAGGGAAGATCAGACCAGACTCACCGAGGCCTGAATTGCTGCAGCCCGTAAGTAGGGACTATGCAGATGCAGGGGACAGTCCTTGATGAGACCCTTGTTCAGTAAGGAGCGCCAGGCACTGAGATACATGTGGAATGTTATTTTTGAAGCCTTCTGGTGTTTGATCTTCACCAAACTCTGCTTATGTATAATTTATAAGCCAGCTGCTACAGAAAGGATTTAAGATGGTTTATAGAAACACGATGAAGTTATTAAAGAAGAAATGAAGCATTAAAAATGCAGAATGCATTTACGAGTATGAATATGTCTGTAGGGGTGGGAGCTAGAGGAGGTGAGGCCAGGAAAGAGTTCCCCAGATCTGTTGGCTGTTGGGATATTTAACTGTGATTGCATGTTAAATCTACCTCTGAGTATCCGACAGCTAAGAAAAAAGGGTAGCATAATGGATTATATACTTCATGGTATTGACTAAGATAATACACTGAGGAGACACAAACTCTTTTCCTAGCATTGGAAATCTTAAGGTATTTTACCACGAGTGTTCTTACAAAAGGGACCCTCTCCCTTTTTTATTTTTTATTTTTCTTTTTGCATAAAAAGTGGTGTTTTTGGCCAGGCCAATAATCCCAACACTTTGGGAGGGTGAGGCGGGAGGGTTGCTTGAACCCAGGAGTTTGAGACCAGCTTGGGTAACATATTGAGACCCCGTTTATTTTTTTAAATTAGCTAGGTTTGGTGGCACACCCCTGTAGTCCTAGCTACCTACTCAGGAGCTGAGGTGGGAGGACTGTTTGAGCCTGGGAGTTTGAGGCTGTAGTGAGCTGTGATCATGCCAGTGCACTCCAGCCTGGGCAACAGAGTCAGACCCTGTATCAGAAAAGAAAAAAAAAAAAGAGTGGGGTGTTTGACAGCAGTTTTACAGAAACTGCAGCCACCTTCTACGTATAATTGTTACTTAAATTCATCCCTGAAAATTTACTTAATTCTAAGCCCTCTGTCTATGATATGATCTTTCCCCAATTCCAGATACTGTCAGAGTACAAGCTGAGTTAAGACTTCAGATTAAGCAACACTGTTAGTAATGAAACTTTGAAGTTCCTACCCCACAGCTCATGGTGCTCCTTTTTCTGGTTCAAGGAGCTAAAAGGTTGAGCTTGCTGTTGGGATGACACACACACGTGTGTGTGTGTGTGTGTGTGTGTGTGTGTGTGTGTGTGTGTGTATTTCAGGCTGATTTAATTGACAGTTATCAAATTACTGGAGGTAGAGTAAGGCAGGCGATTTGTGCCCTAAAAGATTGACCACGGAGCCTCTGTAACACCCACTGCAGCAGTTAACAGAGATGAAGGTGGCAGCAGCCTCTGCACTAGGGGGTTTGGATCTAGAAGAATAGCTGATCCACCAGCACTGGCTTCAGCCTCAAGCCTCAGATATTTCAGGCACTGGGAAACTCAGGTGAGATATCTGGCTAGCTCCTGTTTGATTCTGCTCCAAACCTGGAGGTGAGCTGAGGCCATGGTCAAAGCCGACTCTCCAGTACTCTCAGAAGACACTAAGCCATATGCCTCTTTCCCACCATCATTTCTTTTGTTGTTTTAACAGCTGAACTTTGTTCGATTTTATCTCCCTCTACTTATCCACCAACATGAGAAAGTCATCTATTTGGACGATGATGTAATTGTACAAGGTACTCTTGCTAACTGCCAAGAACACGTGGAAAAGAAGCAGCTGATAAGTAGAATGACTGTCTCTCTTCATTTTTCAAATAGCTAATTGTGCAGTGAGTTTTGACTGCTTATTTAAGTTATGAGTATAGTATTGTTGTAAATTTGGAAGTATTTTGGAAACAGGGGTTGATACTTACCAGGACAATCCGTTGACACTCTGATTGTCAAAACTTGCAATAAATAGCTTGGTAGCCTTTCCTTTCCCTGTATCCCTATAATGTATGGAAATAAAGCGTCACGGATGGCATTCTTAGGCATGAGCTAAGTTTTGATATTCAAATGAGTTATATCTCTTCCATTACAAACAGGGTATGCATTGGTGTGGTACCTACTTTTAGCAACAGAAATAAAGAAATTTGATCAATGCCATTCTGAACTCATCATCAAGTGGCTTTCTGAATCTGTAGGCACGACTCTTGCTAAATAAATTGTCAAGCCACTTGAAATCAGGGATCCAATACTCTTCTCCCGTAGCAAAATCAAGAACTGTTTAAACTCTAAGGCTCTATTTGGCCCCAAAACAAATGCCGTAATGTTTTAATTGCTGGTGTTTCTAAATTCAGGTGACATCCAAGAACTGTATGACACCACCTTGGCCCTGGGCCACGCAGCGGCTTTTTCAGATGACTGCGATTTGCCCTCTGCTCAGGACATAAACAGACTCGTGGGACTTCAGGTGGGCACACTATCTTGGAAATCCTCCCTTCACCCTAGAGTTCTGGTCCCTTCTCCCCCTCTGCAACTCAAAATGAGTGCAACCTCCACCTTGAAAACCCTATAGGACAGCCTGGACTGCTGGGAGGTGGAACAGCACAGGGGTCTGGGACTTTGGTTCGCATCTCAGCTCCATGCCTCACCAACTCTGAGGCGACTTAAATTAACCCTGCAAAGTCCCACTTTCCTTACCTGAAACATGGAATAATCGTGTCTACTTTGTTGTGTCTTTGTGAGCAATAATGAAATAACGTGGTGTCCAAGTGTCCAGCATGAAATAAAAGCTCCAGAAGTGATCGTTGTTACCTATGTTGCTCATAACCATGCTCTATCAGAGATGGTGTTTTCTGTAAGGGAGACTTGCTGAATCATTGGTTCTATTTTCAGAGTTTTGACCATCGCCTTTGTCCCCCTTCCAGTAGAAGAAAATACTGATTTTGTTAAGGGTAAAGATTTCCTTACCCTGATGGAAATGAGGAAAGTTGAGTCTACAGGCGATGCTGAAACCAAAGGAGTAGCTTTGAAATATGAGGTGTTATTAAGAGTTGACTGCTGTTTTCCAGAAAAGCTTCTAGCAAATACTTTTATGTGTGTGGCATTTTAAGGCACTTCAAGGCATAGACTCGGGGACCAGATTCGATTTTGTCAAAATCTTGGCACTATCACTTGGCAGTTTTATGACCTCTGGCAAGTTACTTAGCCAGTTGTTTCTCCCTCATTTGTCAAACAGAGGTAATAATAGTACTTCCCTTGCAGTTATTGTGAGAATTTTAATGCATATAAAGCTATTACATGAGAGTAATGAGGTAGTACATGTAAAGTTCTTAGAAAAGAGCCTGGTGCATAGAAAGTACTCAAGTATTTCCATGACTCCTGTATAAGGTTTGAGAGCATCATATTAAGGAATTATAGAATATGACAGTCTGTATGGGTGAAAGAATGTTATGTGTCCTGCCCCATACTACATTCATTCAACTACTACTTACTGAGTGCTTACTCTGCGCCTGGCGCTGTTTTAGGTGCTAGTAATACAGTGAGCAAAACAAAAACTCCTCCTTTTGTATAGTTCACATTCTAGTGGGAAGAGAGACAGTAAACAAGTAAAATATTTAACAGAGGATTGGGGTGGTGGCGGGGCTGTATTTTAAATAGGGCAATCAGGAAAGGCTCCACTGAGATGGTGTCATTTGAACCTAAACTTGAAAGAACTGAGGGAACCACCTATGCAGATGGTTAGTGGGGAAACTCTCCAGTAAGAGGAAAGAGCAAGTGTAAAGATCTTGAGGCAGGGGTGAGTCTGGTTCATTAAAGGTGGTCACTGTTGCTGGGGATCAAAAGGAGAATAACAGGAGTTGGAGAGGTACTGGAGGGTCAGATGGTATAGGGTATGGCAGGCCATTCTAGGAACTCTGGCTGTTTCTGTGAATGAGATGGGAAGCTATTGGAAGAGCTTTGAGGGGATGAGTGACCTAGAGACAGAGTAGGGTGGAAAAGCTTGGAAGCAAGGATACTGCTTAGTGGGAACTTGCAGAAATCCAGTGAGTGGCGATTATGGCCTGAACAGGAAGGTAGCAGTAGTGGCAAGAGAAGCGGTTGGCTTCCGGCATTTTGAAGATGGGAACAACAGGATTTGCTGACAGATTTGGATGAGAAGCGAGTGAGAAAAAAGGAGTCAAGGAGGACCTAATGATCCCAGGTTTTTTGCCCAAGTAACTAGAAGGATAGAGTTGCCACTGACTGAGGTAGGGCAGGGGCAGGAAAGCAGGTTTGGATAGAATTGAGATCATTTTTTGGATGTAAGTTGGAGCTGCCTTACTAAGCATCTGAAAGGAGACATTTGGATGGCAGATGTAGCAGGAGTTGGAAGTGCAGAGGAGAGGCCAGGGCTGTCAGGTGGGTGGCACTTAGAGCCATGGGACTGGACAAGGCCGTTTATGGAGTTATTGCTAGAGAAAGGCACTGGTGCTGCACTCAGACTTAGGGCATTCAGCATTTAGAGGCTGGAGAAATGAGGGGAAACCAGCAAAACAAAACAAGAACAAGAAACCACCAAGTGGCCAGTGACACAGGATGAAACCCAGAGATATTGCACAAGGGTTTCAAGAAAATGATCATTTTCCAGAAACAAAAGATTTGCTGGTCAAAAGCATATGCATCCTGTTCCCTCACAGAATACATACATGGGCTATCTGGACTACCGGAAGAAGGCCATCAAAGACCTTGGCATCAGCCCCAGCACCTGCTCTTTCAATCCTGGGGTGATTGTTGCCAACATGACGGAATGGAAGCACCAGCGCATCACCAAGCAATTGGAGACATGGATGCAAAAAAATGTGGAGTACGTGCAGACTTCTATACCGTTTTTTCATGCTTGGGAACAAAATCATTCAGTTAATTTTCCACACATAGTTCAAGGGTTAGAAATATTTCACAGCCATCTTAGGTCAGATTTTCTGACAGAGGCACTGTTAAGAAAGGAAAGGGGACAGTCAATTAAAATCTTTCCTCAAAAGGTATAAATCAGAGGAATCAAGATCCTGTGGAGTGAGGAGCCCTAATTATACATTTTCCGAGTAAGTTGTTGAAAAATGTGACTTGAATCTCTTCCACGTAACAATCTTCACTTATCTTAGCTGAGTTTCCCCTTTTAAAATAGATTTGTTATTAAGGATTATCATATAGAGTTAACTTTGCTTTTTAAGGTTGATTTTTTAAATGTATAATTTTTCATTACAAAAGATTTAAAAATAGAGAAGATAAAAATAACTCTAATACAACCGCTATGATCACATCATTGGACTGCCTGGCAGTCTTTTTTATCTGGATATTTTAACACCATCACAGCCTTGAATTTGCCAGTAAAGTTATTTTAAATAACATGGGATTAGAATTTGATCTCCCATGTCTACTATTTAAAAACCTGGGAGTTAAAATGGCAAAATATGAACACTGTGAATCCAGGTGATGAATATGGGAGTTCATGGTATTCTTACTATCTTGTGTAGGTTTGACAATTTTCAAAGTGAAAAGTTGGGGAGAATGAAAGGCCGTAAGTCTTAGTACATAGTGAGAGAATGTCTTGTATCTTTTACAATATTAGATTCTACTTTATCTGAGTTTGTGGGGACTCCAGGCCAAATGTTGTTTTTCTGTTTCATTTCTTAGGGAAAACCTCTATGGCAGCTCTCTGGGAGGAGGGGTGGCCACCTCCCCAATGCTGATTGTGTTTCATGGGAAATACTCCACAATTAACCCCCTGTGGCACATAAGGCACCTGGGTAAGTATTTTAAAAAAAAACAATGCAAATGTACATTTTATTTTTTTATTTTTGAGACAGAGTCTCGCTCTGCCGCTCAGGCTCAAGTGCAATGGTGTGATCTCGGCTCACTGCAACTTCTGCTTCCCAGGTTTAAGCAATTCATCTGTATCAGCCTCTCGAGTAGCTGGGATCACAGGTGTGCACGACCACATCCAGCTGATTTTTGTATTTTTAGTAGAGATGGGGTTTTACCATGTTGGCCAGGCCTCCCAGAGTGCTGGGATTACAGGCATGACCCACCATGCCTGGCTGCAAATATGCATTTTATAGATCCGGTGAGCACCATGGTGAGGAGAGGGTTGTTCAGTTCAAATCCTCCAGGTGACGCTGGACAAATCAGTGCTCAGATTCTGTAAGTGCAGCTGATATTCTTAGCTACCTGAGGGGCATGTTTCTGGGTATTTATGAAAAGACATTAGACTCAGGCTTAGCATATAGTATATGCTCAATAAACATTAACAATTATTAAGATAACTTTTGGCTGGGCGCGGTGGCTCATGCCTGTAATCCTAGCACTTTGGGAGGCTGAGGTAGAAGGACTGCCTGAGGTCAGGAGTTAGAGACCAGCCTGACCAACATGGTGAAACCTTGTCTCTACCAAAAATCACAAAAATTAACTGGGCATGGTGGTGGGTGCCTGTAATCCCAGCTACTTGGGAGGCTGAGGCAGGAGAATCACTTGAACCCAGGAGACAGAGGTTGCAGTGAGCTGAGATCGTACCATTGCATTCCAGCCTGGGCGACAGGAGTGAAACTGCATCTCAAAAAAAAAAAAAAAAAGAGAGAGAGCAAGAACTTTCACTGTCAAAGCTTTATTGAACTGTCGAGCCACATCTTTATTTTCTCTTGCAGTAACCTACAGTGGACGAAACCAAATAAATTAGCATAATGGCTTAGGATGAATTCAGAAAGCTGCCATTACAATTTATCCTTTAAAAAGCAGTTGGTTCTGTACTCTGTGAGTTCCTTAAGTCTTTTATTCACTACACCAGTGTAGGTTTTAGGATATAGATTGGAATCCCAACTATGATTTTGGGCAAGCTACTGCATACATGTAAATTGCTTAGCATAGAGCCTAGCATAGAGGACACATTCATTCCATTCTAACACATGGCCACAATCCCTTATCCAAAAGCACTGGGCCAGACATGTTTAGTTTAGAAACAATTTGGATTTTAAAAAGGTAATATGGTGCTGAGCAGGATCTAGGTTTTACTGCCAAAAGAGGTATTTAAAAACCTTTTGTTTTCAGACCTTTGGGGATTAATTTAGAATTGGAGGCAACAGATATGGACTTTTATTTACCAACTCCCCATTATATTGCTAAGAACTGGATTAAGTTCTGTTAAGGAAGGTGAATATTATTTCTAATTCTCACAACCCTACAAGGTGTCATGTCCCCTAATCTCCTTTTTAAAAGAAAGGACGGAATTGTGGAGGCGGAGTTACTGTCTGCCCTCGATGATTCTGTGGATTGCTTCTGCGTCATTACCAGAATCCTCTGATTTTCCTGAGCATACATATGCACAAAACAGTGCCACAGGGAAGTCAGTGGTCCATCTGATTTGATTTATAGTCACGTTGGGTTTACCATTAGGTCAAGTATCAACCTTTCCATGTGCAGAAAATCCCATCAAAGTAGGTCTATTTTAAAAAACGTGTAGGAACAGCTATGCAGAGCTTAGATCAGTAACACGACAGCATTTTATGATCTTGAAACAGAGACTCAAAATTACATTTTATGAAATATCCAATTTAGGCCAGGCACGGTGGCTAACATCTGTAATCCCAGCACTTTGCGAGGCTAAGGTAGGTGGATCATTTGAGGTCAGGAGTTCAAGACCAGCCTGGCCAACATGGCAAAACTAAAAACACAAAAATGGCATTGGCCTGTAATCCCAGTTATTCAGGAGGCTGAGGCAGGAGAACAGCCTGAACCTGGGAGGCGGAGATTGCAGTGAGCGGAGATCATGCTACTGTACTCCAGCCTGGGCTACAGAGCTACTTTGTCTCAAAAGAAAAAAAAAAAGAAATATCCAACTTACAAGTAGGAAGGGACATTCTCAAGACAAAGATGTCATTTTTCTTTGTAGAATGAAGCTTCCATCTGTGCTGGAGTTTCTGGAATTGGGGATGGTGTGCAAAGTGAATCTACACAAAAATCATTTTTAAAATGATCTGGTTTCAGGGTGTTCTGGAGGCAGAAGGGCAACATAACACCGATGGACATTAAGTTTGGGTCTAAACAGGCAGGCTTAAGAGTTTTTAAATTTACAAAATATATTTAGCTAAAAGCAATTTCATCACCCAAATTGCAAGCCCCTCTGAGGTAGCTCCACACAGCCCTTCAGTTATGAAGCTGAGATGAGGATGCCTTACTTAGTAGACTTTTCACGAGAAAGTGTCTCTTCCCAAATGAATATGTCCTTTGTATAGACTCTGGTGATTGATAATTATTTCAATTATGCTGCTATAGCTTGAAAAAACTAGTTTCTCCTCTGCAGCTGCCTTCACAGCTGTTTATTAGTAACAGATGGCAGGTGTGTTGTTGTTAACATCATACACTAGAATAACATAACCCTAGCAAATCAATCCTCTCGTAATTCAATGGACTTTTCAGCGTTTTGTTTGTTGTTTGTTTTTTGCAAATGGACTCTTGCTCTGTCTCCAGGCTGGAGTGCAGTGGTGCAATCTCGGCTCACTGCAACCTCCGCCTCCCAGGTTCAAGTGATTCTCCTGCCTCAGCCTCCTGAGTAGCTGGGACTACAGGCGAGTGCCACCATGCCCAGCTAATTTTTTTGTATTTTAGTAGAGATGCGGTTTCATCATGTTGGCCAAGATGGTCTCAATCTCTTGACCTTGTGATCCGCCCGCCTCTACTGGGATTACAGGTGTGAGCCACCGCACCCGGCCTCAGCTGTTTAAAAAAATAAATCAAATTCCTTTTCATGAAAACTTGAACACTATATATATATATATATTTTAATTTTACATGCACACCATCTTAATGTAATTCTAGAATAGGTATTCTAAAAAATATTCTAAGTAATGGCAATGTTAGGGTAAATGAATAGTCTCTTTAAAGTGATTACTTATGAGGGGAGTAATATTCAGATGGAGATAGATGGCTGTTTAAAAAGTAGATCTTAGTCACATTTCATAGACGACAAGACTGTTCAAAAGAAAATGTTGCCATTTTTCATTTAGGAGATGAAATGCGGAGAAACAAGAACCCCTATACACTCTTGGGTGAGAGGAAAAGTAATAGAACTTCTTAGGGGACAATGTGGCAATCTCTATCAAAATTGAAAAGGCACACACCCTTCAATCTAGCAATTCCACCTACAATATTTTATCCTACAGATATGTTTGTACACATACACTAGGCATACTTAGAGAGCTGTTCATTGCTGTTTATGCTAATGAGAGGATAAAAACAATCTAAATGTCCTTAATAAGGAACTTGGTCAATAAATAATTATATATCATTCTATATAGTCACTAAAAATAATTTGTTAAATCCACATGTACTGCTGTGGAAATTTTTCCAAGACAGTAATTTTAAAAGGCAATGTCCAAATAAATAAATAAAATATTTTGTTTAAAGGCAAGGTAGGAATATGCTCTATCTTGTCTTCTGTCTTTAAAAAAAATTTATATATAGATATATATATGCATACAGGCCAAACAGTACAATAACATTACTAGAAGCCTGCACAAAAGACTAACAGTGGTTGATCTGGAGAGGGTAGAAAATTCACTGTATAACCCTTTTGTTTACTTTTTTTTTTTAAACCATGAACTTGTATTCAATTTATAATACAAAAAGTTATTCTCTAACAAGCCTATTATTTTTTCTCTAAACACAATGAAGGCTGGAATCCAGATGCCAGATATTCGGAGCATTTTCTGCAGGAAGCTAAATTACTCCACTGGAATGGAAGACATAAGCCTTGGGACTTCCCTAGTGTTCACAACGACTTATGGGAAAGCTGGTTTGTTCCTGACCCTGCAGGGATATTTAAACTCAATCACCATGGCTGATATGACTCCGTCCTTAAAATATTCCCTGTATAGAAACGTGGAATTGCCCCTTTGTAGCTTACTAAAACGTTTTTTATGAACATCACCTTTGATCCACAATATAAAAGCCAAAATATAAAATGTTCACACTACTGTGTGAAAATTATACCTTGGACCATATAAGCATTAATTTACTTTTTTTTTTGAGATGAAATCTCACTCTGTAGCCAGGCTGAAGTGCAGTGGTGCAATCTTGGCTCCTGGGTTCAAGTGATTCTCCTGCCGCAGCCTCCCAAGTAGCTGAGACAACAGGCCCGTGCCACCACACACAGCTAATTTTTATATTTTTTAAGTTCACCATGTTGGCCTAGATGGTCTTGAACTCTTGACCTTGTGATCCGCATGCCTTGGCCTCCCAAAGTGGTGGGATTAAAGGCGTGAGCCACCCTTTAAGTACATGTGTTAACTATGGAAATCAAGATTATGTGACTGAAAAACATAAAGGCATAGACCCATCTAGATACCAGCCATCAATCTGCTTAATTCTGAATGACAATTATATTCACCAATTTTTAAAACTTCTAAATGTATTTTTCACATGTAGATTTTTTTTTAACAGGTTGCCAATCTTTTATAAAACTATTACATTTAAAATTTGGATGTCTGAAAAATAGGATCTTCATGATTTTTATGATTTTCATCATGTTACTATTGTTTATGTTAAATATAATAGAAGGTAAACAGACCTCAGGTTTAAAGGGAGAAAGAGTACCATTAAGTCTTGCTATAGAAAAAGCCTGTAACTTAAGGATAACAATTCTTAATATCTTTTATTGTAAAAGCCATTAGACTTTCAAATGAGTTTTAAAACTTTCAGTATTATTTAAGGAAAAAGTCTCATACTGTCATGTACAGGATATATCAACATTTACTACTCATCTGTCGTGTTAAGGAAAAACATTATTGTACGCTTGGAAAATTCTCAAACCCATTTCTAATGGATATCTGTCATAAGTTAAAGGGTATTTTCTCCATTCAAATAAAACTATCTATTGTAAAGCTACAACAGTTATATACCAAAGTAATACCTAGTTACATGCTTTACATAGTCCCGTGAAAAAATAATTGAATTGCTCCTAATTCCTGATGCAAGGCGCTTCAAAGCACCTGCACAAAACGTCCATGTAAACAGCAGTACAGTACATCATTTAAATAACATAAACAACTTTTACACAGCTTGGCCTAGACCTAAGGAAAAATAAAACCCATCATAGCCACAGCTAAAAAGCATGTTAAGATTCACAACAAGAATTTGCTTCTCTTATTATAAAGAGAAGAGCAATCATATAACCTCTGGGGGGTGGGGGAGACCTCATAAATATTTTATATTGACAAAACAGCATGCTCCCTGGGTATGTATGAAATCAGAATATTTAGGAGTGACTGAGTGAATGCAGATGGCATTTCTTAGCACCCAGCTTTAATATCTATCAGACCTAGTAGTCTGCATTATCTGTAGCACCATGGAAAACTCAATAGAAAATCACAAAGGTATATATTCAACCTTTCCATGAGGTTCATTTAATTTATAGTAACAAACAGCAATGTTGCAGATAAAGAATTTTTAAAATTATTGGCTTACTGGATTTACCTACAAGAAAAACTCTGTATTAGGTATTTAAGTACATCTCATGTACGTGAAGCACCAGTTTAAATGAGATTATCAAATATTTCCAGCATCTTGTTGCTGAACCTAAAAGTTCATTTCTTATCACTTTCCATGGCACAATCTTAAAGCCAAGGAAGATAAAACTAGAATGGTAATAAATATTAACGGAGAAATTCAGTTCCTTCCCTATCATATTTATGTGTCTCAAGTAAAACATAGATGAGTGGCAAAAGGTCTACTGCATTCTCTGGAACCTACCCCTCCAGAGTAGTCACTGGCTACCAGAGGATTAACACAGGACTGAGTAGGTCAAAGCCCGGGCTCTGTCAGGTAAGGGCTGGTTTTTACTACTGAGCAACTCACAAACACCACTGGTAAAGCAAAGAGGTCTGAGTGTGCATACAACTCAGGGAACCCTGAGTTTACCCTTAGTTACCACTAAAAACTAACAAATGAGACTCCACTGAGGCTCAACTTCATATACAAAAATCAACACATTTGCCTGACATGTGTTATTATTGTTAGCATGCCTTTCTTAGGTATAAAAGGGGTAATGGTATATCTAGGTTTATGCACAGTTAAGAATCAACTATAAATATTCAGACTTGTATTTTAAAATTACAGATCAAAAGTGACTCCCAAAAGAAAATCAATTTCTTCATAAATGAAATACAGTATATAAAAAGCTGGAATGATGATTAATTCAAATATAAAAGCTAGATACAAAAACCCTACTTTTTCTTCCAAACTACTTAGATTGATACAGTTCATACTACCACACAACTGTTTTACATTACAATTACACCACTAGAGAAAAATATGAATAAAACACTTCAGTTAGCAAACTGAGGTTCTACTTGTTGACAACTGCACTAAAACTGCAGCATTTAAACAGAGCTGAGAAACACCATTCTTAAGCATGGTTTTCTTCTTCCTGTTCTTGTGTTCCACAGTGATTATTAAAGGAAGGAATCTGGTCTGTAAATGACTGGGTCATCCACTGCCCATTAGGAATGCCACTGAAAGCTGATTCTCCTTGTAACTCCAAACTGTCAACTGCCAGAAAAGGAAACCAAAGTTAGTTTATGCCATTAAGAAATTTTTGCTTTTTTAAAAATAGAGACTGGGTCTCACTCTGTCACCCAGGCTGGAATGTAGTGGCGCAATCACAACTCTTTGCAGCCTCAAACTCCTGGGCTCAAATGATCCTCCCATCTTAGCGTCTCAAAGCACTGGGATTATAGGTATGAGCCACCACATCAGCTTATTTGGAATTTTTTTTTCTTTTTGAGACTGCATCTCACTCTTGTCACCCAGGATGAAGTGCAGTGGCATTATTTTGGTTCACTGCAGCCTCTGCCTCCCGGGTTTGAGTGATTCCCCTGGCTCAGCCTCCCAAGTAGCTAGGATTACAGGCACCTACAACCATGCCTAGCTAATTTTTGTATGTTTTAGTAGAGGCAGGCTTTCATCATGTTGGCCAGGCTTGTCTCAAACTCCTGACCTCAAATGATCTGCCCACCTTGGCCTCCCAAAAATGCTGGTTACAGGTGTGAACCACCACGCCTGGCCTGGAAGTTTTAAATGATCAAGTAGGAGAGTTTAACAGTCTAGTGAAGGAGAATGATTATTAAAATAGTTAAGCAAGCTTCCTGAATACAACTGTAAGTTCCTGTTCTATTTTCAGATACAGGACTCATTCGTTATTAATTCTTATTTGTTATTAAAGGAGGAAAATGCAACTAGGATGGCCTAGAGTTCATGACATAAAGAAAATGCACTGTAAAAGCCTGTGTAATTCAACGTGAAATAACCATCAAATTTTCACTATTAGTTACTAAATAAAATTTGTATTACCATTCCCATCCTTCAATCATTTACTCTCCTTCTATTAAAATTCTTCCCCCAATCCTGACAAAACCGTCTTTGAAAGGAACACATGTGTGGAGGGGAACATACCCAGCCCATTTGAAGAGAAGCCACAAGGTTCAGTGTTGCATGGATTTTCTACATAAGCACCACCATACGCTGCCTCATAACCCGGATCATATTTTTCTTCCTTAACAGCCATCTTCTTTGCATCCTCTGTGAGGAGAGTGAAAAGGATTTAAAACTGATTTTCTACAACAATTCTGAAAATAGCTTTATTCAGAAATCATGAACAATTCTTTTTCCTGAATGTTCACATACACTGAGATACATCTCTATTAATCTTTTAAACTTATAGCGTATATTAAATGAACACATAAGAATTGTAAAAACCTCTTACATTCAATTTTAGGTGGGGTATAATATTTTTCACATACCTCTGCTCTGGCACTTTGCAGGTGAATTATCTGCAGGAATGCCAGAGTAGAGGGAAGACCTTGATAAAAGGAGATTTTAACAGTGACTAATATCCATTATCAGAAAAAAGAAAAAAATTGTTTTCTTTTCTGCTTTTAAATCCACAACATACTTTCTGTAATGTGTGTGTGTATATACATACGTGTATATACACACATACATTGTGTGTACATATGTATATATCTGTGTATATATGTATACATATATGTGTATGTATATGTATACACACATATAGAAAATATGTTGTATATGTATGTATATGTATACACACACATACTATAGAAAATATGTTGTGGATTTAAAAGCAGGAGAAAAGAAAACAATCGTATTTCCAGCAAGAGTGCTCTGATACACACACACACACACACACACACACACACACGTGTGTGACAGTGAATAAAAGGAGTGAGGACAGTAACATACCTTGGGCAAGCTGTAGGTCAAAAGTATACTGGACCTCTTGAACGTCCATATTTCGTTCAATGCCTTTCAACTGATCTCTTAAGTCCTTCAGCTTTATGTAGTAATGAACTTTGTCCTGGGCTCGAGGAAACTGAGCACATCTTGCACTGGATGATGGCATAACATAGCAGAGCTAGAATTGCAACATTTTATAATTTCAGAAATCTTATAATTCTATTGAATTCACTCACATTGAGATTAGAATATTGTCTTTATTTGGGTTAATAACTTGATACTTAACTACATATAAATATATGTAAAAATCAATAAAAGTAGTTGTGTTTAAGTTCAAATCTGTAATACTGACTTATTACCAAGTTGGTAAGTAAAAAATAATGAGGCTCCTTCTAATGAGTCGCCTCCTGGGTTCAAGCAATTGTCCTGCCACAGCCTCCTGTGCAGCTAGGATTATAGGCACACATCACCATGCCTGGCTAATTTTTGTGTTTTTAGTAGACACAGGGTTTCACCATGTTGGCCAGGCTGGTCTCAAACTCCTGACCTCAGGTGATCTACCTGCCTCGGTCTCCCAAAGTGTTGTGATTACAGGCATGAGCCACTGCATCTGGCCTCGAATGGCATTGAACAGAGTACCCTACAGGAAGTAGTGAACTTGTACAATTTTAACTAAGTGGACAAAGGCAGGTCTTCATTTAAGCAAACACTGGTGCTATAATAAAATGCATTAATTGCATATTTATAAGAAATTAAAAACAAAAAAATTAAAAGGAGAAGTTTTAATGTATGTAGATGGCAGAAACATTTTTAGGTCTCCACAAAAACCTGTCAGCAAATTAGCTTCTCCATCAATTAAAATGTTGTATATACAACATGTAAATCTGTGCACTGTGTTGTTTTTAAAGCTGTAAACAAAACTTGAAACTATATTAAAGAAGCAAAATTGGAACCAAATGCCTGCAGAAGCTCTGTAGAGAAGACAGTCTGAAAAACATTGTTGCTTCATGATGACTTTGTGTATGAGACACCGGTATCAAATGCCAGTGAGGTTGGCTGGAGGCTTGTCTGAACTGTATTATTTATACGGCTCTAAAATGAAGGTGAGATAAGATATATAAATGGGGCAATTAGTTTTCCTAATCAGGATCATGTATGGGTTTCTATGTTTGTGTCACAACTGAGTACCAGGGCTAAACCATCTGAATTTGACAACTACATGCCATTAAATGTATTCTGAATGTTGTATATGAGCCAGTTCCTCTCAGTATTTTTGCTGAGTAACAGTATGAAGACATTTAGCTGACAAATGTTCTTTATAATAAACCCTAATAGTATTTGAATTAATTTACAACTATTAGAGCTGAATTATAGTTATTATTCAACAAAATACAGTGTATTTTTTTGCATGGCATAAATTACAATGGACAGAACAAATAAGGAAATTATCTAGAAAGAAATTTCACATTTAGCTGATTTACAGATTCAATTTTAGGGACTTACGGTTTCTGTGTCTGGAATCTTATGGGGCTGAAGCCCAAATTCCAAGTTCTTAACCTTTACTCCAAAAACTTCTTTACTAAAAATTTCATAAATACCTAAAATGAAATACAAACATATTTACATTGCCCATAATGTTAGCAAAGAAAAAAATAAAATTTAAAAGTAAATCTTACATTTTCCATTAAACACTGCTATTCGTGGCTGATATTTCTGTAATTTCTGTACTAGAATACGTCCTCCTTCACGAAATTCTTTACTAAAATTGAATTAAAAAGTCAAAAATATAAATATGGCAATATTTATATGTATATATATTTATAATATACTATATACTATAAATATATTTATAATATATACTACATTCAGACAGCTTTCAAGGAAAGATCATATCTCACATTTGTTGAGCTCAGCTTGAACTAGATACATATGATGTTCCTAGCGTATTTCAGGCACCAGCATAGCCAATGCTGTATACTTACCTGGAGAGATCTTTGCTGCCAGGCGTCGTCCTTTCCACCATGTTGGTAAATCCAATACCATACTTCCCTGGTAAAGTGTGATCATCCATATGATTCAGTTGGACTTCACTGAGCCCTGACATAAACAAACACTTCCCTGTAAAATGAAAATTCAGTCATTTTTTTTTTAGACAGGGTCTCGCTCTGCCACCCAGGCGGGAGTGTGGTGGTGCGATTGAGGCTCACTGTAGCTTCAACCACTAAGGCTCAAGCAATCCTCCCACCTCAGCCTCCTGAGTGGCTGGGACCCCAGGTGCACACCACCAAGCCCAGCTAATTTTTGTATTTTTTGTAGAGTCGGGGTTTCACCATGCTGCCTAGGTTGGTCTTTTTTTTTTTTTTTCAATTTTTGAGATGGAGTTTCACTCTTTTTACCCAGGCTGGAGTGCAATTGCATGATCTCGGCTCACCGCAACCTCCTGGGTTCAGGCAATTCTCCTGCCTCAGCCTCCTGAGTAGGTGGGATCACAGGCACGCGCCACCATGCCCAGCTACTTTTTTGTATTTTTAGTAGAGACGGGGTTTCACCATGTTGACCAGGATGGTCTCGATCTCTTGACCTCGTGATCCACCCGCCTCGGCGTCCCAAAGTGCTGGGATTACAGGCGTGGGCCACCGTGCCCGGCCTGGTCTTGAACTCCTGGGCTCAAGTGATCCTCCTACCTCAGCCTCCCAAAGTGCTGAGATTACAGGTATGAACCACAATGCCTGGACTGAATCATCATAATTATCTTGTAAGATACTATTATTATCTCCTTTTCACAGGGGGTTAAGGCAAATGCCTGCCCAAGAATATACAGCAACTCAGTTTAGGAAACTGAGACTATTTTGCTTTACAGTTGGTGATATCACCATCTCATACATAAACATACAGAAATAGACTAACAACACTCAAACACCTTGACCGTGAAGAAAGTTAAAAGTCCAATCTTCCCTAAAGAAGGATTTTTTTTTTTTTTTTGAGACAGATTCTCGCTCTGTTGCCTAGGCTGGAGTGCAGCGGCGTGATCTTGGCTCACTACAACCTCCGCCTCCCAGGTTCAAGCGATTCTCCTGCCTTAACCTCCCAAGTAACTGGACTACAGGCACATGCCACCAGTCCTGGCTAATTTTTGTATTTTTAGTAGAGACAGGTTTTACTATGTTGGCCAGGCTGGTCTCGAACTCCTGGCCTCATGATCTATCTGCCTCGGCCTCCCAAAGTGCTGGGATTATAGGTGTGAGCCACCACACCTAGCCAAGAAGAATTTTTTAAAACTAATAGGAATAATATGTTATTATTAATTCCAAACACACATTTACTGTCAGTTGCCCTAAATGTTTTGCATGTTATTATTAGATAATCAATTAGAATTTCCTGAGGGTATACTGCATACACTGATCTATTAGGTAGTGAATATATAAGGCAACCTATATAGAGAGGGCAATACAACAGTAGTTATGCTTTTTGTTTGTTTGTTTCTTGTTTTTGTTTTTTTGAAACAGGGTCTAGTTCTGTCATCTAGGCTAGAGTGCAGTGGAGCAGCTATGGCTCACTGCAGCCTCAACCTCTCGGGCTCAAGCAATCTTCCTAACCCAGCCTCCACAGTAGCTGGGACTATGGGTGCGTACCACAACACTTGGCTCATTTTAAATTTTTTCTGTAGAGATGAGATCTTGCTATGTTGTACAGGCTAGTCTCAAACTCCTGGCCTCAAATGATCCTGCTGCTTTAGCCTCCCAAAGTGCTGGGATTACAGGCAAGAGCCACCAGATCTGGCCTATACTTGGTTTTAAAGCTTACTCTAAAAATAGGAGTCTTTAGTACTATTTTATGGTCTTCTAGAAAATAATCACCAGAAATCTGGAAAAGTTAGTATTACGTCTGCACTGCCACAAAGATGTACTATTCTATCGTTTACTATGCCTACAGATAACAATTTTTAAAAAGTAGTACAACTCATTAGAAACAATTCAAGTAAAAGAGAAAGTACAACTGGGCGTGGTGGCTCATGCCTGTAATCCCAGCACTTTGGGAGGCTGAGGTGGGCAACATGTTCAGGAGTTTGAGACCAGTCTGATCAACATGGTGAAACTCCATCTCTACTACAAATACAAAAATTAGCCAGGTGTGGTGGCGTGTGCCTATAATCCCAGCTATGAAGGTAGCTGCCGCAGGAGAATTGCTTGAACCCTGGAGGCAGAGGCTGCAGTAAGCCGAGATCACGGCACTGCATTCTAGCCTGGGCAACAGAGCGAGACTCCGTCTCAAAAAAAAAAAAAAAGAGAAAGTATTCTTATTCATGTCTCTCCACTCTCATAGACTAAAATGTTAACAGTGACATATAATTTCAAACCCTCTTATTTTCATGTATAGACACACATACAGAGAACATGAAACATGAATGTGTATTTACAGTCTGTTTCTTTTTAAAAACACAATTTTTTTTTTTTTTAAAAAAACCTGTTAACAATGATTAGAATTTAAAAATAAATTAATTTAAAAGGTAACCACTTACAAAAATGGTTTCCAGGTCCAGGGTAATGATGCCCTTTGTAAGCAGCCATTAGTCCTGGGTTTATGCCAATCTATAAAACAAAATAATTAAACATTTTCCTCTTAAAAAGTAGGACCTAAGTCTTAGGATTTCTATGAAAGAGTGGTGGACAAAATTGACTTGATTACAATACAAATTAAATGCAGCATCATAAGCATAAGCAATATCATTTATCTATTACTACTCTTGGGCTGAACAAAGTATTCCATATACAGGAACGAGATTTTCTTTAAAAGTTTTGCTGTTGTTTTAAAAAACCAGTTTGACTCCGTTATGATCCCAGGCCTCTCACCCTCACCAACTGGTGTGCTTTGTCTGGAGACAGATGTCCTGGAACAATCAATCTGAGCCCATGTCCAGCCACGATTCTGGTTCTCAACTTTCAACAAGAAGCTCGCTCCACATCACCTACCCAATTGTTCACATGCTGTTTCTTACAGTTACTGACAAAAATAAGAGCTCAAAATCAGTGCTACCATTTATGAAGTCTCCACAGGTATCATTCAGTCGAAGTGATTCGCATGGATTATCTCATTTACTTGCAACCCTATGGGGGGGGTGTGGTATTACCACTCCTGGTTTATCAATGAGAAATCTGATCTTTATATAGGTTAATAAGGCTTGTCCAAGATTCTGCTTTAGACAGGATTTGAACGCAGACAGCTCAAATTTGGAGCCCACCCTCTTAAACACTCCCATTTAACACAGCATCATGAAGGGATACCATCTACCACCAAAGGATTCACAGAAATGCTCCTTTTCAGCAAAATGCTATTTGCAAGGACCACTGTTAAGTAAAGCAAATCCCGCAAGGCCACTTACAAAATCCAACAAGGACAAAGATCTTACAATGACAATGTCCAGATTGAAGGTCAAAATATCGGGGAGTGTCTTGGTCAGAAGTTCAGCTTCTGAAACACCATTAAAACGATCAACTTTTCTTTTTACTTTATATGTGTCTGTAATTTTTTCTTGTTTTTCTTTTGACTTTGTGGACTTGCCAGACTTTTTTGACTCAGCAGGTTTTTTGGGTTCCGCTGGTTTTTTTGGTTCTGTTGTTCTGGGTTTTCTTTTCCTTCCTTTTGGAGGCTCTGAAACACAATTTCCAGAAATGCAGAAAGTCTTAACTTAGAAACTTTAGCAGCTTTCCCAGAAAAGTTGCCCAACTGTACCTTTTGTACCTGTCTCCCCAAAATTAAGTTCTTACAGTCCCAATATCGATTTCCTCTGTAATATCCTCCCCTTCTTTCACCCTAGAAATAGGTTCATGCAATCGTCTACCCCCCACTCTCCTTCCCCTGCCAGCTGTTCTTGGGAAAAATAATCATAGACTATTATTTTCTACACAAGATTACTCTGCATACAAAGTATCTATGTATCATTTTATATGAATTCTAAATTAAATAAATAATTTTAAAAAATAGAAAAATAAAAAGAAATTAAATAAAAAATAAATAATTAAAAAAAATAGAAAAACAGGAAGTAAGGGAAGCATTTTAACTCAATTTCCCCAGTAGAAAACCACAAATGGGCCAGGTACAGAATTACATGCCTGTAATTCCGGAACTTTGGGAGGCCAAGGCAGGCAGATCACTTGAGGTCAAAAGTTCAAGACCAGCCTGGCCAACACAGTAAAATCCAGTCTCTAATAAAAATACAAATATTAGCCAGACATGGTGGCACACACCTGTAATCCCAGCAATTTGGGAAGCTGAGGCAGGAGAATCCTTGAACCCAGAAGGTGGCCGCTGCAGTGAGCGAAGATCGCACCACTGCACTCCAGCCTGGACGACAGAGAAAGAATCTGTCTCAAAAAAAAAGAAAAAAAAGAAAGAAGAAAAGAAAGAAGGTGAGAGAGAGAGAAAGAAAAAGAAAAGAAAGAAAGAAATGAAAACAAGGAAGGAAGGAAGAAAGGAAGGAAGGAAGGAAGGAAGGAAGGAAGGAAGGAAGGAAGGAAGGAAGGAAGGAAGGAAGGAAGGAAAACCACAAACGGCTTGTGGGATTGTTTCAGAGATGTAGACTCTGTTCCACATATAGTCGAAGAGGTGAATTTAGGGGTCTGAGGATGACATCTTTGGGCTGGCAGTATTTTTCAAAAGGTAAGATAAAGGATCCGACCTCTCGTCCTCCACACTACTGACATTTTAGCTGCAAAATGTTTTGCTGTGGTGGCTGTCCTGCACATTACAGAATGTTTAAGAGCACCCCTGATCTCTAGCCACTAGATGCCAGGAGTACCCCACCAGTCTTGATCATCAAAAGTATCTTCAACAATGTCAAATGTCCCTTGGGAGGGCAAAATCACACTTTATTAAAAACCACTGACCTACAGTTACCCAACAGGAAGTCCCAGTTTTGTTACTCTTAATTATTTAACATTCCTCCCAACTACTCGGGCCTCTACTCCATTCTACTCCTCTTTGGTGTTTCCCCAAATCAAGCCTGGCTGATGGAGGCGGTCAGTCCTCCCTCTCTTCTGCCTCACATTACCTTGGCCACTCCCCCTATGCCAAGGGATCCACCATCATTGGCATGTAGCTGGGAAAGTCCTAGTGCAGAGACAGAGTATTAGATGTGTTCCTGGAGTCATAAACTGAAACCTTGAGCACATTTCTCATTCAAATACTGTTACACTGGAGCAAATCATTAATTTCTCTACATTCACCCTCCTAACCCCCAAATCTATTTTCTTCTAATTCTCTGTCTTGGTGAGTGGCACCCCCTCCAACCAAATGCCTATGCCAGAAACCTGGTAGTTACTTTTACTTCTGGACTCCCCTTTCTCCCTCACTTCCCCATGCTCCCCCCTACCACATGAAACTCATTAGCCATGGCTGGTAATTCTGCCTTCTGAGTGTTTCCTAACTCTTTCTCCACCCCTTCAGGTCCTCCTCAATGCTCCCCTAGATGATTCAAACAGTGTCTCCAATCCACCTAATCCACTCCTTGTCTCCAAGGTTTTTTTTTTTTTTTTTTTTTTTGACAGTCTCTTTCTATTGCCCAGTCTGGAGTGCAGTGGTGTGATCCCAGTTCACTGCAGTCTCCCAGCCTCTGCCTCCCAGGTTCAAGCAATTCTTGTGCTTCAGCCTCCCCAGTAGCTGGGATTACAGGCATGTGCCATCACACCCAGCTAATTTTTGTATTTTTAGTAGAGGTGGGGTTTTGCCATGTCGGCCAGGCTGGTCATAAACTCCTGACCTCAGATGATCTACCTGCCTTGGCCTTCCAAAGTGCAGGGATTACAGGTGTGAGCCACCATGCCCTGCCTGCCTCCAAGTTCTGACTTGTTGTCTGCCATCCCATGTATCCTCTCTAATATTTCCAAACTAATTTGTGAAGTACCAATCTAGTCAAGTCATCCCTTGCTTACATTCTCTTAGCAGCTCCCTATTGCCTTGAGGACAGAATATAAATTCTTTAGGATAAAAAACAAGCTTCAACAGTCTCCATCCAGCTGTATCTCTCTCCATTTTCTTGTTACATCCCAGACTCCCAAAACACAGAATTGCTCTGATTCTGGCTGTGCCATGCTTCTGTGTGTCTGTGCCTGGCCTAAGTAGTTCCCTCAGTTGGGACACTTCCCTACTCTGATCTTTATGGGGGTGAAGCCTCTGTACCCTTGGCGTTTCAGAGCTCTGACGTTATTGCTCAGCTCTGGGAAGCAGCCTCTGAGCTGTCAGTCTGAATTAGGAGCCAACCCATAAGCTTTCAGGGCACTCATTCCATGCCCCTCTTCACTACATACTGTGCTGAGCTATAACGTGAATTTACTTATTACTTTTCTCTACTAGATTATGAGATATTCCTGGGCAAGATCCATGTTCTTTTATTCCCCAGAACCTATCAGAGTGCTTAGCAAATACTAAGTACTTAAAGAGTGGATTTGACTTTTTAACACTCAGACACAGCTAAAATTTATCGTTAAACCCTTTCTTAAATAAGTTGGCTGATCCAGTGTCTCATTTTCTACGCTCTCATGGTGAAACTACCTTGTACTGGTTCTTGAGCAGGAGCTGGAGCTGGAACTTCTTCTGGCATTTGCTGTTCATTCACAACTGCCATATTGGGAGCTTCAGCCATCATTTGTTGAAATGGAAACGTATAAAAAGCTTGAGCTTGTTGAAGACAATAGCTGAAAGAATAATGAAGCATGAAATGTAATGATAAAATTATCCAAATGTAAATCCAAACGATCAGCTGGACAAAAATCTTCAGGATCCAAGTAGTTTATAACCAGATGGAAGTATTCATTTAGAGTGGGTTACAGGGGAGGAGATATCTGGTCCTGTGTGTACATGTTCACCAAACTTTACTGAGTACCTACTAACCAAACATTAACTCTCGCACTGTTTAATGATAAGATGTGTCACTGATAAAACTTACCAGTCCTGTCAAGCCAGGACTTTCTCTGAAATAAGATCAAGGGAATTTTCTAGTAGACAGACTTGAAAGGTCTGTCAACCCATACAGGGTTAAGATGTCCACAAATGCATTTTGTGTCCTTACCTTCAGTATCCTTCAGTATTTAATCACCTGCAGATCCCCTCCAATCTAAGATTCTCTTTTAATTTATTTGCCTGTTTACTTATTTTTTCATTCGTTTATTTATTTTTTTTTTGGAGACAGTGTCTCCCTCTGTCACCCAGGCTGGAGTGCAGTGGTGCAATCTTGGCTCATTGCTACTTCTGAAGTGGGAGATCTCAAGCGAACCTCCCACCTCAGCCTCCCAAGTAGCTGGGACTATAGATGCAAACCCTGACACCTGGCTAATTTTTGTATTTTTTGTAGAGACAGGGTTTTACCATATTGGCCAGGCTGGTCTTAAACTTCTGAGCTCAAGAGATCTGCCTGCCTCAGCCTCCCAAAGTGCTAGGATTGCAGGTGTGAGCCACTGCACCCAGGCCTAGATTTGATTTTTTGGAAACACAGTCTCACGTTGTTGCCAGGCTGGAGTTCAGTGGCGTGATCTCGGCTCACCGCAACCTCCACCTCCTGGGTTCAAGCAAATCTCCTGCCTCAACCTCCCAAGTAGCTGGGACTAGAGGTGGGTACCACCACACCCAGCTAATTTTTTATATTTTTAGAAGAGATGGGCTTTCACCATGTTGGCCAGGATGGTCTTAATCTCTTGACCTCGTGATCTGCCCACCTTGGCCTCCCAAAGTGCTGATATTATAAAAGTGAGCCACTGCACCTGGCCCTAAATTTTATTTATTTGATTTTTATTGATGGTGGTATTTTGTTGTTTCGTTGTTTTTTGTTGTTTTTTCTTTGCCACTGCTATGGTTTGAATGTGTCCCCCAAAGTTCATGTATTGAAAACTAAATCCCCAATGCAAATGTTGAGAGAGGTAGGACCTTTACAACCTTTACACCTGTAAACCCAGCACTTTGGGAGGCAGAGGCAGGTAGATCATCTGAGGTCAGGAGTTCATAACCAGCCTGGCCAATATGGCAAAACCCCGCTTCTACTAAAAATACAAAAATTAGACGGGCACAGTGGCATGCACCTGAAGTCCCAAATACTTGGGAGGCTGAGGCAGAAGAATTGCTTGAGCCTGGAAGGGGGAGGTTGAAGTAACCTGAGATTGTACCACTGCACTCTAGCCTGGGTGACAGAGCAAGATTCCATCTCAAAACAAAAACAAAAGCAAAACAAACAAAAAAGGTGACCAGGTCAAGAGGAGAGGATGGCTCTGCCGTCATGAATGGGCTAATGCTGTTATCACAGGGTAGGCTTCCTGAAAACAGGATTAGTGGATGACTCCAACCTCCGTTCCTATCCCTATCTCTCTCTCTCTCTCTCTCTCTCTCTCTCTCTCTCTCTCTCTCTCTCTCTCAAGTGCTGCCTCATCTTCTGCCATTTTATGATGCAGCAAGAAGGCCCTTGCCAGATGTAGCCCCTCCATCTTGGATTTCCCTGGTTCTAGAAGTATGAGCCAAACAAACTTTGTTTATTAATGTCTCAGTCTATGGTATTCTGAAATAGCAGCACAAAACAGACTAAGTCACAAAAGGGGAACGTAAAATGGATATTTTATAAATATGTGTTGAACCTATGAAGGAAAAAAACCTCTAAACCTCTCTTCTGAACACAATTTAAATTTTGTTCAAAGTAAAGAATGTAGGCTTTCAAAGAAAACAATTGTTAAAAAAAACACTTCTCATGGCCTTGAACCACTGTCTCATGGTGTTACTATTAAGATAAAACCAGGGAAGTAAACACATATTGAAGAAACTCAAGTTACAGCAAATGCCAAATAATGCCATTAAATATGCAAAAGAAAACCAGTAGAAAATAAAATGGAAACGTTTGGTTTACTATTTGGAGAAAAGTCGTATTTTCTAAGGTAAGATACCCCACTAACCAGTTTCATTCTCTATGACATCCACTGAAAGAGAACAGGAAGTTCAGAAAGCAGATTAAAAAGGCAAATGAGGGGCTAGGCCCAGTCTGTAATCCCCATGCGTTGGGAGCGAAAGGCTGGAGGATCACTTTAGGCCAGGAGCTCAAGACTGGCCTAGGCAATATAGCAAGATCATAACCTCCACAAAAAAATTTTAAAAAGTTAGCTGGGCATGGTGGCACATGCTGTTAGCCCTAACTACTCAGGAGGCTGAGGCAGGAAGACTCAAGTTCAAGGTTACAGTGAGCAATGATCACACTGCAGCACTCTAGCCTGGGGGACAGAACAAGACTCTGCCTCAACAACAAAAAAAGGGCAAATGAGTACACTTTAAATGGATGAACTATGTAGTATGTAAATTATATCTCAATAAAATGGTTAACAGAAAAAAATAAGGCGAATGAAAGCATTTCCTGGATAAACTCAAACAGCCTGGGGAGACAAATGATAACAGACCAGCCCAGGTGGCTGGGCTAAATGACGGCAACTCAAAGATGCCCACTCCCAATGGACAAACCGCCGGAGAGGCATTTCCACTTAGAGCTACCGTTAAGGGGAGGTTAGTAAAGCAAAGATTAAGAATGAGTGAGAAAGAGATTAACCTGTGTCATAAGAGTTTTATTTCTTTAAATATATTGTTCACAAATTACATAAAAAATAGTTACAATTTAGTAAACTATGATACAGTAACATGAGAAAATACTATGCAGCTACTAAAAATTAAGTTTATGTTATGTAAAATAACAGGAAAGGTAAAATATACATATTTTTAACATATATTTTAAAATAGAAAAGAATACAAAATAGTATTAAAAACTAAGGCTCACATAAGGGTAAATGTGTAGACAGGACTAGCAGTTAAGATGTAAAAATGAAGAGAAGTGATACTTAGAACCATGCCTGGCACAACGTAAAAAGTCGTCTCTTCTCATAATTTTCTTTAAGAGGATGAGTAGTTCTTTGCAATCAATTGTTAAAATATTGTTGTTCAGTATGTATGATTTAAATATTCTAATGCTGAGTTGGATACGGCTAGGTTAGATCTGGAAGTCTTGAGCAGTGATCCTGTAGAAATTCTAACTAAAGAGACTGCAAGTTCTGAATGTGGTCAGTGGCAGCTTCCTGAGTGCCTTAATTTAGCTTATAGAAACGAAGACAGTATGGTGACAATAAATGAGCGGGCAAAAGAAGGCATGAGATGTGTTTCTACTCTGACACACGGTAAGGAAGGCAATCTACCTACCACTCTCCCCATGTTTCTTACTACCACTCTCAGAATTTCATGTGTCCCATTTTGAGCACTTCATGAAAATGCAAACTTAAAATATATAAAGTAGGGAGACACCATTCACATTAGAAGAGGATTCTTCACTTTAAAAAATTTTTTCAAAACTTTTAGTATAGTTGGAGGTCATTAATCATCTTTAGAAATTCTGAGGTTCAGAAGTTGAAAAAGAAAATTCTAGAAATCACAGTTGGCTGAATAAAAAGTGGAAAAATAGGCCAGGCGTGATGGCTCAAGCCTGTAATCCCAGCACTTTGGGAGGCCCAGGCAGGCAGATCACGAGGCCAGGAGATCAAGATCAACCGGGCCAACATGGTGAAATGCTGTCTCTACTAAAAACACAAAAATTAGCTGGGCGTGGTGGCTCTCACCTGTAGTCCCAGCTACTTGGGAAGCTGAGGCAGGAGAATTGCTTAAACCTGGGAGGTGGAGGTTGCAGTGAGCTGAGATCACACCACTGTACTCCAGCCTGGCAACAAAACGACTCTGTCTTAAAAAGAAAAAAAAAATAATAAAGTGAAAAATAAAGAGGAAAAAGAATCTAAACTTTTATATTAAACAGGTATATCAAGTTTGAAAGAAACCTAGAAACTTACCTATAATAATCATATATCCCTTAATCTTTCTAAAAATGGACTGTGGCATTTTATAAAAAGTTAAATTAGGGCAGAAAAAGAAAAATAAACCTGTGGAAAATAAAATGTGTTAGTTCTGAGGAATACACTGTCTTTGACCATTAAACTCTCAACAGCACCCTAAAAGCCAGAATAAAAGAAAGATGATAGATTATAACATTCTTATTACTTGGCAGAAGCAAGCATTACATCTACACAAAAATCTTCACAAACTTAAATGCTAGTTAATTCAAGAGTTCTGGATAATTTTATCTTCTATTATAATAACAACTAAATGTATATGTAGCATAAACCTGTTTCAACCTCAGTGTGAGGATATTTCTTTTGTTTTTGTTTTATTTTTGGAGACAGAGTTGCTCTGTCGCCCAGGCTGGAGTGCAGTGGCACAATCTCGGCTCACTGCAACCTCCACCTTCCGGGTTCAAGCAATTCTCCTGCCTCAGTCTCCCAAGTAACTGGGACCACAGATGCACGCTGCCATGCCCTTTTGTGTGTGTGTGTTTAGTGGAGATGAACTCCTGGCTGGTCTCGAACTCCTGAGTTCAGGCAAACCACCTGCCTCAGTCTCCCAAAGTGCTGGGATTACAGGCATGAGCCACCGCGCCCGGCCACTAATCAGTCTTTCTAAAAATGGACTGTGGTATGTACCTAGTTTAGTGTAAATGGGGGATTGGTTCCAGGACCCCTCACAGATACCAATACTTACAATGCTCATGTCTCTTGATATAAAATGGCATAGAAGTTGTATATAACCTATGCAGATCCTCCCATATACTTTAGATCATCTTTACTTATGATACCTAATACAATGTAAATGCTATGTAAGTAACTGTCATCCTGCATTCTTTTTATCTGTATCATTTTTTAGTGTTATTTGTCTTGTCTTCCAAATAATTTCAATCCACAGTTGGCTGGATGCAGAATCCACAGATATGGAAGGCTGACTATATTTTCTGATAGTCTTTCTCAAAACATACATATACACAGTCCACACAGAGTTCATTAAGAAGTTCAGTTAATTCAGATTTGCTATTTTTTAAATTATTATTATTTTTTTAGAGAGTAGGTCTCCCTCTGTCACCCATGTCAGAGTGCAGTGGCATGATCATAGTTCACTGCAGACTCCAATCCCAGGCTCAAGCGATCCTCCTGCCTCAGCCTCCTGAGTAGCAAGGACTACAGGTACACACCACCATGCTTGGCTAGATTTGCTGTATTTCCAAAAACTACTAAATCTTTAAGATTTTCTCTAAAATTAATGATTCCAACTTCTTTTAGCTTCAATTATTTTATACTATTTTAGGGATTTAAGTTGCTTTTTTCTTTTTTAAGAGACAGGGTCTGGCTCTGTCACCCAGGCTGGAGTGCAGTGGTGCTATCATAGCTTACAGTAACCTCACACACCTGCACACAGGCAATCCTCTCACCTCAGTCTCCTGACCGACTAGCTGGCACTACAGGCACGTATCTCTATGTCTGTCTAAATTTTAAATTTTTTGTAGAGATGGGGTTTCACTATGCTGCCCAGGCCAGTCTTGAACTCCTAGCCTCAAGTGATCCTCCCACCTTGGCCCCCTAAAGTGCCTGAGATTACAGGTGTGAGCCACTGCACCCAGCCAAAGTTGCTATTTTCTAAATACATCTTATTATCGTCACTTAAAAAAAGCATATACTGTACTGAATAATTACAGAACAGTGAACAAGACTAATCCAAATGCTCAACTAAAGGGGTCTGGTTATGTAAATTATGATGGAATAGCACCATAACTAAGATAAGACTCCATTTGATATTGCTAGATGGAGGTCTGTGCATTCATCATATGCAGTCTACTAGACACTGTGAACATTAAGATTTAGAATAAGCCATTCCTCATACAGTATTCCTTAAACTGTAAATTATACAAGTATAATTCATCATGTAGTATGATTTCAAATTTCTTCAGTAGTTGGTCATTTTTGGTGCTCAGAATCAAACAAAACTCTAGATAAAGCCTCATCAGCCTGAAACAGCAGGGCTACCAACCTGCTCATTTTGGAGAAACTGCAGAACCCATTACACTAGCTGTACTGGCACCCACACTGCTGATTCACACTGAGTTTCCCATCTATGGAAACTCTCCTTTTCTCACTTCTCCCTCATTCCACACTTTATCATTGACATTTCTGCACCTGTGTATAGGACTGTGCCTCTTATTTGTAAAAGATGATTCACCATTCCAGTCAGTCAGGATTTATCTGGACTCGGATTAAATCAATCAGTCAATTCCACAAATTCCTCCCAGGGTTGAGTCACTCACAAATTTTATCAGCATGCCATCAGCACCCTGAAGTCATGAAGCTACTGAAAGGAACAAAGTCAGGGGAAGAGACACACAGCATATGAGCACAGACCTCTCTTCAGTCTGCCCGATTCTTTCAGTAGTAAACCAGGTTTTTACTTCACCTAACTGGACTGCCATCAGTCCATCTCCATCTTGCCCACTAAGAGAAGTGGTAAAGCACATTTGCTAGCTAGAGAGGCAGACATTGAAGCCAGATCACCTGGACTCAAATCTCAGCTCTCCCATTTACTAGCTCTGTTGGGGAAGTTCCTTAATTTCTTTATTACCCTGCTTCCACATCTGTAAAATGGGAATAATACCTAATAATTCATTGGTTATGAGGATTAAGCTAGTTGGCATATGTAAAACATCCAAAACAGTAGCTGGTATATAATAAATGTATACTATAATAGCCAGGCATGGTGGCTCACACCTATAATCCCAGCACTTTGAGAGGCCGAAGCGGGTGGATCACAAGGTCAGAAGTTCAAGACCAGCCTGAGTAAAACCCTGTCTCTACTAAAAACACGAAAATTAGCCAGGTGTGGTGGCACGTGCCTGTAATCCCAGCTACTTGGGAGGCTGAGGCAAGAGAATCTCCTGAACTCGGGAGGTGGAGGTGGCAGTGAGCCGAGATTGCACCACTGCACTCCAACCTGGGAGATGGAGCGAGACTCCACCTAAAAATAAAATAAATAAATAAATAAATAAATTTGCTATATAATGACTACTATAGGTACCTCCTGCCAGTATCCTTTTGATGCTGCCTGTCTAGTATAGGTCTTCCTTTCTGAACGGATACTGTAGACTAGTGGTCACTAGTTATGCCACCACACCCAGCTAATTTGTATTTTTAGTGGAGATGGAGTTTCACCATGTTGGCCAGACTGGTCTACAACTCCTGACCTCAGGTGATCCACACTTGCCTTGGCCTCCCAAAGTGCTGGGATTACAGGCATGAGCCAATGAGTTTCTTTTAAAAATGCTCAGTAACCACTGATAAGTAAAAATGTTGTTCAGTATCAATGTCAATAGAGGAGAGACTACACCTCTGGAAGAACAGCAATCCATGTGTTTATTTCCAGGTCTCTTACATTTGCTATGAATCCTCAAACACTGGCCTCTCCCTTGCAATGCAACACATGCAGGCCAGGGCATATGATTCCGTTAGAAAACCTGACACTTCTCTTAAATGCCTTCATTAATCTTGGGCTTCAAGTCTTACAGATATTCATTCTGCCATTTCCAGTCTGACAACCATTTTCCTAACAGACGATGTAAAATCCAAATCAGAACAAAGTACTTAGGTTTCTGTTGTCTGCTGCCACTATGCCAGGAGACTGGGCAGAAAACCCAAATCTTTTTTATTCTTCTTGTTGTGTACATCTAACTGAAATAGTCCTGCCTGGTCTCCTTAACATTTCTATAAAGCCTACTTTCATTTGAGGGTTAATCTTTCCCGTCTGTATTCTTAGTCGTTCATGCTGCTCTCTTCCAGTCACTTTTGATTTGGCATCCAATTTTCCATCTTTGGTAAATGTCCTTTTCACACCTGAGGTCATTGGAAACACTCCAGTACCCTTCTAAAATTCCTCCTTTATTCCTTTCTGGCTGCTTAGACTGTAAGCACTTTCTAAGACTCCTGAACTATTTTGCCATTAAAATAAAGTCTTGGCTGTGTGCTTTGGCTCATGCCTGTAATCTCAGCACTTTGAGAGGTCAAGGTGGGTGGATAACTTGAGGCCAGGAGTTCACGATCGGTCTGGTCAAAATGATGAAACTGCGTCTCTACTAAATCGACAAAAAAATAGCTCGGCGTGGTGTTGGGTGCCTGTAGTCCCAGTTGCTTGGGAGGCTGACACACGAGAATCACTTAAACTTGGGAACCAGGGGCTGCAGTGAACGGAGTGCTACTTACTGCACTCCAGCCTCGGCAACAGAGTGAGACTCTGTCTCAAAAAAAAAGAAAAAAGGAAAAGGGTCTATATTCATAGAATTTGAATTTTCTTCTTTGAATATCTGAAATTAATCTTCTAAATTAAAAAGTCAGCTGGGCACAGTGGCTCACACTTGTAATCCTAGCACTTTGGGAGGCCAAGTCAGGTGGATCACTTGAGGGCAGGAGTTTGAGACCAGCCTGGTCAACATGGTGAAACCTTGTGTCTACTAAAAATGTAAAAATTAGCTGGGCGTGGTGGCGGGCACCTGTAATCCCAGCTACTCCAGAAGCTGAGGTGGGAGAATCGCTTGAACCCGGGAGACAGAGGTTGCAGTGAGATGAGATCGTGCCACTGCACTCCAGCCTGGGTGACAGAGCAAGGCTCCATCTCAAAAATAAGTAAATTTATTACATCCCCCATTACATTTCTTGATTAGCACAGTTAAGGGTGACAGTAAACTACTCTCTAAGGATGATCGAGGGTCTGAGTTATTTCAGAAGATTACACAGAATTTTCCACAGTTCCTAAAGGTGAAAGCTTTCCAAGTCGAAATAAAAAATGGTCTACAGCCTTTTGGATGAAGTCAGGATGACACGTCAAAGCTTTGAGCCAAACAGCATACTGGAGTCCTACTATTTTACTGTTAAGACCCTCGATAAAGTCTTACAATGTATAATTTATTCTTGGCTCAGGTTTCAATTCTGCTCTGAAATAAGGTCGAGAGAGATTTCCACAAATTTTGGTGAATTCTCTTATTTGTAAAGTTCTTCTGGGAAAGAAGTGGAGTAATTTATTCCAGGACTTAATTCACAAAGTCCAGATAAAGCCCACACTTTGTCTATATCTCTTTTCCTAAACTCATATTTTGGTTACTTTAGTGTGCCCTTTCATGTAACACCAATTCTCAGCATGTCAGAATCAGATTCCATGCCAACTTTACAGACATGAACAGGCCCTTGTATTGCCTAAATTCAGCTCCCACAAGCCACTGAGAGCCAGGTAATTCTTCATTAGTTATGATAGTTTTATTATTATTTCAATGTAAATCATCATTCTTTATCTTTTAAAAAACTGTCGCCATATCCATTTTTTTAAAATTTAGTTTTCCGCCAGGAGTTTAAATTCCTAAATCTCCGCTTTTGCAAATCCTGCTCTTGACTCCTCCAAAGGATTTTTAAAAAACGTATTCTTAAGATCGTCCCCAAGACCTCTGGAAAACTCAAAGATAATTTTTGGACTGACTACTCCAGAGTGGTATACATATTCCCAAAACAAAATTATCTAGCCTGTGACCCTTAACGTTGCTTTTTGTAGGCTTTTGGGGAGGAAGCCGCAACAAATCAACCAACTTTAAAATGAAAACTGGAGCTGTAAATGTTCGATACTCATCTTTACAGCCCTCTGCATGATAATGGAGGGTGATGGGAAACGTAGTTAAGAATGACATCCAGGGGCCGAGTGCGGTGGCTCCCACCTGTAATCGCAGCACTTTGGGAGGCCGAGGCGGGTGGATCACGAGGTCAAGAGATCGAGACCATCCTGGTCAACTTGGTGAAACCCCGTCTCTACTAAAAATACAAAAAATTAGCTGGGCATGGTGGCTTGTGCCTGTAATCCCAGCTACTCAGGAGGCTGAGGCAGGAGAATTGCCTGAACCCAGGAGGCGGAGGTTGCGGTGAGCCGAGATCGCGCCATTGCACTCCAGCCTGGGCAACAAGAGCGAAACTCAGTCTTAAAAAAAAAAAAAGAATGACAGCCAGAAAGACACATTAACCAGAGACTGCTGGTTGCTTACTAATATGTTTTATAGCCAGCTGGTTATCGGAGGAAACTAAAGAAGGATATAGGTGCACCAGGTAACCCTCCGAGCAGCCCAAGCCGCCCCCGCCGCCGCCGCCGCCGCCGCCGCCGCCGCGGTCAGGGGAAGAAGGGCCGAGCAGGCCACAGTGCGCACGCGCGGCCCCGGCCTTTGTACTCGGGCTGGGCTTTAAAAGACCCCCCTGCGTGCGCGCGCTCGCCAGCTAGCCCACCCCGGCGCGAGGGGCGCGAGGGGCGCGAGGAAGGGGCGGCGCTGGCCCCAATTTTACCTGCCCGCGTTCTCCGCTTCCATTCCCCGAGGCCGCTGCTGTGGGCGGCTCCACCTGCCAGGCACCCAGGCGGCCGGTCTCTGTAGTACCGCGTCGTACGCACTGCGGTAATACAACCCCAGAGACCTGGGCCCGATGGCTGGCAGTACTCGGACACTGCCTGGACTCAAGCTCCTCCCCCAGGCTGCTACCCTCCCCCACGGACCCCCCTTTCCACACTGCACTTCCGCCTCCTCGGAGCCAAATCCCACGCGTACTGGCCGTCACGTGAGGCAGAGCAGCCCAATCACGGTCACCCCCTTCTCGCTGGGCGCCCCAGCTCCCCCGCTTGGCCTTTCGGGAAGGGTGGAGGATCAGAGGACCGGGACTGGGAGCGCTCCGCTGACGTCAGCTTTTGTCCCCAGTATTTTCGGGGGTTGGTGGACGCGTGGGCTATAGGGTGCTGTCCTTTGGGTGCTGTGTATATGGGGTGATGACGCTTATCGGCCTTATCTAGTCCTTTCTACCCCTAAATTTGCCGGGTCAAAGACTGTGTTGCATTATCAGGTAATGAGATGTGTGGGAAAGAGACTTTGGAAGTGGAAAACCTGGGCATCGAGGCCACTGTGCCATCTTGGGGCCTCAGTTTCCGTAACTGTGAAATGAGGCTGAATGTAAAGCTGCTATGTAAAATGTAAAGCTCTACATAAACCGTTCTCTGCATTACTTTGGATACGTGAGAATACTAACGTTTGACGTCTACAATACTAGTTCCCACCTCCCATAACCTTACAGACTAACCCCTCATTTTCGTCTCAGTGGTTCATAACTTTACAGACTAACCCCACTTTTATGTCTCAGTGGTTCTTACAACTGACTTTTGTTGCATTAGTTCTCAATTTTCTGTGACTGGTGTTTGTACTTTATTAAGTAATTCTTAATGGAAATAGACTTGGGTTTTTCTAATTTGCAGGACGATGAAAAGCATGGCTGCTGTGTTTGTTAGCTTTCCTGAGTTTATGCATGTAGTAACAGGTAATTCCAATCCGTCAATGGTTTACAGAGACAGAAGTTTATTTCTTGCTCACGTGACCTGTGAGCCAGAAGATTGGCTGTGGCTCTGTGCTCGATGAGCTTTTCCTACATCGAGGCTCTCATGAGTAAATACAGAAAGATAAATTTGTAGTATATCAATTGTCTAAAGTTTATGGGGGAACTTTTAAAACAGTACAGAACTTTTATGAATATCCTGACCATTAGTAGATACTACTCAGAACCTGGCACATGGTAAATATTCAATGAATATTTGTTGAATGAATGAAAAAAAGCCCATCCTCTATGATTTTGCTAATGGCGCAGGACCATCATCTAGAAAAATCTTAAAGCAGGTGGCTTGCCTCAGTTATTTCAGGGACAGAATTCTGGTGAATGAAAGTGTGTGCGAAGAGCTGCAAACTTTTCTCGGGATGTCTGCACTCGGAGAATTACCTTGGGCATCAAGGGCTTCCCTCACTGTGGGTTGCTGTGCTTCTGGGTCCTGCCAGCTCCATTCATAACCTCAAGAGACCAGGGTCCTCTGCTCAGTCTTGCATGGCAAAAGAAAGTTTATGGGAGGAGGCCAGGCATGGTGGCTCATGCCTGTAATCCCAGCACTTTGGGAGGCCAAGGTAGGTGGATCACCTGAGGTCAGGAGTTCGAGACCCACGTGGCCAATGTGTCGAAACCCCATCTCTGCCACCTGTAGTCCCAGCACTAGGAAGGCTGAGGTGGGAGAATAACTTGAACCCAAGAGGCAGCAGAGATTGCACCACTGCACTCCAGTCTGGGTGACAGAGTGAGACTATGTCTCCAAAAAAAAGCTTATTTGAGGAGTTGGTGATTGAGCAGGACATGAACCTGAAAATGGTGAAGCAATTGCAGCAAACTGGCTTCTACCCTATCAGTATTTCTCTCTTAACATCCTGCTTCTGAGTCTGGAAGACACACTTCTTCTGCTCTCAGCCTGGCCCACCAGAGCTTGGGGAAGCTGGGAGATGTGTTACTCTCCTATCTTTGCCATATGTGCCTCTACTTCAAAGAGACTTTATGTGATAGGACAACTGCAAAAGACAAGTCAAGTCACTTCAGCTTGTTTCCCTTTCTCTTCCTAATGCCTCCTCTCCCTTTCAGGAAGCTAGTGAGCTTACTTCCATATTAGCTAATGTTATGCCAGTCCATTACGTATTACTGTCAACAAGGTTTGCTACTGGGTAGGGTTTGTCCAACAGTAGATTTTCATCCACAAGTGGGTGCCAATGTCCTTACAGCTACGAGAATTGGTGCTAAAGACGTAGTTATGTTCAGAATAATAATGATAATGATGATGGTAGTCATTATAGCAGCTAACTGACCATTTAATATGTGCCATGGACTGCTCTAAGTACTTTGTATATATTAATTCATTTAATCCTTATGAATTAAATATGAGTCAAGGTTCTATCTTTGTTTGGGCTGCTGTAACAAAATACCAAAAACTGGGAGGCTTATAGACAACCCACATTTATTGCTCAAGAGTCCTGGAGGCTGGGAGGCTCAAGATCTGGGTGCCTGCAGATTCAGTGTCTGGTAAGGACACACTTCCTGGTTGATAGATGGTATCTACTAGCTGTGTCTTCACATGGTGGAAGGGAAGAGGCAGCTCTCTGGGCCTCTTTTATAAGGACACTAATTATATTCGTGAGAGCTGTGTCCTCCTGATCTAACTACCTCCCAAAGGTCTCCTAATAGCATCATGTTGGTGATTAGGTTTCAACATAGAAATTGGTGGGGGTGGGGAAGCGTCGCATAAACATAAACGTTCATTGCATTGGATATAGTTCAAGTCCAAAAGCTGTCTGCTGGAGAATTCCAGCTTGTTCTGGGGAGGTCAGTCTTTTGTTTTATTCACACCTTCCACTGACTGGAGGAGGCCCACTCATATTTTGGAGGGCAGTCAGCTTTACTCGAAGTCTACCTATTTAAATGTTAAATCTCATCCAAAAACACCCTCACAGAAACATCCAGAATGTTTGACCACACATCTGAGCATAACTGTCCAGCCTATTGGACTTCTAAAATTAATAGGTAGCTACTATTATTATCTACATTTTACATGCAAAGAAACTGACTTACAGAGAGGTTCAGTGACTTGAGCAAGGTCACACAGCAATTAAGTGGCAGAGTCAAGATTGTTATTGTGAGGGCAGTATGACACCAGATTCCCCCCCTTAGGGCTCTTTGAGAGTCTCAGCAGAGTATGAGGAGGCAGAAGGACTTCAGGCAGAAGGATATTCAAAGCTTAAAAAGTCACCTACCATTGATAGCACTAAGTGCCAAATAAAACGAGAAAGCTTTCAAATCAATGACCTCAGCTTCCATCTTAAGAACTAGAGAATGAAGAGTAACTTAAACCAACATAAGCAAAATAAAAGAAATGATACTCGGTTTAAAACAATGAACTAGAAAACAAAAACAAGAAAAATCAGTGCCACCAAAACTTGTATGTTGAGAAGATCAATAAACTTGATAAACTTCTAGTCAGGCTTAACAGAAAAAAGAGAGGAGACACAAATTAATAATATGAAAGAAGTTACATACTTACAGATTCTATGTATATTGAAAGGATAATAGGAATATTTTCAACAATTATATTTGTATAACTTCAACAACTTTGATGAAGTGGATGAATTCTCTAAGATACAAACTATCAAAGTTCACTCAAGAACCGATAACCTACATAGCCCTATATTTACTAAATAAATTTAACTTTGTTGTGGTTTGGATGGTCACCTATTCCAAATCTCATGTTGAATTGTAATACTCAGTGTTGGAGGTAGGGGCTAGTGGGAAGTGTTTGAATCATGGGGAAAGATTTTTCGTGAATGGCTTAGCAACAACCCCTTGGTGATGAGAGTTCTCACTTTGAGTTCGCACTAGATCTGTTTGTTTAAAAGTGTGTGGCAAGCCAGGTGCAGTGGCTCATGCCTGTAATCCCAGCACTTTAGGAGGCCAAGGTGGGTGGATGCCAAGGTGGGCGGGTCACAAGTTTAGGAGTTCGAGACCAGTCTGGCCTGGCAAAACCCCATCTCTACTAAAAATACAAAATTAGCCAGAGATGGTGACATGAGCCTGTGATCTGGCTACTCAGGAAGCTGAGGCAGGAGAATCGCTTGAACTGAGGAGGAAGGGGTTGCAGTGAGATTGTACCACTGCACTCCAGCCTGGGCAACAGAGCAAGACTATATAAAAAAAAAAAAAAAAGTGTGTGTCACCTCCCGGCTCTCTCTTGCTTCCACTCTCACCTTGTGACGTGCTGCTCCCTCTTCACCTTCTGTGGTTAGAAGCTTCCCGAAGCCCTCACCAGGAGCAGATTCTGGCACCATGCTTCCTGTAAAGCCTGCAGAACTATGAACCAAGCAAACCTCTTTTCTTTATAAATTACCCTGCCTTAGATATTTGTAGCAATGCAATGGACTAACACAAATTTGTAGTTAAAAACCTTCTTACAACAAAAACTCCAGGCCCAGCTGGGTTCACCAATGAATTCTACCAGACAAGAAAGAAATAAAACCAATCCTATCAAGATCTTTCAGAATATTGAAGAAAAATATTTTCCAACCCATTCTATAAGGGCAACATTATTTCATTATAAAAGTATAAAAATATTGCAAGAAAAGAAGCTACAGATTAATGCTGTCATGAACATAATTCTGAACAAAATTTATCAAATTGAATCCAACTATATACATATAATCCAGTAATACATAAATGACAAAATCGACCAGTAGAGTTTATCTGAGTAATACAAAATTGGTTTAACATTTGAAAATCAGTCTGTATAATTCATGACATTAACATTTTTTTTAAAGTGTGATGATCTCCACAGATGTGGTTTAAGCATTTGACAAAATCCAACATTCATTTGTAATAACTTTCAGCAATCTAGGAACAGAATTGGGAACTTTCAAATGACATCTATTTAAAAAATGCCTTACTGTCTTTATGCATTGCTCAGGTGCTGGTTTATGTAGAAAATCCTATGGAACCTACAAAAAACCTAGTACAACTAATAAGTGAGCTTCGCAAGGTTGCAAGATGAAATACCAATACAGGAAGATCAATTGCAGTTTATGTACTAACAACGAACAATTAGAAAAAATACTGTTCACAATAGCATAAAAAATATAAATATTTAAGGATAGAGCTGA